TCTACATATACTGAGAGGCACTTAAGAGGAATTAACCTGCGGTATTTAGAGGATATTACCCTGGTATACGTAGAGGATCTTAGGCAGATTCTGGAAACCCGTTGAGGGACTTTGAGGATTTTACCCAGAGGTATTTCGAGGATCTTGAGACAGATTCAACACACCTGTAGATGGACTTAGCAGATTTTTAGGTAGATGCACTTAGAGGATATAATCTAGAGGATTATTCGCATATATTGAGGGACTTAGCCAATATTCCCCCAAAGTTGTCTGGAGTTTGATGCCCAGAGGAACTTAGGAATATTCACGCATATATCTGATGGACTTAGAAGATTTTCATCCCACATATTGAGGGACTTGGAGGATATTACCCTGGTATACTTAGAGGATCTTAGGCAGATTCGACAAACCCATTGAGGGACTTAGAGGATTTTAGCCAGAGGTACTTAGAGGATCTTGGGACAGATTCAACACACCTGTAGAGAGACTGAGTGGATTTTAGGTAGAGGTATACTTAGAGGCATACCTGTAGATGGACTTAGCAGATTTTAGGTTGATGCACTTAGAGGATATAACCTTGAGGGACTTAGCCAATATTCACAATAGTTGCCTGGAGTTTGATGCCCAGAGGAACTTAAGGAATATTCACGCATATATTGAGGGACTTAGTCAATATTCACCAAAGTTGCCTGGAGTTTGATGCCCAGAGGAACTTCGTAGATCTCATACATCCATAAGTTGATGGACTTAGAATATTCCCTGCTGGCTAGAGGAACTTTGTAGATTTCCTATATCTATAACTTGGTGGACTTAGAATATTACCAACTTGAGGGACTTAGAATATTCATCTCTACCTAGAGGAACTTTGTAGATTTCACACATCTACAACTTGATGGACTTAGAATATTCGTCAACTTGATGGACTTAGAATATTTGCCAGCTTGAGGGACTTAGAATATTCATCTCTACCTAGAGGAACTTTGTAGATTTCACACATCTATAACTTGATGGACTTAGAATATTCATCTCTACCTAGAGGAACTTTTGTAGATTTCACACATCTATAACTTGATGGACTTAGAATATTTGCCAGCTTGAGGGACTTAGAATATTCATCTCTACCTAGAGGAACTTTGTAGATTTCACACATCTATAACTTGATGGACTTAGAATATTCATCTCTACCTAGAGGAACTTTTGTAGATTTCACACATCTATAACTTGATGGACTTAGAATATTCGTCAACTTGATGGACTTAGAATATTCGCCAGCTTGAGGGACTTAGAATATTCATCGCTGGCTAGAGGAACTTTGTAGATTTCCTACATCTACAACTTGAACTTAGAATAATACCAGCTTGAGGGACTTAGAATATTCATCGCTGGCTAGAGAAACTTTGTAGATTTCACACATCTACAACTTGATGGACTTAGAATATTCGTCAACTTGATGGACTTAGAATATTTGCCAGCTTGAGGGACTTAGAATATTCATCTTTACCTAGAGGAACTTTTCATATCCAGCAATCGTAATGTTAAATCGGACATCACCTTATCTCCTAACTGGTACTATTACAGAGATTTCGTATCAACACTTTAGTCTACTAAATTTTTGTTTAAAACTCATACATGTGAGCGTTAATGCAGGGGCATTTCATACAGCCTATAAACACCGCCCTTTCATTAAATGTGTTTTCTGGTTTCCTTAATTTCGCCAATTTCTTAAGAAATTGATGGAAAATTTGAAGATTATATGATCAGACACATAAATATGGCATATACCACGTAAGTTTCTCATATTTAGTTGTTGTTTTTTAGTTGCTGTTTTTTGTTGAACCATATATTACGTACATGGATAACGTATTTTATTTACAAGTAGGCTGCATCTTGTATTAGACCAACATAGCATCAAGTTTCACTAGAGCTGCTAAGAACACTTCTTATCAGATGTGTTGACAGCTCTCCTGATAAAGAAAGTGACCGGAGATTTCTGGATTTGGTAGATTTCACACATCTATAACTTGATGGACTTAGAATATTCGTCAACTTGATGGACTTGGAATATTCACCAGCTTGAGGGACTTAGAATATTCATTGCTGATTAGAGGAACTTTGTAGATTTCCTATATCTATAACTTGGTGGACTTAGAATATTACCAACTTGAGGGACTTAGAATATTCATCTCTACCTAGAGGAACTTTGTAGATTTCACACATCTACAACTTGATGGACTTAGAATATTCGTCAACTTGATGGACTTAGAATATTCATCTCTACCTAGAGGAACTTTTGTAGATTTCACACATCTATAACTTGATGGACTTGGAATATTCACCAGCTTGAGGGACTTAGAATATTCATTGCTGATTAGAGGAACTTTGTAGATTTCCTATATCTATAACTTGGTGGACTTAGAATATTTGCCAGCTTGAGGGACTTAGAATATTCATCTCTACCTAGAGGAACTTTGTAGATTTCCTACATCTACAACTTGATGAACTTAGAATATTCATCGCTGATTAGAGGAACTTTGTAGAATTCCTACATCTTCAGTTTGATAGACTTAGAATATTCACAACTCATTTGATGAACTTAGATATCTTCAACTTGGTGGACTTAGAATATGCATCGCTCAGCTGATGAAAAACTATATTAGTGATGAACACTTTTATATATAGATAAATATACAAGTATAATTGCATAAAGGACTTATAATTAGTACCTCTGAAACTGAAACTTAGTATCAATTGTCGATTTGTGTTGTATTATTTTGAGGCGGATGAAGCCAGAATATATGTTGTTAATTTTATATTAAATATTGTGTCTTTTTATTCATGCGTACATTTAACGTGTACCAAGTATCCTACGAAGTAACCTGGTCTGATTAATAACAACATCCACACTACCACAAATTAGGCCAGACGTTACAATATCCATTCGTAGTCCAACAACATTAGACCTAGCCTGGGCCTCGTTTCTTATCTGACATGTCTTATGGCCCCTGCTAGGTCTAACCTCCATGACCATTTTGCCCTTGATGTGTTAATTTAGTCGTTCAGCAGGTTCCGACATGCGGAACTAATTAAACTCCGAAAACATGGTAATATTACACAAAGGATGTGATTCAAGCATGCATACATACCTTATAAATACATACACACCATCCTGTACCCCCCTTAGACCATATTGATGCATAATTACGAAAATATTGGAGACAGGTTTGGAATTTTACGAAAATATCGGTCAACTCCGGTAACATCGAAATTGCAAATCGTATCAGGAATTAACCGTCATTGCGACACTGCATCAACGAACAGTAGGTTTGCAATTAATAACTATTTTGTGTGTATACAAGCGCTATATAAATCAATCAAAGATACCTGCTATCCTCAAAAATAGTTATTTTATCCCGAGTAATCGCGTGATAATTATCAATCTATTTGACAACAATTTCGTTTCAATAGTTTACATTTTAACCCGGGACGAACAGACACAATGGCGGACATGCGGAAATGTCATTTTAGAGATTGGTAAGTTTAACCTCATTTTACTTGTATAAATGACCATTTAATACAATAATATTGTGTTTAATCGCTTGATGTTATGTGTTTTTATATTGTTGTCAAGTATCAGTTGCATGTTATCGCGGAAAAATGGTTTCGGTGGATCCAAAACTTGCATCAATGGAAAGAATAGTAAGGAGGTTAAACTCAATAATGGCCCCAAGAAAATTCTTAATAATAAATAACGCCGTTATTGAGTTTAACGACGTTGAACTAATCCATTCGTGGATAAAAATCATATCACTCATAAATCATAGGATATCCTCTATATATTACACTTAATGTGAGAAAATATATGCAAAGTACAGTACAGTATTTGGCGTAATAGGCGATGTACCCATGGTATGATTGGGTACACTAATTGGGAAACTTCCTGGCAGAATATTTAGTCTAAATTCTACATCTGCTGAAGACCAACATAATCAAAAATATTAACATATACTAGATATCTGGTAGCGAGGTTAATAATGGAACAACTTTAGTAACTGCTTACTCGAAAACTTGCATGTCCAAATAGAAATATGATGCGATATCTACATTTTTATGACAAGTCTTCAAAAAATAAAAACCATTATACACATAAAAAGATAAACGCTCTCCTCCAAGATTTTGATAATCCTAAATAAATCTAACTACGAATACAACTTGTTATCTTGAGGAGAAAATGGGAAAATTTGGATATAAAGTGAAGTAACATCTCTCATCATGTCGTATAGACATTTTGCTCCCCCCCCCCTCCGTCCCCTCCCCCCCCCTCCGTCCCATTTTAATTATTTTCGATTATTTTTTATACAACGTATGGAAACGTATTTTGTAAAGTCATTAAGGTCATTAATTTTATGATGATAATGTCACTTACAAATATTTATTGCAGGTTGTGCAATTTTTTTTCTTGAAAATTTTTTTTTTGCAGATTTGTTCATTTTTCTACCAGAAATTGCTTCCTCCCCTCTCCGTCCCATTTTCACGATCACCGGGTGTGAGTTTTTAGAATTAATTTTTGCAAGTTTTTTTGCCTCCGTTATTCGCTTGAGCCACAGATAAATAAAACTTTTTGGCGTAAAAAGGTGATTGGGGGTAGAGGGACAAAGCTATGATAGTCAAAAGTTGATGCCATGTGATACTTTATAGTGTTACAAAAACGTTGACGTTTAAAGGGACCGCCCCCATTGGTCAAAATGTACACTACACTATATCTTTATGAATAATTTATCAGTACTTTTTTTTATTAAAGACTGTTCGTGTTACGAAAGGAATTTCCATTCGTGAATTATAATAGCGAAGTTCAAACTTTTATCAAAAAATAATTATTCATTTTTTTCCGAAACTATGAATACGTGTTCAGCAAGAGGAACAAGGAATACTCTTCTGGAGATACACTCCCCCTGCCTCTACCATAACAAAGTAGATTTAATGTATGTACTAATTTTTATCAGTTTTGGCGGAGATTCTACAGTTCCGTAGCGCGTGCCATGACGTTCCCCATATTTCTGCAGATCCTGGTGCAATGGGAGTTCTGTAAGTATATCCTAGTACAGTATGCCTACAAAACAGTTACGTTCGGCGTACAACGCCCGTACGCCGAACGCCGAACACAAAAAAAGTTGAACACTGTGGTTTCCTTAGCTTATGACCTGAAATACATTCACTTAATGCCATATCCGAGGAAAATGCATTTTTGTTCTCTTGCTCAATAAATCAACATGAATATATTTTATTCCACTGAAACACTTTAATTAGTATGTGCCAAATCGCTCCCAAAGTGGCTTAGTTAGTCTAAACCGATGTTGAGGTAGATTACTAAGAAGTGGCCCATAGTCATTATAGATTGGTTCATTGACTTTTCGTTTTCACTTGTCTGCAGTTAAAAAGGTGACACGAAAGGGCTAAACGGCTTGCCCCAAGGTGCAACCGTCAAAAATATGAGTTTGAAAAAAATCATGTTTTTCAAATAATAGCAGTGAGTATATGAAATAAGAGGCATATTTGATATTGCTATGTATGATAGTGTATTTGGGTGTGGTCATTTTTATTAAAAACAATAATGATGAAGAATTATACATTTCTGACCTTAAAATGACATTTTAATGCAAAAGTCGCGGTTGTTATTAATAATATTCCTATTTTACCTATTTAATGTTTTCTAAATGTTTTAATTACCATTATGTTAGTTTTTGACAAAGTAAATAATTATAGGGGTCACACAAGGATCCACTTTATTTACAACGTTTTCATATTTAGTGATGATTTGAAAAAATACTAAGTTTAACACAATTTCATTTGTTAAATATTAAATAAAATGATGGTATTGTGTTTGTTTCATTGTTTCAACTAAAAATCGCAATTCATTGCTCTTGCTCTTAGAGCTGCAGGGCATATACCAGTACAAAAAGTCTTCAATAAAGTTGATCCTTGTGTGAGCCCTATGTTTATTTACTTTGCCAAAAATGAATATAACGATTATTCAGATATATAAAAATCCTTTAATAGGTTAAATAGGAATACAATGATTGACTTTTGAATAAAAAAACATTTTTCATGTTCATATATATGTAGTTGTTGCAGTAAAATTACCACACAAAAGTGGACTATCTTTCCATATATATATCAAATGGGCCTTCTCTTTGCATTTTACTGAAATTATTTGTAACAAAAGTTTATTGTGATAAAGCAGGCTGTGATTTTGATACTTTTTTAGCTTGCAGACAGTGATCAAGTCGAGACAACATCCTGTAGTAATGGGTGTAACAGTGATGAGGCAGGAATCGATTTTATAAATGCAACTTTTGACAATTCTATTATTGATGGTTTGTCTAACAGTTAGCAATTTTGTCCAACATTGTGCTTGGACGCCAAATTAAAAGATACCGATTTGCATCACATCAAGTTTGATTTGTTTACCGATGTTTGTCAGAGTGATACCTTTAGCAGCTGCACTCGACTGATATGCACCAAGATATATGTGAGCTTTCATTGCAACATTTACATTTAGAACAGTTACAATATTACTTAGTCTGGTAGAAAATTAAATAATTGAAGTACATTTCTTTGAGTTTATTCAATTTGAACATTACTTTTACAATACAGATACCTTCGTTTTGAAACATTAGCAGCAATTTTATTTTCAAACGGTCAGTTTTCAACTTTGAATGTTTCATTTTTGTTCATAAAAAGTGTATTCTACAAAAGTCAAGGTCATTTCAAGGTAAAATGTCAATGTTTAGGTAGTTGGCTTTTTAAGACACCTGGCCGTTGATTTGACCCTCCACAACCAATGATTAGGTGACCTGAAGTCAAGGTTTGAATGGATCAAGGTAATTTTAAGGTCAAATGTCAATATCTAGCAAGTTGACGTGAGAACAATTGTGACCTTTGGCGAGCAATGATAAGGTGGTTTCAACGTAATTTCAAGGTCAAAGGTCAATATCTAGGTCATAGGTAGTTGGCTACTGTGGGTCTTAAGTAACATTTGATCACCAAAGATAAAGTGACCTGCAATGATAAGATGATTTCAAGGTAATTTCAAGGTCAAAGGTCAATATCTAGGTCATAGGTAGTTGGCTACTGTGGGTCTTAAGTAACATTTGATCACCAAAGATAAAGTGACCTGTAATGATAAGGTGATTTCAAGGTAATTTCAAGGTCAAAGGTCAATATCTAGGTCATAGGTAGTTGGCTACTGTGGGTCTTAAGTAACATTTGATCACCAAAGATAAAGTGGACGGTCAATGTCACTGTTTATGGGTCAAGGTCATCTCAAGGTCAGAGGTCAATATCTGAATATTTGGCATTTTGGGGATCCTGCTTCATGTGAGGACCCATTGATATGTGTTCTGAGGTCATTGTCATTCCTACAAGGTCAAAATCTCTGTATTTGGCGTTTTGAGGCCCTGGGAACTGCTATGACCCTTGGCAACTCATGCTAAGGTGACATGAGGTCAATGTCAATATCTATGGCTCAAAATTATAATAAGGTCAAAGGTCAATTCTCGGTAGTTGGCTCGTTTGAGGTCATATTAATGACTGCACTCAGTAATCTTCAGTCAAGCTGACGAAGTTTTTCATGAAAGAGTAACTTTATGTTGTGGTTCTAAATTGAATAGGTATAAGCATGTGCGTTTTCAAAAATGCAAATTTAAAGCAAATTTTGCAAAATTTAGTTATTGATATGTAGAGATAGTCCATTAGGGTATGGTTATTCTCTTTAAATCAATTATGGTACAACTTTGGTACTTCTGACTATATAATGCTTTTTTATTCAAAAGTCAATTATATTATTCTTATTTTGACTATCAAATGATTTTCATATATCCGAATAACTATTATATTAGTTTTTGGCAAAGTAAAAAATAGTAGGGATCACACAAGGATCAACTGTATTGAAGATTGGTCAGACTGGTATATGCCCTGCCGCTCTAAGATCAAGAGCAATGAATTATGATTTTTCAGTTGAAACAACGAAACAAACACATCATCATTATTTTGTTTAACATTTAACAAATAATTTTCTGTTTAACGTAGTAATTTTTCAAAACATCACTAAATATGAAAAAGTTGTAAATAAAGTGGATCCTTGTGTGAGCCCCATTATTATTTACTTTGCCAAAAATGAATATAATGGTAAGTGTAATATATAGAAAACATTGAATAGGTAAAATAGAAATATAATTAATAACAACCGCGGCTTTTGCATTAAAATGGCATTTTAAGGTCAGAAATGTATAATTCTTCAATATTATTGTTTTTAATAAAAATGATCACACCCAAATGGACTATCATACATATCCATATCAAATTTGCCTCCTATTTCATATACTCGCTGCTATTATTTGAAAAAAAAGATTTTTGTCAAACTCATCTTTTTGACGGTTGCACCTTGGGGCAAGCCGTTTAGCCCCTTCGTGTCACTTTTTTGAGTGCAGACAAGTAAAAATGAATAGTCAATGAACCAACCTATAATGGCTATAGGTCAGATCATAGTAACCTACCTCAACATCAGTTTATGGGATTTTCGGGAGTTTTGGCGCACACTAAATGCTTCCAGGATTTTTATCTTAATTCTGGTTTTCTTTGCCATCATTGGCACAATCGTTGATGAAGTCAAGATAATGAGAAAATCATGCTGTTCTATGGATGACCAAAATACCAAAAACTACACAGGCGGTGGTCTTGACAATATTGGCTTCTCTGATACAAAGAATTTTGCAAAGCTACCTCCGTGTCCGGATGGATCATTAACGGACAGCACATTCGTATCCAAATCAATCTTGATTCAAAACGAGAAGTTGGTTCCATCTGGTCGTTGTAGCAAAGTTTCAGGTAAGTTTGTTTCACATATGTTAAATGAGACTATTTTAGAATTAGATTCATATCACATACGTGAATATCGCTATTTCCCAATCATAAAAAGGCATTAACATGCAAAATGTCACCACCTGGCATTTGTTAAAGACGCCGACCACTGAACGCCGAACATCATCCATTGAACACCAACCGCCGAACGCCGTCCACAAAAAAGTTGGAGACTGTAACAATTTGTCAACATTTGTGGTGGTGACATAAAAATATTTTGTGCATTATCACCATTTGATAATTACAAAACTGCTATTTGTTTGCACATCCACCGCATACTAAAGTCATCTTCGACTTCCACTTGGTGTTTTAGTTGAAAAACTGAAAACTTGAGAATCTGAGAATCAAGATTTACTAAAGTTCTTCTATTTCAGAATTGGTTCTAAGGATGCTTTGCTCATTTTCTATACGACGAAACATACGCCATATATTTGCTGATGTAAATGAACAAGGAGTCCCTCAGTGTGTGAACGGCGCCAGAGTTCTCAGTATGGCATGGTTGATCCTTGGCCTGATGCACATTCTGGGAGTTTTATACTCGGAGAAGTTCACCACGCGTAGGTTCTCACTCTTCTTCATACATGTGTGTTGACTTAGTTTCATAAGGCAAACATAAGGCTATAAATACAATTGTAATATAAGTGCAGGTAAATAAGTGGCATAAGATATAAATATTTGTTATATAAGTGCAGGTAAGTAACTGGTATAAGAAACAAATATTTTATTGTGGTTTTCAAAGTATACCTCAGTATCTGCTAATTACTGAGTAACAGAGTGTACAGCATTTTATGCAAAAATGGTATCATCAGTTTTGAAGGCAAAGCTACTACAGTACCGTGATTTTGCAAGAAAACAATACAAAACATACGATGCCAAAAATAATGTTCTTCATTTGAAATCTTGTACCGTAACTGGGTTTCAGGAAATCTTCTGAGTTCATTTTCTCGGATCCAACGTTTTGAATATCAGCCCATACTAAATGCAGGATTCAGCGCCCACACGTTCTTTCTCTTATCGTAAGTATTACTCCCTCCATCTGAGACTAACATAAAAGATCACGTAATTTAATCTCATGATACGATTATTTTGTATTTCTTATCTGAGATTCGTTTGGATCAACACAATTACTTTTTGATCCTCCGGAATTATTTTCCAAAATGATCTCACCATGGCAGTCACTCTCCTTTTGATTCTGTAACGACCTGAGGGTACGTCCATCCGAGGAGCTGTTCTTCATAATCGATAGCCTGATATTGCCATCACTGATCATGGGCAACATTGCAAACCGATGAAAATCAATTTTGCGATTTCTTTAAAGTGAAGTTACCGTTGCTGTTTCCAGTTTCCAGTACCTGTCATGCTACACCCTAATTATAAACAATTGGAAATCCCTTTTTGTGGGTGCCTTTTTGTTTGGTGATTTAAGCAAATTCTTCAAATCATAAATACGTCCAACCTTTTGTTGCAGATAGAAGAACCGTAAGATTAAAACATAAATCGCCTTTAATGCAATATCCACTTCGGAATTTTTGTTAACCAACTCATGGAGTGTATGTGTGTTTTTTCAGAGGAGTACTTGTTAGTATAATCTTTCTGAGATTCTTGGAGAAACATTCGGGCTCTTGGACTATTTCTAAATCAATCTCACATGGTGTGTATTTTATTGTACATCGCTGGTGGAGGTACGTAGGATAACTGAACAAGCGAAACTGATTTTAAGTTGGCCTGTAACTTTTTTATTTATTTTGGAGCCACTCAGTAATATTACGATTTCTCTGCGCCACATTGTCCAATCAAGATCATTTGAGTACCTAGATGCGTTCCTGAGACGTTTTGGACACCCGGGAATGACAACGTTTACCCAAAGTTTGCACGCTATATTGACGTAATTAATGACTGCAATCGGCAAGAAAAAAAGAAAAAAGATTACAAGCCTCGTTAAGGCTTGATAAATTAGAACACAAACATAAATACAGTATTGTATATTGGGCGTTTGCAACTTTTTGATTTGCACAAGAGTACCCATATGATATCGAAATATGACTGAAAAATATGCATCATATTATACTCATGTCTGAGTTAGTCCTGCGTCAAGCCCTTATAACGTCCCTCTCATGAATGTTTCACCTCTAAAGTTGGTATGTAAAGTAGATAGCGACGAGTGTCCAAAGACTTGATGCAAAACTGTCTGAGGTAACGGTTATTCCGCTTCAATTTTATTTTCATTTGATTCATTTATTATGTTTTTCACACTATAGGCTGACACCACTCTATTTCCTGCTTCTAATGTGTTTTGCCTACCTATTCGATTACATTGGAAATGGGCCCCTGTGGCCAGAACCCGATGATACAGATCGTCAGCGTTGTTCTGAAAACATCTGGGCTAATTTGCTTTATGTCAGCAATCTGTATAGGCCGAAAGACGCTGTAAGTCAAGTTTAGGCTCCTGGCCATCTTGCTTCATCAAACTTTGGACTTATCATCAGAAAGGATGTAGTGATTGAGCATAGGAACCCCGGGATGGGAACCGACGATGCCTCCTAACCCACAACCCTTTCATTTATGTTACACATTCATCAAACACATGTCAAACTTATTTCATTTTTACCATACCAAAAGTTTCTTTTGTACTACTTTTGAAAGGGGGTGACATTGTTGATGAGATTGAAAACAACATGCTATCCATTGTTTTCAGCCTAAGTTTGGTTACCAACATTTGACATCTTCCGAATCAGACTGCTATTGCTATTCTACCTTTTAACAAAGATTTCTTTGCGTGTACATAATCTATCTATGCAATTTCTTGTATTTTGAGATTTGAATAGATAATTTCAACAAACTGTCATTAGATCAAACATATTTTGATGAGAAATGTTTCGTTACATTAATGATAGGAAAATAATCATGGTAATACAGAAATGTGACTGTCTCAAATTATTTATCACATCATACCTGGTCCTTTGATATTAAACTTGAATAAAAGTATTGACCTTTGAAATTGTACATGTAACATTGACTTTTGTGTTTATTTCACAGTGTATGGCTTTTTCCTTCCCAATGGCCTGTGGTATGCAGTTTTACATTGTCTCACCTCTGCTACTTATCCCTTTGTATTAGTAAGTACTTATTATTTCATGTAATGATCTATTTTCTATGTCTATGTCAATTATCTGCAAAGGGCTAATAAGCCCATATAAAGCAGATATACAATTTAACAGTGATATTATTTGAATAGAATATCATTTCAAATATGTCAATGAAATATTTTGATTGAAATCGAAGAGAGGTTATGCAGTTATATATGCAGAATATAAAACTTATATGGTGGCTTGATTTGGCATATTCAAATTATTCTTCCATGGCCATATTATGCCTCAGTCACATTTGATCTACGGCAACCGTATGGCGGTGGTAGCTCCCCAAAATCGAAAGAGATATACAGCTATAAAATATAGGGAAAAGCAGTACGATGTTGGAAATCTATTTAGATTTGTTGAAGCTACGGTCGCCATACGGCTACCGTAGAGCAAATGCGACTACCGTAGAGCAAATATGACAGAGGCTTTAGTCTAATGGTTCACTGACCATGTATTGTTCTCCAGTTCTCCCATATTAGGAAGTGCACTGTTATTGCTATGTCTTGCCGGGAATCTCTCTGCGCTTGCTATCATCAACACCAAGCTTGAGACGAGGTAGGTGTGCAAAAATGTAGAAAATTAAATAATGTTTTTGTACATTCACCATGACAACATGGAATCGGGAAACACTTCACTTTGAGAACATGCCTCACCAAACACTTGAGTGTGAAAAGATAGCCTCACCAGACACTTTATTATGACAACATGGCCTCACCAAACACTTAGGTATGACAACATAGCCTAACCAAACACTTAGGTATGACAACATAGCCTCACCAAACACTTTAGTATGACAATATGGCCTCACCAAACACTTAGATTTGACAACATAGCCTCACCAAACACTTTAGAATGACAACATGGCCTCACCAAACACTTTAGTGTAACAACATGGTCGCAACAAACACTTAAGTATGACAACATGGCCTCACCAAACACTTTAGTATGACAACATGGCCTTACCAAAGATTTTAGTATGACAACATGGCCTCACCAAACACTTTAGTATGCCAACATGGCCTTATCAAAGACTTTAGTATGAAAACATAGCCTCACCAAACACTCATGACATGGCATTTCCAAACACTTTAGTGTGACAGCATGGTTTAATCAAGCACTTTAGTATGACATAGCCTCACCAAACAGTTTAATATGACAACATGGCATTACCAATCATTTCAGTATGACAACATGGCCTCAACAAACACTTAAGTATGACAATATGGTCACACTTAAGTATGACAATATTGTCTCACAAAACACTTGACAACACCTAACAATAAACATGTCACAAGAAATTCCCATATATGTTTTTGTGATTGCAGAAATGAAACAAGCATCCTTGAATTTGCAAATGATTACTTCCATGAAGTGATCATCACCCCATGGTGCCGAATAGGACCCCATCTTGTAGGCTTGGCTTGTGGATATATAATACAAAAATTTGAAAATCACAAGCTATCTTTCAAAGGGAAAATGGTATGTATCATCTCAAACTCAAATGTGACAATACAATATATAATAACTACATCAACCTTTTTGGAAGTAAACCCTATGTGGTGTGAACCCACAGACGATCTTTCTGAGGAACCATTGTACACTCTAATTCCACCGTTAATACTGCACTCTAATTCCACTGTAAATATTGCACTCTAATTTCACTGTTAATAATGCACTCTAAATCCACTATTACCACTAAATATCGCAAAAATAGTTGGGAATCCTGGAATTTAAATCTTTTTTAGATCATCATCCCAACAGCTTGGATCATTGCCCTGCTGTGTATAACACTTGTGACATTTGGTTCATATAGCCAATATGGTGAATATGGTCAGCCTTGGTCGACAACAACAAATATTATATATGAAACTCTCAGCGCTCTTGTGTGGTCCATTGGTGTTGGATGGATTGTTGTGGCATGTGCATTGGGCTATGGAGGTACATGAATGAATGATAACCAAAATGCCTTTCTATGTGAACCCTGAAAGCATTGTCATAGCTGACAAGAGCAAATAGAATAGATTTTTCTCTTAGACTCTCTTGAAGGTAACATCTCTAGAACATCACATAAATTAAAACTGTGATACAATCCCCTCCAAAAATGTGGAAACTAAAGTCCATTTTTGGACCATGTGGCAAAACCTATCTATATTTGGTGATTTTTAACAAATTCATCAACAGTCATTTTCTGGCACTTGGCATTATTGAGGAACAAAATTCAAATTCAAACATTATCAGGCTTTAAAACAATTTATCTTTGGAATATTTATCTGAAATATATGGATTGAGAGAGGTGTATCTTGCAGTGCTATATTCATGATAAACATGTTGCTCATTGTAGGTGTGATCAACAGTATCCTCTCATGGAAAGCATGGGTGCCACTGAGCAGAGTATCATTTGCTGCCCACCTCACCTACCCCCTGGTATTACTCACATATAACCTCAACAGACGTTCTCTCCTTTACCTCAGTGACAGAAATATTGTAAGTTATTTAAACCATCATTATTGCATCAGCTGTGTTGTACGCCACTGTAGAGCCATCATATAAACCTTTCATAAACAAGATTCATTTTTTCTGCAAATTGACCAAGTCTTTTACTTGTTTTTATCAATTTTTTCTTCTAAAATTGGATCATGGGTCATCTACCATTCATAAGAGTCAGTGTGAGAAGTTAGACAAACCATTCATATTTGTATGCCAAGGCCCTTGGCTATTATTTATCCTAAGAACCAGAACTCATAGTTTATCCATGGGCTTTCAATTAGAAGGGTATGCAACTCTGTGTAATAACATGAGACCTTCAAAATGAGCAATGCCATGCTTCCCTTTAAGGTAATATTTCAAAAAGTATTAGATAAAATGTATATGTTTTAGTATTATTTTGAGTAAAAATCAATTTTCAATATGATTGAAGCATAAAATATATTCAGTATCATGTAAAAGTAAACAAAAAAGACCAATAAGAATAAGAGGTATCAAGATGTTCTTTTGGAGTATTGCATTGTGGGTAATTATTCAAGAACACATTCCAATAAAAACATAATTTGTGGGAGAATGTTCACTTTCTGTATTGTCATAATTATGATGAATTCCATTTTTTATTAAATTATCAACATGTATGTAGAAACTCATGTTTTTATTTTTGAGTTATTTCTTTAAATTATCAATAAAAAGTGCAAAATAACATTTTCTTGGAATGTGTACATTCTCCAATATTGAAAACCAAGGCAATGCTCATGTATGAAATATGGGAAGTTGCCTACCCTTCTAGTTGAAAGCCCATGGTTTATCATAACAAAAAAAAATTTTTAGTCTTGTTTTTACCAACCCTTGAGTTGAAGATTATATGTGATTTCTCTTTTCCACATTTGTTGAGCTCCCATCAATATTCTCATATCATGTTTTAGAGCAATCGTGATCTACCCATAGTTCCTTACCAGGACATTATTTTTGTTTTTCAGGCATACTGGTTCTTGGGCCACTTCTCCCTGACATATGCCATAGCTCTGGGATTAACCCTTCTCATTGAAGTACCCACACGTGAATTGGAGAAAGCCATATATCAGTTTGTTAAAACAAGCGAGGATGTGAGTCAGAAAAGCAAAGAGTCTTCCAGCCAGGATAAAACAAACAGTGATGGACATGTTATACAAGAGGCTCAAAACCATGGTAACAATATTAAGAAAGATAAACATAGAGTTGTGTCTGAATTTATGAACACAACTCTTTAATGACTGTTAATGTCAATGTATATGTAGCTCTTTGGCAAGATTTGTCACTTTATATGTATGCGAACATTTCTCTTTGACAAGACTTGTCACTGTATATGTATGCGAACCATTCTCTCTGACAAGACTTGTCACTGTATATGTATGTGAACATTTCTCTTTGACAAGACTTGTCACTGTATATGTTTGCGAACATTTCTCTTTGACAAGGTTTGTCACTGTATATGTATGTGAACATTTCTCTTTGACAAGGTTTGTCACTGTATATGTATGCAAACATTTCTCTTTGACAAGACTTGTCGCTGCAATCCGTGGCACTAAGTAGCATTGGAGTAAAACATATGAAAGAAATATGCTCTTATGACTATAGAAATCAATTAAGAAAATTGAAAAGATGTAATCCTTTCTGGAAAGGAGTGGTTAATATTTAATCTAATGTTTCAAACTGTGGACGAGATGCATAGCATAGAGAGCTAAGTTTAGGAAACAACGCCTCAGTGGAATGAATCAACCACAATTCAACAGTGAAGAATATGACAGTGATATGATGCTAATGTAATCATGTAATGATACAATATGTCAATAAAAAAGTTATATATATAAAACACATTATGTGCACTTCATTGTATAGATCTGGTAAAAACGACTTACACCATAAGAGCCCAATACCAAGGGTACTATTTAATTTAATTTGTGATGTCATCAGGTTATGCAGTGATATCACTAAGGGTGCATAAATTATTTGTAAAATTTATCAGTTTTTTTTTCTTGTAAATCTTTTCTAAATATGCTAAAATTTCTAAATAAATAAATATTGTTGAACTATCTTTTAATAAGTTTGTCATGTTTTAAATATTTATGCATCATTGGTTCCAATGAGAACTAAAATTTTAAAATGTATTTTCCTATGAACAATTTTTCCAAGGTTGAGTTAATTTAGTTTTCAATGAATACAAATTAGATTGGGATATACGCCATACATTTGAATGGGTGTCAGGCAGTTATTACTTATCAATAGATGCATGTGACAGCCAAAATTTTATTCCAAATGTGTTCATAATTTTAAAACAACTTTTTGAATTAAAAAAAAGGTTTCACCTATCACATTTTAATAACATTGAGTAAGACTACAATATAAGCCAAAGTGGTTTAACTTTATACAGGGCCTTTTTTAGCTTATACAGATCTGACAATTTGTTTTAGAATAAGAAACAAACATTATGAAATTAATTTTTCGATTCTGTAAATCATTTATTCTTATAGAAAGAAGCATATCTTGGGATTAATACAATACATTGTAATAATCAATGATTAACCATAGTTGCCTAGCAACATTCAGGGTCATAACATATCAATCTCAAAAGATGGCAGCACTGGATTGGGCTAAAATTTGTATACCATATAACATGTGGATATTGCCTTGAGATTTTCCATAATACCAGGCCCGTAGCCAGGAGGAGTTCAATTGGTTCGAGCGAACCCCACCTGGCCAAAATTTCTTTCAAAATCATGAAGTTTTTCACCATTCTGAGCACTCTTTAAGTGATTTTGGCCATTTTTGGACCATAATTGTCGGAAGTGAACCCCCCGGAATTTTCTGAAAAGTGGCAAATCCTGGCTACAGGCTTGAATACATTGGATTGCTTTTAACACAATGTGTTATCCAATGCAACAACAACTGAACAACCCATTTACAACCTGCCCATACAAGTTCTGGAGCCATTCATACTTTTCTACATAATTTCTGTACTACTTTAAGTAGTATACAACATATCTTAATTACTTCAAATTACTTAACTAAATTGCTTTACACCAATGTAATGTGAATAATAGGTCTATCACTGACTTGTATAAACAAGATTATTAGCAATGTGCAGCATAATATCTAGACATCACAAATTATGGAAACCTGTGTAAGTGAAACACATTTCTATGGAGGTGTTCCACTTACAGAGGTATTCCACTTACTTACAGAGGTGTTCCACTTTACAGGTTTTATTGTATATGTAATATGAGTAATTTGCTGACCAAAGAAACAGATACTTGAAGCCAATCTTTAAATTTGAGGTTATGATTAACTTAAAAAGTCTTACAGTCTCCCATTCCTACAACAAAACCTGTATATCCAAACACCTCACTAATCTGAACACCTCTCAATGTGAACACTTTCTCTCAATTTCATAATCTCATACTGACTCCAGTAATCCTCAATTCAATTGTACTAGGCCTATTTGATATTAGGGAGTTTAAACTTACATATAAAATTGAAACACCAACCTATCGAATGACCAATCACCCATGCAAATGCATCGCTTAAATATTTTCCGTTCATGTTTGGGCTGTGAAAAACATTGCAAGCTTAAACTCCCTGATGATGCATGCCAACATGTTCTTACTGTAGCAATGTTGAAATATGCAATTAAGAAAGTAGAAACTTGTTGATATAGAAATGCAGGTTTTGTAGAAAGCACATAAATACACATTTTGAGAAACTTAAGACTGATAAACCAAAATAAACAATGATTAACATGTAATTGTTTTTGATAATTATGCTGATTTGTAACTTGTTACATGTTTCATTCATGCAACAATCACTGAACTTAATTCATGGTGTCCTCTCTTATATAAGAGTTATTAGGCATGTCCTGTTTAACATGGTACATTTTTCAGCTATAGCTGTATCATAAAAATACAATGTATGATGTACACAATGCTCAATAAAACTAGCTGATTTGTTTAACAGACCACATATTGTGACATAAATCGGATTTTACTAACATTTATTAAATGTTTTTATCAAATTACGAAATATCTCCATGGATATTCAAGTTTTAGAATGCTGGACATCTTCACTGATTGGTTAGCCTTTTAAAAAGTATGAGATTGATATTTTGGCCAAGTTAATTGTCTCATGAGCACTTTGAAACTAGGCAAGGTGATCAGGATTTTATAGTTTTTATATTAACATTGCTTTATAGAAAATATACTATTAAAATGAAAGAACTCTTCAACCTCAGATTTCCCACCATTTCAGGATTTGGGTGGCAATTTTGAACAAGGGCATGAATCAGAAATAAGATAAAATATACATAATATACTTCAAAACTGATCTAATCATTGTGAATTCTCGATACAATATTTGCAATCTACTTTAAAATGAATGAAAATTCCTGTTTAAAGCCCCCCTTGGGGCCAAGCCATGACACATGGAATATATGTGAAATGAATCTATTTTATATATATGATCTATTGTACAATTTTGATACAATTTTGTTTGGAAATAAAATAGAAAAACTTCAGTTTTCATGATGCCATTTTCAAAGTGACAGCCGCTTTGATTTTTTTGCAGAAACCTTTTACCATTATACATCTTTGTAATGAATATGAAGAAGACCTGTCCACTACTTATTTTCTTATTTTTCAGATAAGACAGATAAAGAGCTTCACTATCCCACCAAACTTAGTTCATTGGGATAATACTAAAAATACGAGGAAATCTTAACATAGCCTTCAGAGAAGTCTTGCATCAATTCTCTATCAGTGATCAACCCTAATCTATTTCCAAAGTGTTACCGGAGAGAACAGGGGAACACAAGTGCTTATAAGAGCTAGTCCCTTCAAAATATCTTTCTATGTCCATGAAATGCTGTTCTTGTCCTAATTCTACACGCCTAACTGGCACATCTAATTTGATGTCATGATGGTCAGGCCTTTTCACAGGGAGCAACATATTTTCAAGGCATGATAATAATACTGAATGAAAGGCCTAATTATCCATATAATATGTTGCAAAATTTCAAGATATAATTTAGAGTAAATGACTTATATAAATTGATTTTTTATCCATTATTAGTCCATCGGCAAACATTGAAGTCAACATAAGTTGAATATGTACGTAATAGTATAAAGCATGGAAATATTATGACCATCAAGATGTTCTGTTCCACCGGTGGAATCACCCACTATCATTCAGAACACAGCAGCACCATCTATTTACTTGCAAATAATTGTTTGGATTATACCTCAACAATGAAATCTTGGCAAGTTATGCCAAAATTGTTTATGACACATTTTAGTAAGTTTAAAGTCCTCTTTCTAATATATCTAAGCTGATTGCACTCTATGATATACTGTGAATCAATTCCTTCACTGTATTTTGATTCAGTAAATTAACTGTTACTGCAAACATTTCAATGTATATTTCACACCCTTCTGCTACCTTGGAGTACCTGCAATAAAAATATTTTTAATTTTTTTAATGAAATAATTATTATATGAGCTAATTGACAGACATTTGTGGATATTCTCCAATTAAAATAGTTTTTCATGATCCATGTTCATTCTACTATACAAAATCATGTCTACATGTACTTAAAATCTAATAAAAATAATCATAAAAACGAAAGACATCATGACTATTTTATAAGATAAACACCAGTGGATCATATAATGGATATGAAGCACACACAGAGTGTGAAGTGTATTTCTTACCTTTTCTTGGCATTTCACAGACTTCACATTTATCGAGGGCTGGGTGATTCTCTAGAGTACAGGAAGCGCAATTCCACCTGGGCCCTTCATCTATGTCCTCATCATTGCGACTTCGCATAGTAGCCTGCTGGCTTTGGTGTTCAGGGTTATTTGCGGAAGCTTGAGGGGGGTATGGGTCATACGGAGGGGGTGGATTATGAAAGGGGGCCCTCTGTAGACTAAAAGGTGGAGGTCTAAGAGGTGGTTGCCTTGTGTTTGTGACCAGTTCTGAAAAAAGCATCAATTGTTTATTTCAATATACAATAAAATCTGTAAAGTGGAACACCTCTGTTAGTGGAACACTTTTCAGAGTCCCAAGATCAACTGTTAAATAAACCATTATAAGTGGAATACCTCACACCCAAGTGGAGCAAATTTTAGAGTTACCAAAGGTGTTACACTTAGACAGGTTTTACGATGGTATAAATTGTGTAATTTTTAGTACAAATCAATGTAAAAGGCATTAACATGACAAAATGTCACCAACTAGTTGCTCATAATATTATGAGTTCAATCTTAAAGAGAGAATCAGAGATAGCGAGCAGGCTAAACAACAAATTGTTTCAATTTTAGAATATTTTTGGCTCACGTCATTCCTTGTCATGTCTATTTTCTAAAAATCACAAAAGTGCATACTTTATTCAAGGAAAACTAAAGATTTTTACAATAATGTATTATTTTTCTATAAGAATGGTTACCATTCTTATTATTTGGGAGAATTTAAACATTTTTCACCCATTTTTGCACTTTGAATCATTAAGAACTTCACCAATTTATAACATATTGTGAATCTTTTGGGAGATATTGTATTTGATATTGTAAGGAATAGATTGGTAGGTCAATTATGCACGTTGCTTGTAATTTTGTCACCCCCTATAGATCTGATTCTGCCTTTAAGTCAGGTATGAATTTCTGAGAACTTGTAGATAGATGATTTTGAAAAAATAAATTGGTAAATTTGAAGCAAGTTGTTACCCTGATGATCTTTTTTACCATGAGAAAATCAAATTTATAGCCAGATGTGAACTTCTGATAACTTGTAAATAATTTTGGTAAATTTGAAGCAAGTTTGACCTTGGGAAGGTCAAATCTCAAATCTTAAGTCAGATTTGAACTTCTGAAAACTTGTAGCTGATTTTGAAAAGGAAATTGGTCAATTTGAAACAACTTGAAAAAAAAGACCTGAAGGTCACTGAAGTTCAAATCTTGGATACAAAGTCAGATTTGAAATTCTGAAAACTTGTAGAAGATTTTGAAAAAAATTGAAGTCAGTCTAAACAGTATTTGTTAAGTTATTTGAAGTTGCCGACCGCCGACCACCAACTGCCAACCACCAACCGCCGTAAAAAAACTGAGACCATAACAATATGTCACCACTTCTTGGTGGTGACATAATAAGATTGGACTTACATTTGAGCTAATCATGACTTCAATTGCCAATGCAGTGGTTATTTAGTGATTGAAACATACCTGTACCTAAAGAGCCGGGTCTCGGAGGGCGAAGCTGTTGGCCAGTCACAGGTTGGGGCATATTTTTATAGAAGTCCTCTTGTTCCTTTGAGTCTACTATGCCAAGTGGAGCTATAACAATGATAAAATGGTCAAGATTAATCCACAAAGGTCAAAATATGGGAAATCACAAACATGTACTAAGAATTCTTGAAAACAAATAAAATAAAAAAAGGTCAAGGTCACTTTGAGAGGTCAAGGTCATTCAGATTATATGAATGTCTCCTGTTATTGCATTTTTAGTATATATGAAAGCTTAGGTTGTTTTGGAATTGGCACCCCTCAATGAATGCACCACTTGTACATGTATAAATATTTATACATATGATACATACATATGATATTTTGTAACAATGAATAATGGATTTACTTGCATGTTGGAGCCCATAATAGATCTGAATAAATATTACAAAAGTTCAACCTACCAGTCCCATGTAAATCCACTTCTCTAGTCATAAGCTGTATTTCAATCTGCAGTTTTCTATTTTTGTCTCGGATATCATGTAGATCTTTTGCCTTAAAAGTAAAATTCACAGTATAAATGGTTGCCATGGGTCAACATTCATAGATAAAATTTCAATTTCAATAGGATCTCCCACATAATATAACAATGATAAACATGCAACATGTCACCCCCTGCCATTTTTTACAGATGCCAACTGCTGAACACCAATCACTGAACACCAAACACCAACTGTTGAACACCAAACACCAACTGTTGAACACCATTCACTAAAGTGAAGACTATACCAATATTCTAAAGCCTGATGGCGACATAAAAATCACAATATCTTTAAAGTACTGACAGATTTAGACATTATTCTATTTGATTCTATATGAACTGTTTGCCATTCTTTTTGTTGAAATCTTCCTCATTTCAAAATATGCCCTTTGAGCTCAATAGTATGCTCATAGAGTTTTTCAGGAATACATGACAGTAGGGAGTGCATGTACAAAGTGAAGGTGTGCAAAGAGAGTGATGTACAGGGGAGTGTACAAAGCTAATCAAGAGGGGAATGCTGTACAGTATCCCAGGATACTACTTCCACTATTGTGTTGTTGTTTCTCGTGGAGAAAAGATATTCTAACAATTTCAAATTCTAAAGCATCCAAAGAAAGGGGTATGAAGTCATGTAAGCCTTTTAAATGCAGGCCAATTGTAAGATAGACAGTCAAAGTCTAAATATCATGAGATAAAAAGCTTATAAATTACTGGTTGGGATTGAATATGGAAATATCATATTGTCCCTTGAAATAAAATTCACATTCCATCCCACCCATTAAATAATCTCCGGGTACTGAGAATGATGTTGGGGTTTTACCTTAGGAAAGTGATTGCTTCTTTGTCTCCTTCCCTCCATATATTCCTCTATTGCATCTAAATCTATTTTTATTGTATTCAATTCTTCTTTCTCTTTTTGTAAATCTTCTTGTAATTTAGAATACCTGGCTTTTTGGTGTAAAATAAGGGCTGAAATGTAGATTTTAATCATGTTTTAAAAAATGCTGTGTGAACATGTGTGATTTGGCAATCTAATTGGACTTTAACAACATTGTATATTGATGCAAAACATAAAACATTGTAATTTCATTATATTGTAGGGTGGGTGACCCAAAAAATGATAGAGCCAAATATAATCTTGGATAATCTCTAAATTATAAAAATGATATCAATTTAAATTAAATTAAGTTCTATTTTTCACATACATGATTCTTCAGCGAGATAAGCAAATCAAAATATGAAACTGATACCATGCATAGTTCAAAAGTTATTTGACATAATTTGAGACCCACTTTTTGGTCATAACACAACTGGACATTCAGGCTTTCTTTACAGAATTTTATGTGCATATCAACTATATATTGCAGGAATATTGGTGACTGATAGTCTTACCTTGTGTGTAAGCCTGGTCTTCACTACAAACACTATCTGATCTAATACGTTGATGAGGATTCTCTAAAGCATCAAAATCTAAACTTTCCCAGCTTGCAGCTGGTGCAATAGGTCTTTGTTGCATATGATCTGCTTCATACATGTTCTGCATTAACAGATTCTCCCTTGAGCCACCATGTAAAATTGCATCTTGAGAAGTTATCCCAAGGAATGGATGTGTAGGGGTAGAAGGACTGGAGTGTGAACTCTTACTACCCCCCTGGCTAGACCCCGAGGGAAGGTAAAATCTAGCCCTGGGGGACATGGTGTTGGCATCACGGTTTTCAATGTTAACTTGACCAGTCTTTGTATTATATTTAATCCTGCCTATGTGCTGCGAATTCATTGCCCCACTAGGTGGTGTGACAGACTCACCCTGAGGTGGGGGAACAAAGACAGTCACTGTTGTAGTCTCAGATTTATATTGGTGAGGACTGGTGCCTTGGAATCCAGGAGACTTATCAGATGTGTAGCGTGCGGACCGACTATATGCTGAGTTTTGTGGATATTGTTCAGGATTTGGGCTATTATAATATTGCGATGTTGAGACATGCTGTGGGGCACCTTGTAAGTTGGTTCCCTGTGAAAAATGTTCATTGAAGTGATTTGGGTTTGAAGCACTGTAATTAGGCTCTCCGTGTCCATAATGGCCCATAGGGGGCATACTATGTGGTTCCTGGGAGAATTGAAGATTCTGATGCTGCCGTTGGGATTGAGGAGTGAAATGTTGACCAAGTACACTCCCATGTTGTAGAGTTGATGCACCCGGTTGCAATGGTGATGTGAACTGGGGGTGAGGAAGCGACTGTAAATGATAAGTTTGTTGCACTTGATTGTGCGCAGGCACATAATTAGTGGAGGTTTTATATGCAAACTGTTGAGGGGACCCAGTCACTGTATTGTTATTAGGTGGATAACTATTCTGATGAGATACTCCTGCCCCAGATATCCCATAAAGAAATGGCTTTTGGTTAGCTGGTATAACTGGTGCTGTGGGTGGCCCCGTTTCAACATGCAAAGGCTGGAGGCCTTGGAATTGGGGCACTGTGTTACTATGCATCAAAATAGAATGTCCATGGGGCTGTCCCGAGGGATGATTGGGAGGATGTCCCTGACTGGGGGGTGGGGGTGTCACTGTATAGCGTTCATTTATGCCCCTGTCCTGGCTTACAGATCTTGCTCTCTGGGTACTTGGGTTACTAGGACTGCTATTAGTACGTGGCCGACTAGTTACATCCATTGCAGTTATATTACTACTTGTATTTGGTGTACTTGATGTACTGTTCATCAAAGATTGTGTCCCATAAAGATAACGATCACTCTGCCGTTTCAAATCTTCAACACATTTGTCGTGGTTGTACGAATTCTGAAACATATGATTTTAGGATTTAGAAATAGTATTTATGTTGTGATTAACAACTCTCTACTGTTTTTTCATATCATCGAGATCTCTGGTTGAATGCCTCTTCTTCTTCTTGTTCTTCAACATGGAATATTACGACTCATATATTAGGAGACTGACATGAAAAGAATCAATAAAAGATCGTACTTGTATTACTGTAATATTAGGAGATGTAACAATTTATGTTCTCTTGTATGATGACTTGTTGACCATTCAATCTACTTTACTTTGCACTGATCGGCACCAAAAGTAACCAATGAATTATTTAATAAATAGACAACAGCAACGCCAAAGCGTAGCAAATCCCATCAAACAGCCATGGCTGGCATTTTTACAAACAAAGTATATAGCAAAAATGGCAGCCATTTTTCCAAATGGTCACTTACCAAAAGTGTCATTAGACAGTGTGCCATAGTATTCACATACCAAATATGAACAAAATCGCTCCACTGCTTTTCCAGTTATAGTAAAATATGTGGTCATTTTGAAAAATAGCCGCCTTCTACCAAAAGTGTCATTAGACAGTAAGCCACGCTTATGGTATTCACATACCAAATATGAACAAAATTGCTCCACTACTTTTCGAGTTATAGTAAAATATGTTAAAATGGCGGCAATTTTGAAAAAAATGGCCGCCTGCTACCAAAAGTGTCATTAGACGGTGTACCATGCTTATAGTATTCCACATACCAAATATGAACAAAATCGCTCCACTACTTTTCGAGTTACAGCAAAATCGTAAAATAATGAGTAAAGGCCGCCATTTTTCAAGATGGCTGCCATGTGCTTCTTTAATATCTACATTTCTAGTCCTATATAATTTGTTCTACAATTAAAACATACTGTCATTACAGTTTTACATATTGCACCTAAATTACTGTAAAATCAGCACTAAAATGGCCGGCATTTTTAAATGAGCGGCCATTTTGAAAATCGGCTTTCGAGCAGAACTTCTATCCCATAGGGTATATGTGTACAAAATATGAACAAAATCGGGCCAATGGTATTTGAGTTATTGCCCGGACGGGGGGACAGACGGATGTACGGGCGGAGGTGTTCCCTATAATCTCTCCGAACTTCGTTCGATGGGATCATTAACTATAACACCATGTTTTACAATTTATATTCCTTATATTACTTCATAATTCTGAAACTTTTAGAGTATTTATCTTTCTGAACTGAATACTCCATCCAAACAATGTATAAAGATGGAATAGAAGTAAATCAGGAATAATTCCTTTGAAAAACTCTAAAATAAATTGCTGGTACCTTAAACCTATCCTGGTGAATGGCTATGACCTCAACTTACTTTTTTCAAAATACAAGAGTATGAAAAAATCACTCACCTGAAAGAAGTTTCAGTTTTGATTGACTGCGAGAGCAAAATTCAAGTTGAGCTAAAGGTTTTCGTCCAGTGTGAAATAGACTTCCTTTTCACTAATTTTGCATCACTATATCATAATTTCTGTGATACATAACCAGAACTTATGGTTCATAGCCATTCAACCAAGTCACAAAACAGTATGTAGATAATTATTTAATTGTATAAATATTATGAATATTCTTCCTTCAGTGTAACAAGCCTCCCTGAATCACAACGGAATAACCCGACAACGGTAAAGTCAGATACTGTTGTCACAAATGGCAAACATAACCGTCGATTCAACTCTTCAATCACTTGGTCCTCGTTTCATGGGACTTTATTGTCACTAATTTTGTGTATGTATTAAGCTCTTGTGATGATATATCATATGAAATCCCAATTTCGATCAAATTGGGTTGTGAATCGCCACAATATAGCGCCTTAGATATCGCCAATGACAACGGAATCTGAATTTAAAATAATTTACCATATGCCGTTGTCTTTGTAAATTATCCCAATTATCAGGCTATTCCGGTGTGTGAATACAGAATTCCAGAAATACTCTTAGTTTTTGTACTGCACATTTTTCAGAGGATTTATAAATAGTTTCAATATGCTGCTTCATAAACATTTAGTTTATTTGATCAAGCTTTAACAAACTCAAAAAATATTTGAAAATCTTACCTGCTGCATATGCGTTTTTACAACATCATCAGGTAATTCTGGAAACAGTTGTTTAAGCTCGTGGAAAAGTTTGGCATTAGAATGACGGCTAGGCATCACTGCAGTTGCCATGACAACACCGTTGTCTTACATCTAAAATGGCTTAGTTCTGATCTGCAAAGTAAATCTGAAAATATAAAAGTATTCAGAAACTAAAATTTCTTGACAGTTTATTAGATGAGTAAACAATATGTAGGTGGAGTGTCCTTGGTTCCACTTAAAAAATCCACTTTGGATATGTTCCACCTTGAGATTTTTAGCTCAAAGGAGTTTACAAGAATACATAGATAAATACATGTTTTATAGTACCATGGGACCTGTTTTTGTACTGTTTGCAATAAAGAAACATTCCCAATTGATTATCATTCACATATACATGTTATGTACGAATGATTTTACAACTTTGTAAAGTTGCGAATGGACAATTTTTGTACGTATTCATACTTGTTCAACTGTTTTGAGCTCGATTTACGAATGAGTCATATTTCATCGTTGTCAGGGCAGTTAGTACAACAAAACGATTTATCAAACTAATAAAATCAAAGTGGTAAAATAAGAACTATATAAAGATAGATCAGTTTTAACTATATTTTGAGAAAAGCGATATGATGAGCTAGGGGTCCAAGTTTTCATTTATGCTAAGTAAGAAGGTTTAAAAAAGCAAAAAAGGAGTCTGGATAATTAAGAAAATATATTAAATGAAAATAATCTAGTGTGAATCGTTAACCAGTGAGAAACTGTAACAAGTACCCAAAGGGAGAATAATAGTGATTTAAAGGAATAATAAGATAAACCACATGCGTTGTGTTGTATTTTAGTATTGTTTTTTTTCCAATGAGAATTGGAAGCCAAGGTTCCAACTCAATATTCTTAAATCTCCAATGAATGTGATGCGATATTGCTATTCATGCCTATATATTTATACGGCTGCAAGGAGAATGGCCAGTATACTTGATTTTGAATTTTGTATTCATGACATGACTATGTGATACCCATATATGGAAAGAATATAGAGTGGTGTCCCCGTTAGCAGACTACTCGATCAACATAGTTCAAACTACTGAAGTTTGCATAAAATCAACAGCATCAAATCAAATCATGGACTTCTATCAATGTTATAAAATCAATCAGTTGTATTAGCATGTTATGAATACAATTACATTGCATGGCAGATCTTTACTCGAGTCTCTAGCCAATTCTTGGCTAGAAGTACATGTAATTCCATCTGGAACACCGTGAACTATTGTAAAATTTCCAGTCGGGGTTCAATAAATTTAAGTAGTATTCTATGGTACACGAATGACATTTGTATATCTTGGATTGCTTCTAGTTTGGCCTATAAAGTGTGTGGCCTCTTATATTTGGATGCTTCTCTGCCATGTTATTTTCAATAAGATTAATATGGCTAAAATTCTTATTGCACAAAAACTAAAAGATCTGAAATATACAAATGTCATTCATGTACATTTTATGAATATACTTTTCCATATATTATTGAACAATGGTCTCCCAATTTCTTATTTTTGCCGTTCTACTGACGTAATGAAGCAGTGAAATGGACTCTAACGACATCTAATATCTCCCCTCTGGTTCCTTATTTTACGCAAATTTACTATCTAGATTCAATACTTGGTGATTTTAAACTTTTTATCTAACTCTATGCATTGTTAAGTATCAGTATAATAGTGTTGACATGCATCAGCCATAATTAATAGGTAGACATGTTTTTATGTTTTAACAAAACTCAAAAGTGCAAATTGCATATGACTTTTTGGAAAAAAACAAAAATCAATTTGTTTTTGTAAATAAAGTTAAAAATTAAAGGTCACATAAGATAGCATGCAGCGATCAATATAAATAGTAACTTACTTGGATATCTGAAGAATTTGGAAATCGTGTCTTAATCATCCACACTGACGTTAAAAGACAATGAACGGTGAGAACATTAGTGGATTCTGCAACTCTCAAAATATTTTTCAATCATGGCGTATAACACCCGTCTGCGCATGCGCAGATTATCCCAGAATGCAACGAATCCTCACTTTTTAACTTCAAATTTCACATATTATCACCAATATTTAGCTTACAATTATGATTCGATGTGTTGATTAGGTAGTGCTTTATATATGAGCTATGAATAACTCATACAACGATACCTTCAACATGCCGAAAATCTTTGTCAAAGATATGAATAAATGCGCATGCGCAAAGTTCAAAGGCGGTCGCGGTAAGTCCAAAATTTAAAATATTTGTTTTCCTTCAATAATTTGAATTTTTCATCCCTTTGTCTGAGCGGAGGAATATAAGTTTGTGCTATTGTTACAGTGATGATATGATTTTTGATTTCTAAGGACCTATACTGCACTGATTGTAAGATATTACCGCAAATACGGTGTTTTGTGTTTGTTGATATTTTCAAATATTTCAAAAATCACTGATTTCCAAGTCAGCAAATAGGTCATCCACAATTGTCATAAGGTGGCCTGTAATGCTGCTTATTTTTTTGTGAAGCTACTCAGTAAAATTACGATTTCTCTGCACCCTGATGTCCAATCAACATCATTCGAGTATCTATGTGTTCCTGACATGTTTGGGCATCTGCTAATGACAACGTTTACAGTTGGGGACATAAATAAATGACAGGTGGATTTGCTGAAGTGAGGATTTCCCATGTTAAAAATAAGAGAATTTACAAGAGGCCATAAATCAGTGGATGAGATTATACAAAATGTAAGATATACAAATTTTAAGGGATATGTATCTAGACAATATTTGAAATTATGGGCTTTCAGACCACCATAATTAGGAAATGGTGGTCGAAAATCGACCTGTCATTTATTTTTGTCCCCAACTGTACACCCAATGTTTGCACGGAAAATTGACGTAATTCATGACTGAAATCGGGAATACAAAAATATGTGATATTCTTTCCAAATTTTTTATGATTATTATATCTTGGTTACCGCCATATTTGGCGAGCAATACCTCATTGGTATATTCCGTATTTTACACTCGAAGATAGAGCCAGAAACCCCTCCTTGGAGGAGCCCTGTGTTCTTTTGTGTGCACAGGTACACAGACATACAGGTACACACCACAGCCTTTTATACGAGTCGTGAACCACTCAGTCAAACACCTAGAATTACATAACGCACAAACAAACTTGTCTGAATCAGGAATCGAACCCGGGGCCAAGCGATATTGGTAACCTTGATTCTGCCACTGAGCCATAGCGGGTGGACTAAATTTACAAAAATGTTCCCGAGACACAAATCCATTTAGGTAAGGTTTGTTTTAAAGTCGAAAAGCCCCAATAAGACAATACAAACCCAGATAAAACCCGGAACTGGAAGACTGCAGATTTCATGTAATGATTTACATTCTGTAAAGAAGTAAAGTACATATAATCAGCCCCATATAAAACACTGGCCTACGTAACATGTAATAACATGTTCAATTGAAATATAGAAAATTTTCAACATATTTGCTTCCATGTTCTGTATGCCCCTCTACCTGCTTAATAAGGCAATGCATCTTCAAATAAAACCTTAGCTAAGTAGATTAGAGTCTCTGGAACACTTTTGGAAATAGTTTTCACAAGCAATTTTGTTTGTGAATCTCAAATTTTATCTTCCCGATTTCAGTCATGAATTACATCAATTATGCGTGCAAACTTTAGGTAGACGTTGTTATTCTTGGATGCCCAAACGTGTCAGGAAAATATAGATACTTGAATGATCTTGATTAGAGGTAAAGATTAAAAGGTGGATTGGATCGAGTGGATTGGATTCATGTAAAAGGTGGATTGGATCGGGATTCTTCAAAATATGGATTTTCCTTAAAAAATTATATTGATCTCCCATCAGACGATTAATGCTCTTCTCACTTCCACAATGTCAAATAATAGATGATATCATTTTGCTTGGGTAGACTAGAAAGGTGACCTGATACACAATCTTATTCATTCCAAGGGTAATTTTAGACATTTCACAAATCATAAGGCAGACTTTTCAAGTCGAAGATCCATATCATCTGTTTTAAATTCAAACAGAACATGGCAGAATGTCTTGGGAACACCCACACGTCAATTTGAATGACAGCTTTTATCTACCGATCAATGTTTATTATGTCTTACTAATGTTGATTTACAAGGGAGAGCAGTTAAATGCTTTAGAGTATCTATCAACTAATTGAAGTATGTATTTGTCATTGCTTTGTCAATTCCTTAAAGGGACCCAAGTAATCACAAAATACTTTAGGCCGGAGGAAATTGCTTAGAGGGAGATCAACTAAAAAATCCATATTTTGAAGATTCCCAATCCAATCCACCTTTTACATGAATCCAATCCACTCGATCCAATCCACCTTTTAATCTCTACCTGATTAGACATCAGGTTGCAGAGAAATCGTAATTTTACTGAGTGCCTTCACGAAAAAAATAAAAAGGCTATACGCCTCGTTAACCACTTGTGCTCACATAGGAATATAAAAAATCAAGTTGCGATCTGTATTGATAAGACCCTTATCTTATCTTATTATCTTATCTTATTACCTATTTGATTTTTTTATAGGTCTAGGCCTACCCCGTGAATCCTATGCATGCTCATGCTTATTATTGTTTTCTCTCATTCTCCTTGGAACACTGAAGCAGATGAAAAACCGTAGTGTTTCTCCTTTTTTTGGGGTCACTCATTTCTCAATAAATTGATATTGAATTTGAAGTCTAGGCCTATTGAAAGAACAGTAGCTCTCTACCTATCGATTCTCGTATCTGATTAAAAGTCAGCCATGAACCCTTACAGATTAAATCTTGAAGAAATAAATGTTGCATAAGATTTTCTTCGGAACTACTGCACCAATACTACGCAAAATGATTCATTAGACCTAGGTAAAGCATATGCATAGCCAGGGGGTGTGATGTGTGCGATAACCAATAGAAATATAACCATGAGATAGAAAAAGAAAAGAGCTTTGAAATTATTTGAAGCTCCTAGCTCCATAATGAAATCGAGTTACAATTCTGCCTGAATGCTTAAGTACATGTTTTTCTCCCTGTCTAAGAGGACAAAAACATTTCACAGTGCAGTTATGAAGAATTTTCTTTTACAATTATATGTTTATTAGACTCCTTATGCAAGAGTTTTTAGCCTAGAAGATATATTTGACACTAATCAAGCCTTAAAGTTTAACAAATTTTCAGAAATCAAATAAATATATCAAGAATCAAAATCCATACATGTACATTTATATTCTTCTAAGATAAAAAACAATATCTTATAAAAGAAAAAGTATATTACATTACATATATATTCTTTATTTAGAATTTAGTTGGTAGAATGAGGCGATCGGGAGGTGGAAGGCAATCTCTGGCCCATAGAGTAAAAAATGATGCAAGTACTAGTTCTGGCAGGACATCAACAGGTTGGTAAAGTTATACTCTTGGGGAAGGTGACAGACCCTCATCTTATCATTTATTTATAGTTAAAACACATACTTTATAGGATTTACAGTAAAACCTGTATATATTGAACATTTTTTGCCAAGAAAACAACGTTCAGTGTTTATAGGTTTTCAATATAGAGAAGATACTAGAGAGAGGTGTTCACTAAAACAGGTTTTACTGTACGATTACTTTAGAATATCATAATTATTGCAAACTTTTGCTGTGTTTAGTTCTGAATTTTATAGTTAATTATTTGGAATAAATAGAGTAATCAATTTGAAGAAAAGAAAAATGAAACAATAGCTGATGAGTTTAGACCAGTTTTATGTTTTATGAGAAAATATAGATATACGAATAAATATGTTAGGTGTTTATTGATAACTCTCAAATCATATCATTGTTAAGATCTCACTATAATATGTTCTGCCCTGTAGTTCATCTGATATTTCTTTATGGTATCTAAAGATTTTCTTTATCTGACAGTTTTTCTGTTTTAGGGAGTCGCAGTTCAACAGGAAGTCGACAGTCGCTAGGTAGTTCTATAGGCAATAGACAGTCACTTGGTGCGAGTAGACAGAATGTTCGCAAGTCTATGATACCCAAACTAGGGGGACCATCCAGTATTGTATCCGCTATTGCACCAATGGCAAAAAAGAGGTAAAACATTTCTAACAGTTAATATGATTTGAAGTTAAGCCGATGCAGCAGTTCCAATTAAATATGACTCTCAGCCATATGAGATAAAATAACTGGCAGTTTAAGTTGGTCAATGTGACATTCCCATGGCGATATTTGTCATTGAAGGGATTATATCAAGATCAGATTTAATTGAAATTGATCACTATGACTATTACCACAGGGTATTAGCAGATGTCATTTTAACTTTCACTTTTTGGTCAGTGTTATTATGGAATTTATTCTACATTTTAAGTATAAAGTTATGAAATGGGTCAGTTCAGAAGATTTTTTATAGGTAGTTTTGTATTGGACTTTAAAGCAGAATCTTACAACGTAATGTTGAGATATTAAACACAGCTTTTCGAAAACCTCAATGTAATCTTGAATACATGGGCAAATTTTTGAACACAATTCTCATGTTTTAATAGCTAACACAAGCTTGTTGTGTGATCCTTATTCACAAGTATTAATCATAATAGATACTTTAAACCTTCATATTCCAGGCGCTCATCTGGTTATGGCAAAACATATGGTCATCGCGACACAATCCTGAAAGATCCTCGGCCAATCACAGATAAAGGATACAAACACAGAATGATTGAAAAACTAATTGCTGTAAGTTTGTAATTGTAAGATTCATAAATATATTTATGTGCAGTTTAGTCATCATGCTTTTATTTACAAGCAGGTACATCACCTGAATTAATATTTATTCCATTTATAATATCATAATTTTTTTGAATTATTTAACTTGCAAATTCTCTCTGACCTGATACATGGAGAGTCTTAGGGTCACCAGGGCTTGAATCTAGACTATATGTGGTCCTATTTATATGTTTCTGATATTTTGGGGATCATTTTATGATTTCTCGTTGGTGTCACTATGGTAATTCATTGAAAAATATTGAAAAAATTCAACTTCTGGGGTAGATATCGCCATTTTCAAGGGAATAAGCCCATATAGTGACTATTTTTCTGCGTTCCCTCATACATAACCTTCATCTTAAATATCACTAGGGACTCATTTTTAGGTAAAATTCCTGCTTCACTGATGAAAATTAACAAATAAAGCAGCTCCAGTTTACGGGACTATATTCCTGGATTTTTTTCTAAGAATGGTACATTTAGAAAGCAATTGACCTGGACTTTACATAAATACCTCAAATTGCCACTGTACATACACCTTACTATACACACCATTGGAATTGGCATGGCTTCATTTTTAAAGTATTAAAAAACCCAGAAGCACTACCCAGAAGTGCTTTTTACCGTAGTGACACCTTATATATTTTTTGTTTCATTTTCAGTTCCTGGTTGATAATAAGTTTCCACATCCGATAACACCAAAAGTTCTACAATCCCCAACCTCTAAAGACTTTCTCAGAATATTTGAGGTACGTGATATTCTATTTTTTCTAACAAAAGAGGCCAATTCGGCCTAATACATGTATAAACAAGCCATTGCATAAATGCTACCCTTCATTTTTTCAAAGGAAAACACATATTTTTGTATCCAGTTATAATAGCTGTTCTTTGCTAGGCAAACTAGTGGCAAAGTAATTATTGCCTTATATTAAGTTTGCAGATCAGAGTGTATGTACATGTTTTTTGTCAGCTTCATTATATTGCATGAAGCCTTCATTAGACTGGAGTATAGATACACTTGAACTACATGTATAAATAAGTATTTAGTAAATAAGGATTGAAACTCCAGATTGGTGTCTTCATCAAATATAGCTTGATGGCTAGATGGAGCAAAATGCACAAAATTATTACTCTCTCAGAAATCGACTCGTTTTCAATTTTAAAAAATATTGTATCTTTGGTATTATGAGTTAAGCAAATACAGCCCAATGTTTTTGCTCAACAATGATTGAATTATTTACTGGTAATGTGTGTTACACCTCAGTCACAGTTACATTTATCGGCTGTATACCATCAACTAATCGTGCAGTTTCCTTGCTTGTGTGTATAGAAAAACCTTTAGTCACAACAAAACATCTCTCGCTGAACTTCTTTTTGTGGTCCTCAGCCATCTTGTCTTCGACCACAAACTCATATTTTGAATTTGGAGTTAAGTCATCAATTATGATGTACATTTGTTGTTCTACCCTCTGCCTCTTGAAAAGCATATTGCCAACTTTTCTGTATTTCACGATGTAGACTCGATCAGTATTTTCTGAACATAGACAACTAGGACCTGAAAAGATACAATATAGATTATCCTAAAATAAAAAGAATGTTATAAGATTTAAAAGTCAAATACTATGTATAATGAATTAGGATAGTTGATGGTCATTTTTGTATTTTTTATGTATTTTTTACCATTACAAACTTTTTTATGCTAAAACTATTATTTTGCAATTCTGCTATGTTATTCTGGTGTATGTTGTATGTGATAATATTAAAAAGAACTTACATGTACTGTGCATGTACTAGATTAGTAATGAACTTCATGAATCTGTATTAGAATTGTTTTGGATGGAAATATTGACATACATTGCCAAAATTCTCATAGAATAGGGCTGCTTTCACATTTGCACATTTTGAGACAAAACAGTTCTGGAGAATGGTGTTGAATCAGTACAAACAGAAACAGTGCCAGATGGACACACAAGGATAGCAGGTTGAGGAAGTAAAAATGTCTGGCCTATAATGCTCAGTACACAAGGCAACACTTTCTTCAACCCATTGTTTAAATTATCTGATATAAATATAATGGATGTAAAGGTAGAAAACACATTCCTTACATCCTGCTCTATGTGATGTCCAATTTCAAAATGGTGCAGAGATTGTCTTACCTATGTCACCATGTGCCCATTGTAGTTTGACTGTTGTTGAAGAAATACTTTCTCCCTGTGCCAGGAACAAATGTCTATAATGTGCCCGAAGATTAAGAATCCATGTCTTGTAAGGCATCACCTCTGATTTTGAATAATTCTTTGGAAAATCTTTACCAAAAGCAGGAAATAGTTATTATTACTAGTTTGCCATCCCCATCATACAATCATTTTGTACAGATTGAGCTTTATTATGAAATCAGATAATCATGATTCTTATATCCTATTTTGTTCTGTCTCCTCTCTTTCATAAAATAAAGATTGTTATGTTCTTGTGTGATTTTAAGTCATTCAAATCAATCATGACATCATAGTAATTACTGGTATTTCTAAGCTGACTCATTGGAAATATATTCCATTGGTTTTCATTTTTGTTTCATTTCAATGCAGATGCATTTGTTTAAGTAGAATTCTGTATGCTAACTTTAGATTCCTTCTTTTAATTTGAATAACTTGATAATGTTTTTTTTCTTATTTCCGTTAATATACCAATTTTTTATTTCACATAAATCAACACTTGAACTACTTCATTATACAGTTTATTCACACTAAAGTGCTTTATGCCTTTACAGTTCAGTTCAGATAATGCTGATGTTCTCTGATCTCCTCCATAAATACAACTTCCTAGTTCTACCAGAGCAGCCTGACCTCATTGAAATGAATGTTCTCATCTACCCTTTACAATAATGATCTGATAATATCATACTCTTTATATGAGCAAAACCTCTTAGCTCAGTCAACCAATCAGATCCTGTCATTCCTCAAGACAATGCTCTATGTATGTAATGGAGCTATCTGATTGGTTGAAATCAAATCATAAAGAATTTCAAAATGATCATTCTGAGTCAGAGTTTTGTGTACAGCTGATAGGCTTAAGGTAGTACTGATAAAATAAGACATTACACTCTTTAGGAAAAGATCAGCTTGTTCGGTTTTTAAAGTTTAACTTGACCTTTTCTGCTTACAAAGTTGTTATATGTTGAACAAACTGCCAAAATAGCCTTACTTAAGTAATATACATAGTTTGATATTATATGCCCTCTCGTGAGGATTTGGTATTCTGAATAAACAATTTATAATGGTATTGTAAATGAATAAAAGTGAACATTGAGAAAAGGAAAAACTACAAACATATTTTGATGTTAACTCTATTTATAAAAGTCAGAAGGCAGAGAAAGAAATATTCAAATATGATATTATCAAAGTAGCTAAAATTTATTTCAATCATCTGATGTTTACATACTTCAACTAATACACATTGTATGATAATGGTGTTTTTATGGCACCACCTATAAGTAGGGCCAAGGGGCATATATTTTTTTCTTATAGACACCAATTTTGTGACAAACATTCAGTGTTCATCATTCATGTGTTACAGATGGTTTCGCTTTGGTTTTGCATCCAGTTGGTAACTCTTTGTCAATGTGATAATGGTCAGCAGTTTATCATAGGCCTTGGATTCACCTTGTGATACTCCAGGGAAACCTTTCAAGCATACTTTTAAAATAGATTATTATGAAACGTCTTCAAATACCTTTTATCAGTTTTACTGATACATTATGATAAAGCGCAAATCAAAAAAGAAAAGTGAATCCTTATACTGCCATATTGGCCAATTTGCTTCTATTTCTTTTTATTTATATGAAACCTGTGTTATAGAAATGCAGTTAGCTCTGTAAAATACATAAAAAGTAATTTGTTGAACTTTAATATCATATATAATCGGGTTTACTTGTACTGATGCCCTATGAGGGCCAAACGTACATCCAACAATAAAAAGTAAATATAGTAAGAATATTTAGAAGAAAAATAAAGAAAATAAGACTACATTCTTCAAATAACATATATATTGTTATTACTTTGATACATACACATAATATGCACAGGTTGTTTAATATTAGGCTTGTCATTTAAGTATAGCACATAGATAAATAAGAAAACAAATTGAAATTGATCAGTTTTAATATAAGTCACCTGGTGTTCCCTATACTTGTTCCAATATTCATATATTTCTATTCTGACTCCATTGATTGATTGTAGTATCATAGCATGTAACATATGCACACATACTGATTCAAATCACAGAATCCTGTCAAATGCTACAACAGCTTTGATTTAATATCAGTAGGAAAATAGCATGAAAACAGGTCTATAAAAAATTGTGACTCTGGTATATTTGAAATTCTCATGACATTCCTTCAACTTCTGTCTTCACTGATGTGAAGTGTTCCATAAGATCAAGCTAATTCTTAACTATATACAGCGCCAGTTGCTTCAATATTGATAAGATTACAGGGTCAATAATCATATAAAAGACATAATAATGAAAAAACACCTAAATTCAACCTCATGATTGTAATCATATTCAGTCCTATAGTACTGTATTTCCTTATTTTTTATTGAACATTTTGTTGCAAATGTTCATGCATGTGTTGAATAAGGCTGGCTTTGGGTTACTTTTTCCAAAGTTATGATTATTTACATTCAGTTTTGCTGTTTGATGTCTTATATACTCTCAACTGGTGGCTTCGCATTGTCATACATTGGTGCTTGGGCCTCCTGAGGGGCCTGGGCACCCTGATTGGGTGGGGCACCCTGAGGGGGTGGGGCACTTTGAGGGGGTAGGCCTACAGACATTCCTTGAGTATAAGGAGGTGGAGAGCCATAGGAAGCATTCACGGGATACACTGCAGCTGAAATCAATAAATGGATTAGTTTTAGTAAAGATTTAAAAGCAACAGAACAAAGCCCTATAAATAATACCAACCGAAATAACCTAACAAGCAAATTCAGCACTTATTCATCTTATTTTCCTGTTAATTCCAATCAGTTTTTTTAATAATATACTCTCTTGTATTTAGAAAAGGGAAGTCATCTTCTCATATAAAATGTAGAAAATCTTTCAAAACTTTTACTTTACATACACACTATCAAAATAATATTTCTCATACTTTGCTGTTGTGGATAGTGACCGGCGACAGGATTGGTGTTTGTGATGTAGATTACTTGTTGGCCATTGGTTAACACTTGTTGTCCGTTTATTACAGCGGGGATCTGGTGTTGTTGCATCCCTAGGTTTGGATAGCCACTGTGTACAACTTGTACCCTAGTCTATAATATGATATTGTCATCAGTTAAATTCTATTCAGGGAAATGAGAAGAACACAAGGCTACAAACATAAAACAACACATCCAACACAATACAAGGGTTTCTTTCTGGCTGTAGTGAACACCTACCTTTTTCTTGTCAAAAAAATGTTCACTATTAATATTATACAGGTTTTACTAATTATTTTATTTTAAAATAATTTTAAGATGCAAAGCTCCTCAAAATGAGATATTTTTTGTTAAAACAGCTGGAAATATTGCCCAAAGTAGACGAGTGAAGGGGTGCAGGCCTGTAGCCAGGGGGGGGGGGGTTCGCAGGGTCCGGGCGACCCCCCCCCCCCCCCCCCCCGGGCCAAAAATTCTTTCAAAATCATGCAGTTTTTCACCATTTTAAGCACTTCTCAAGTGATTTTAGTCATATTTGGGCCAAAAGTGTCAAATGTGAACCCCCCTGGAAATTTTTGAAAACTGAACCCCCCTTGGCAAATCCTGGCTACGGGCCTGGGGTGACCCAGACTTGTGGAGGTGTTGTGTATATGCCTCACAAGGGCTTCAGGCAAGACTACCCGTGTCTGCTGAAGCCAATGAAACCCTTGAACCTATAGAAGTACATGTAATTCAGAAATACTTAGTTACCTGGTTATTCTGTCTACAGCAGCACACTGCAGCACAGCAATAGCCTGCTGATACAATGCACAGCACTGCCTCAACCAGTGATATGACAATCAGCATACTATTGATTCCAAGTTTTTCAGACTGAAAAAATAAGTTATGATAATCTTAAACAACATTAGTTTATAATATTTTCTTTTTTAGTAGATATTGAAATGTTTCTTGGTGTTTATTGCATTTAAAACAATGAAAGCTCAAACTGCAACATTCTAACATCAGTATCCTTTGATAGCGATATCTGAATTCTCGTATTGTGCTTGATATCCATTTGGTATTACAAGTTTAATCATATGGATCTGTTTTATATGATGATTTAGATCAAACATAAAGAACATTTCAGTGCTGTAGCAAACAATGAAACGAATTGTATATTGTTTTACATTGGGTGAAGCTATTAGGTATAGTAATATAATAGTTGCATAGTTGAGAAGAAGCAGAATAGCAAGATCAGATGATACAAGAGCAGAGCAAGCTTAAGAGAAAATGATAGTACTAACATATAAAATATAAAGTCTAACACCAAGTTCTGGCATCCCCTCTCCTACTTTCTCTTCTAAACACACCTGGCTCATGAAATAGATAGGGAAAGAGGGTGACTAGATCCTAGATGTGAGGCTAAAAAGCAAAGAAAAGAACTTACAAAGTTAGGTGTTCGTGCTTTGTAATAGTAACAGCCAAACATGCTACACCGTTGATAGGTTATAATTCTATTGTCCCTAGCAACTCCAATAGAGGCGATAGTCAAGAGTGCAATGCATGCAATGAGCACAGTTATAATAGACATCACCATGAAAGTCACTATCTAAAATATTTAAGATGCAGACCTCACTCTAATATGAAATGTTAATGTATTCCAATGCTTACAATGATGTTCTGGGTTTGATTGATTTCTAAGGGCATAGCCAGGCACTAGATAGTTGATGCCAAGATTTTACAGAAATATTTTTCAAAGTTTTTCAACTAATATTTTGCCTTTTGGAAATGAAGTTCAGAAGTAGTATTATACCTTGTTGAGTCTAACTTTACGTTGCTTAATTGTTTTTGCCTTGGCGAATTTTAGATCCTGCCTATGCCCTTGATTTCTATTCAACTTCTCTCTAACATAATATTTTACCAGACATTTACTGCATTTTCTCTATTATCTCTATGTTCACCATATGAGCCCAGTACCCATGGTACTATTTTTTGAAATTGATAGCGAGAACACAGCAAATATAATGGAGAGAATTAAATTTGAATGTACAAAACCAGAATAGCATTATAAACATAGGAATTCCCATACACCTAGAACTTACACCAGAGTAGACATAGACATAAGTACAGGTATGACGTCCTGTTAACCAGTCTGTTTTGCATTCATATTCCCTTCGATTACTGTCAATGGCTGTTCCAATTGAAGCAATGGTCAAAAGTGTTACACAGCCTATTACAGCCGTAATGATTGACATCACCATAAAAGCTACAATCTAAAGTTTGTATTATATTTTAGAATAATATTATTCAATTTAAGTCTCATCTTCATTGTCTAGTTTGAGATATGCAGTAAAATCTGTGCCTGTGGATATATGTACCTGTCTTAACTTAAAATGTGAACACTCCTTGGCAGACCCAGCTAACTGGCTAAGCTCAAGGCAGATTTTATTGTATATACTTGAATCATATGAAAATGTGAATTATCATGAATCACAATTCATTCTTTATCATGAAATACTCATTTAAAAAATGTATTCATCAGCCAGAGAATTTTGCTTGCATAATTCACAGAAATCTCGATATTTTTGAATGCTAGCAGGGTGAAAAAATCGTGCCAAAAAGGCTCTATCAAGTTAAACACTAAATGATTTGATATACTCTAGTTTCATGAATTGTCAGTGTTCATTATTTATTGCTTTTGTACATTTATATTGCCTTTATACATGTATATTGCTTTTGTACATTTACATGACATTTTGGAATGTAGTACTCACCCAGCCTGTGGTCTTAGCCTTTCCAGCCACGATTCCAAATGCTCCAGTTACCATGAAGAACTAAAACAGGAAACACATCATTTAATTTTGATATCGCCTAAAATTTGTTACACATTGTTATTTACACCTTTTTTGGCAGAAATTCAACATCTAATTCAATTGTTATACTTTTGAAATCCAACAACCATTAGATGGTAGTTTGTTCAGGAAATTATTGTTTTACTATCTGATGTTGAACTATCCAATGATATTTCATTATCTATTGATCTCTGGTTATCTGTTGATATTCGACTACCATTGATATTTCATTAGCCATCGTTGTTTGACTATCCATTGATATTTGACTATCTGTTGTTGTTTCACTACCTATTCATGTTAGAGTATCCATTGATATTAGACTATTCAATATTGTTTGACTATTCATTGATATTTTGCACTATGTATTGAAAGGAACTAAAGCCATTTTATTGTCATTCATTCTGAATAATGATTTGACCTCTTGGATACTAGAGCATTGAAGTATTTTAATATTCAGTTCGTGATCTTAATATGGGTAAATGAAATACAGTCAAGATTTTAGTGAGTAAAAATTTCTGAGTGTTTGAAGTGTTAATTAAGGTTATTGTTCTTACCAGAAAGCCACACCAGATTCCCGCTCCACTCTGGTAAATACTTGCATGAACTCCTATTGCTGCTATACCAAATATAACTGCCAGTATGCCACATGCTACTTGTAGTCCTCCTAGGACTGTACTAGCTTTGCCATTGAAGTTTGGCCATACTCTAGGCCCAGGTCTGGTTGGTGTTTGCACTGCATACACTACCCCTGGGGGTACCTGGGAAGGGTACTCCTGTACTGGAGGAGCTTGTGGCTGCATATCTATGAAATAATAGTCATAAACTGGAAGTAATTATAACTATCAAGTAGATTTTTGTAATAATCCGATGAAAGTATGTAAGAGTTTAAGGGTAAAGAGCATTTTGAATTGTGACAGATATCTGGTTCAATTCTGGCCCATCATGATAAACTACCATGTCATGATCTCCTTTTTATGTCACCACCACAAGTGGTGACATATTGTTATACTATCAAACTTTTTTTGAGGATGGTGTTAACATGCAAAATGTCACCACCTACCATTTGTTACAGACATTGAACTCAGTATGCCAACCAACGTCACAAAAATAACTCAACTCAATAACATTTATTTATCTTCAGTTATTGCTCAACGTAAGTTTCTCAGATCGGCTGAATATATATAAATAGATTTTATCAAATTGTTTTACAGACAACGTACTAATTCTATATAGAAATAGATACAAACATTTTACAGAGATACACAGAAATAAGGCAGTGAATCTGTTACCTTTTGTAATTTCAGCCTAGTTGAGCACAGAGCATAGCATACGAAATAAAGCAAATCTCACATTTGTTAGGTCAGCTTGGCCACAAAAAATAGTACACTGTAAAATCTTCCTACCTTTCAATTGAGTAATTTTTGTTGGTTCATGAAAACACAGAATGAAATTCTGCGCTAAAGGCTGATGTTTCCTTGTCAAAGATGAGACTGTTATTGAGCAACTTTGTTAATAACCTTACCTTTATGCTGAATATTTTTTAGCTTCCTTGTTTAAAACGAGGTTGTTTTTGATAAGTACCACACCACTGCACCCAAGTATTACAAGATTTATTGATTCATTTATGTAAACACTTGCCTCCGTGTTAGGTGTGGACTTTGAAACTATTGCTAATAATTATTATTTAAATATCTTAATCATTAACAGACTATATTGATAATCAAAGATCAGTAAGACAGATATTTTTATTTTATTAATTTATTTTATCACAAAGCTCCAATCAGTTTTAATGGCTTTAATACGTTTTTATTAATTAGGTCAATGTCAAAGGTCAAAATTAGTCAAAGGTCAACTTAGTTAATGGGGCTCCTTTACCTGTAACCCTTGATGGCCCATATTATGATAAATATTATTTATACAGTAAATTGTTATTTGTAAACAAGCGTGTATAAAATAAGGTACTCAATTTCATATGGCTCACAGAATTATAGAACATAGACGTATATCAATTGTTATGTATTTTCTGGTTTGAGACTGAGTTCTACATTCTATTATGGAGTATGAGTGGGTGGCGTGTCATTTTACAATTTACTGCATTGACTTCATCTGAAATTAAAAATGATAAATTAAAATTAGATAGCTGCCAAATTAAAAAAAATCTTATAATTTCACTAAAATAGATGGCTCAGATTAATAATCAGCTATGCTAAGGGGAGGCATCAAAGGTTTGATGTGGATCATCAACCAACAGCTAGCAGTTGCTAATGTTACTTAAGTAGCAGTAAATTATAAAGCCTATAGATAACAACAGATTGACAGATTTGAATTACATTTTATATGCTGGTATCTTAGTAACATAAGACATTCTTCATTGAATAGCCACTTGAATTCTTGGTCAAATGAAAACTGCCATTTATCTAGACTAATGCCCATAACTAGTAATTTATACCATTAGTCCCATCTACCTAATTTTGCCTTATTGTAGAGAAATTGGCTTTTTGTTATTTTCACCATGTAAGCCCACAAAATGGTGCCATTTTTATGTCACAACCAGAAGTGGTGACATATTTATAGTTTATGGATGGCTTTTGGCATTTGTAACAAACAACAGGTGGTGACATTTTACATGTTAATGCCTCATTAATGGTTGTCTTTTGTGTTTTCAGTTCATCTATGGGTTCATTCATCCAAACTTCCATCTCACTCAGAAACCAGAGGAAGAAGTGCCAAAACTTATGAAAGAACTGCGATATCCATTTATTATATCCAAGAGTGCGCTGTTTGCTATAGGGTCCCCCCATTCCTGGCCATCTTTACTTGCAGCACTTGTCTGGCTGGTTGACTTGGTAAAGGTGAGTCTAGTTGATGAAACAAAGCATGAGATGTATGGAAAATTAGTGCCATCCATCTTAAACATTGTTAATATCACCCTAGCGATAGATCATATATATACTTAATGAAAATTATTACAGGTGAATTTTTTTGCTGGCATATGGAATATGTGCAGAATTGTCTTAATGTTTGTTTAATGTGATAATTGAAATAAAAGAGATGTAAAGTACTGTACCTGGAGGTTGCAAATAAAATGAAATTAAAGATTACTTCCATCATTTCAGTATGCGTTCAATGTTGCACCAGAGGAACTCATGTTCCCATCAACAGACTTTGAATCTGGTCCTGCAGAGGAATCGGTAAGTTCTTCCTTTGTTGTACTGATTTATCCTTTTGCATTTTTCTGGATCAATGATTAACACAATACAGGGGTACATGAATATATACCCAGTTATTAGTACACTTTTTAGTAGTTTGGAGGGGGGAATGTTAACCACTTTTACATGGCTGGTTACCTTTTTATTCCAACTTAGTCATTTAGGAAGTCGCATTATTTTATTTTTTGGAGGGATTATGTCAGAGTGAAATTAACTTTTTCATTGATGTTCCAATGTGTTCCCTAAAGGGTACATGTTATTGGGTGTCACACTTATAAAATATCCACATACTCTTTTCCCTTGTATCTGGTTAAAAATGTTAATCAATTGCCTTGCTAATTACCATTTTTCCTAATATTATTTTTAGTTGGTGTTCAAGTACTTGGAACAGTCCTACTCAGATTACATGCAGGGGGCAGATACCTTTGAAGAACTTGAGGATGACCTGAAGATAAAATTTAGTAAGTTTTCATTTATTTCTCAAATGTCTAGTGAAACATGTAAAGTTGAACACCCCTAGAATTTGAACACCTCTGTTAGTGAAACACTTGTTGAGACCCAAGACCAACTGACTTAAATGAACTACTTTAAATGGAATACCCCCCATGTGGAACATTTTTAAGAGGTACCAAATGTGTTCCACTCAGACAGGTTTCAAGAATTGACTGAATGTAGAGCATATGAACAAGAGGACAAGGTCCACTCAACTCATGCATAGCATTTGAAAAGAACATAAATAGATGATAAAGTTGATATATATCACGAACAGTAAGAAATGGAAGAGATATTTAAACTTACATTTACAGTAAAACTTGCCAAGTAGCAAGTAGAACACCCAAAAGTAGAACACCCTTTTATTCAGTTACACTTTATCCTCATTTGAAATGAATCTCTTCAAGGAAAACACCTACAAGGTGGAACACTATTATGGTGCAAAGATGCTTCACTACATAGGTTTTTACTGTATATGTTAATGCAAGAAAATCAACCCCTTCTTTTTTCATTTTCACCGGCACAAGTTGTCACATATTGATATAGTCTCAATCTTTTTTGTGGAAATTGTTTGGCAGTTGGTATTTGCTGGTCGGTGTTCTGTGTCTGTAACAAATGGCAGGTAGTGACATTTTGCAAGTTTATGCCTTGTTATGGCAAGCATGTTCAACATGAAATTTCCCAAAAGGATGTCCTACACATTTCAATGATTTCTGACATTCAGCATTGATGGTTGGCAGCTGTAACAATCTGTCACCCTTTTCTAATAATTTGCAGGTGGTGACAATTTGTCATGTTGATATTGTTTGTTTACCCAATGTTATTGTAGGCCAGATGAGCTGTGGGTTAAATGGTGGCCTAGATCAGTTGGCACAAGAGAATAGAAGACTGGCAGAGGAACTCAGTGCATTACAAAATGAACCAGTGAGTACAATATTCTTTATTAGTCTTCCACATAGTGCTTGGGAAATTCTTTCTATCACATCCTGAATAAAGAAATTATGATTAATTAGAGAAAATTGAAAGTATGAGTATATATCAATATCAAGTACATGTAGTGCTATTCCAAGTTAAAGTTCATTTGTGAAAATCTTTATCTTTTTATTGAGTCATGACAGAACCTTTATATGTGACATCACTCGGATAGTTTCTAAACTGTTCAACTAACACAGGGTTTCAGCATGATTATTAGGACCATTACTACATAAGTTTGAAAACATAGAAAATAAAGTTGCTCTGTTCATTAAAATTAAAACAACCTTTATAATTTCCTGCAGGACAAGTTGCAGCAAGTGAAGAGTCAATTTGAAGTTACTGTGAATGATGAGGGGAAGTTCAAAGACTACCTCACCAACCTAGAGCACCACAAACACAGGCATGATCAGACATTGGCAGGACTAGAGGATGAACACCAAACTCTCAGTAAGTATTTGAATAAAATGCCTACATACAGCTCAATTGTCTGTTTAGCATAATTTGGGATTTCTTAATTTATTGCAGCTTCGAGAATATTGTATTAATATTACACTTAACTGATTCTACCAAGCTTGATGACAGGACTTTTGATCTGAGATATAGGGTCACTTCCGAAATTTATTGATCACCCCGTGTACAACATTAAACTGACGATTTGTGTTTCATTATTTCAGTGGCAGAATTCAACACAGTTATAGAGAGTTGTAAAAGGATGCAGGAGATCTTTGACACACAGGAGTTCTCCCCTGCTGATGTAGAGAGAATGAACCATGGAGCACAGGAACTACAAAGGCAGATAGATCTCACTGAACATGAGGTGGAGGGACTTGATAAACAGATCTGGGATGAAGAAATACAGATTGGAAAATCACAGCAAAGGGTAAGGATTGAATGGGTTGTGAAGATGAGTTGTCTTGTTTGCCTGAAGGATCACCCTTGGTCATTCAATGTGGTTTCAAAGTAAAGTTAAGATAATTTATTCATTTAAATTTAAAGATATTTGACCTCTTTCAATAAGTTAGATTTAAAATCAGTTATCTGCACACAAAGGATATTACTTTCCTTTGTAATCCCAAATGTTCCAAACTATTTGGCCATCCACATAGGTGAATTGTGTTTCAGAGAAAAAAATAATTGAAATCTCACAAATTGATATTTTCTGTGATCAATGCATATTATCAACCTCATCTCATCAAAATATACATTTAGCAGTATTGTTTTAGACTACCCGTCATTAGCTGTACTTGTAGTATGAATACGCCCTTAGGAAAAATGTTATGGGTAACTCATAGGTTTCACATAACTACCCATATTGTTACCCATAGCCCCCAAGTACCCATAACTTAAGGGTAATTGATGCTGTATCCAACCTAAGTTTTTGGTAATGACTTATAATGGGTAATAATGGGTAAATAATGATTTACATTATGCCATTATGTATTGGTAATGTGCAAGTTATGTGTGGGTTATTTGGAATTTATGTGTATGTTATGGGGACACATAATTTGCCAATAACCTACACATGCTTAGCCCATAACATCTACTTATGTTAAATTATGAGTATATCATTGTTATAACATGTAAGTTTTAACCATAACTATTGGTTATGGGTAACACTATGGGTAACATTATGGGTTATGGTCATATAAACCATAAATGACCTAATGAATTACCATTATTATGGATAACACTATGGGTAATACCCTTAACATTTTTCCTAAGGGTGTCTTAATGCTCTCCCAAATATATTCCTTGCTAAAAACCTGTTTGTAAACCGTAGAATCGACATTGTTCAATCTTATCTATCTTTATGTAAGTCTGCTTTAACTTGAACTGCTGGTGAATATCATGTAGTGAGTTTATATGTAGTTTGGTACTAGGCCAAGTAAAAAAAATTTATAAATAATTTTATTTAACCTAAACTTAAATAAATGTTTATAGTATGTAATAGTAAGTGATTACACACAAGTGAAATTTACCATTGAGATCATCTACAGAACAGCAATGAACTATATGTTTGTAAATCAAGGTAAGTTGTTATATGAAGTACTGTGTTTTCAGATCGAAGCCAAGTGTGCAGAGTACAATAAAGTAGCCACTATGTTAAAGCTGATACCCTCCAGTGCAGAAAATGCACATGGGCGTGATTACGAACTGAGGCAGAACTTTGGCTCAACAGCTTCCAGTATTGATTTCATCGGAACAATAAAGGTATTAGCTCTATGAATTTTTTACTTGCCAAAATCAAGTGGAAATGGATTGAAACTATATAAGTATTTATCGTATGATCTGTGAAATGAAGCCTTCTGATTGGTCAGTTCTTGTGCTGTACCAATCTGTATTGCTACTGAGATTGTCCCAATTGATCTCCATTGATCTCCGTCAAGATACAGAAAATATTGGTACAGAGGGGACGACATTCTCAGTAGCAATACAGAGGATCACACAATAAAAACGTTATAGATGATTTGAAGTGCAATACAGGATATATTCTGCTCTCGATATTCTGTATTAGCACTCAACTTCGTCTCGTTCCAACGCGGAATTTCTCGAGCAGAATATATCCTGTATTGTACTTCAAATCATTTAATAACTTATAGTATTATCAAAAAACTGTTTTTGTAGCCTACATAAGTAATTTGTTTACTGTTATATGTTTAACAAGAATTTTAATTTTTTGTGATAAGGCTCTCTCCTTTTTCAGACTTTGGTTCATGAAATCATGTTACTGAATATTTATTAAAACTATCAGTCTTACAACAAGAGAAGATGTAATTTTAAGTCATGCTGAAAAAATACTATACGTGTAACTTGTATAAAATGATCTTTGTTCTGTATTTACAGCCTGCCTTACTCCAAATGAGGAAACAATGCGCAGAAAAAGTTTATGAAGCTAAATCTCGACTTATCACTGAAACGGAAGCATTGGAGCAGGTACGTTAAACGTGAATATTTATACAGTGTGTGCATATTCATTTTCAACCAATTTTTTCACCCTTAAATCTTGTTGAAGTTTCTCTATTTACTTAATATGCAGATTTTTCATCATTTTCAGGTTCAAATTATCAGAAGGTTATTCATAAAATCAGATTAAAAATTATTGATCCTTTTATAAACATTTTATTTTATTATACCATGCCTCTTATAAGCACCTAATTCTAGTAATGAGTAAATAAATGAAAAAGATCATTAACTTTTGTTTTGTTTATTATGTCACCACCAAAAGTGGTGACATATTGTTATGGTCTCCGTTTTTTTTTGCGACGGCGTCCGGCGGTTGGTGGTTGGCGTCCGGCGTCTGTAACAATTTCTTACAACTTCCTATAACTTAACAAATACTGTTTAGACTGACTTCAATTTTTTTCTAAATCATCTACATGTTCTCAGAAGTTCAAATCTGACTTTAGATTTGACATTTGACCTTCAATGACCTTCTCAAGGTCAAAAAGGTCTTTTTTCAACTTGCTTCACATTGACTAAATTTTTTTCAAAACCATCTACATGTTCTCAGAAATTCAAATCTGACTTTAGATTTGACATTTGACCTTCAAATCTGACTTTAGATTTGACATTTGACCTTCAATGACCTTCTCAAGGTCAAAAAAGGTCAAAAAGGTCTGTTTTCAACTTGCTTCAAATTGACTAAATTTTTTTTTCAAAATCATCTACGTGTTCTCAGAAATTCAAATCTGACTTAAGATTTGACTTAAGATTTGACATTTGACCTTCTCAAGGTCAAAAAAGGTCAAAAAGGTCTTTTTTCAACTTGCTTCAAATTGACTATTTTTTTTTTTCAAAATCATCTACATGTTCTCAGAAATTCAAATCTGACTTTAGATTTGACATTTGACCTTTAATGACCTTCTCAAGGTCAAAAAAGGTCAAAAAGGTCTGTTTTCAACTTGCTTCAAATTGACTAAATTTTTTTTTCAAAATCATCTACATGTTCTCAGAAATTCAAATCTGACTTTAGATTTGACATTTGACCTTCAATGACCTTCTCAAGGTCAAAAAAGGTCTGTTTTCAACTTGCTTCAAATTGACTAAATTTTTTTTTCAAAATCATCTACGTGTTCTCAGAAATTCAAATCTGACTTAAGATTTGACTTAAGATTTGACATTTGACCTTCAATGACCTTCTCAAGGTCAAAAAAGGTCTGTTTTCAACTTGCTTCAAATTGACTAAAAAAAATTTTCAAAATCATCTTCGTGTTCTCAGAAATTCAAATCTGACTTTAGATTTGACTTAAGATTTGACATTTGACCTTCAATGACCTTCTCAAAGTCAAAAAAGGTCAAAAAGGTCTTTTTTCAACTTGCTTCAAATTGACTAAAAAAATTTTTCAAAATCATCTACATGTTCTCAGAAATTCAAATCTGACTTTAGATTTGACATTTGACCTTCTCAAGGTCAAAAGAGGTCTGTTTTCAACTTGCTTCAAATTGACTAAATTTTTTTTCAAAATCATCTACATGTTCTCAGAAATTCAAATCTGACTTTAGATTTGACATTTGACCTTCAATGACCTTCTCAATGTCAAAAAAGGTCAAAAAGGTATTTTTTCATCTTGCTTCAAATTGACTAAATTTTTTTTCAAAATCATCTACATTCTACATGTTCTCAGAAATTCAAATATGACTTTAGATTTGACTTTAGATTTGACATTTGACCTTCTCAAGGTCAAAAAAGGTCAAAAAGGTTTTTTTTCAACTTGCTTCAAATTGACTATTTTTTTTTTTCAAAATCATCTACATGTTCTCAGAAATTCAAATCTGACTTTAGATTTGACATTTGACCTTCAATGACCTTCTCAAGGTCAAAAAAGGTCTGTTTTCAACTTGCTTCAAATTGACTAAAAATTTTTTTCAAAATCATTTACATGTTCTCAGAAATTCAAATCTGACTTTAGATTTGACATTTGACCTTCAATGACCTTCTCAAGGTCAAAAAAGGTCTGTTTTCAACTTGCTTCAAATTGACTAAAAAAATTTTTCAAAATCATCTACATGTTCTCAGAAATTCAAATCTGACTTTAGATTTGACATTTGACCTTCTCAAGGTCAAAAAAGGTCTGTTTTCAACTTGCTTCAAATTGACTAAAATTTTTTTTCAAAATCATCTACATGTTCTCAGAAATTCAAATCTGACTTTAGATTTGACATTTGACCTTCAATGACCTTCTCAATGTCAAAAAAGGTCAAAAAGGTATTTTTTCATCTTGCTTCAAATTGACTAAAATTTTTTTCAAAATCATCTACATTCTACATGTTCTCAGAAATTCAAATATGACTTTAGATTTGACTTTAGATTTGACATTTGACCTTCTCAAGGTCAAAAAAGGTCAAAAAGGTCTTTTTTCAACTTGCTTCAAATTGACTATTTTTTTTTTCAAAATCATCTACATGTTCTCAGAAATTCAAATCTGACTTTAGATTTGACATGTGACCTTTAATGACCTTCTCAAGGTCAAAAAAGGTCAAAAAGGTCTGTTTTCAACTTGCTTCAAATTGACCAAATTTTTTTTTCAAAATCATCTACATCTTTTCAGAAGTTCAAATTTGACTTTACAAGTTCTCAGAAATTCAAATCTGACTTATATTAAGTTTGAACTCATAATATTGTGAGCAACTAGGTGGTGACATTTTGTCATGTTAATGCCTTGTGTAAAATTGTTGTCATTTCATAACAATAGCATTTATTATAACATCTACCTGCAGGTGACTGACATGACAAAAGATAAGAAAGAAGAGATTGCTTCCATGGAAATCAGCTTGAAAAAACTAGAAAATGAACTTGAATATAACAAAGAGGTAAGACGAGTATAGATAAAACCTATATTCAACTTATTGGTAATTTGATCAGTATTTCAATGAATTAATCAAACCATGAAGTAAAAATGGTATTCTATACATATGTATTTAAATACAACTGGGGAACATTGATTGTGCTGATGATTTTGTTCACCTAGTTTCCAGAGTTTTAACCAGGAGCACCATTTGTTCTATCAAATTTCAATTCCCTGGGGTGATTTATTTCAGGCTTATCTTCGAGAATATCATAAATACCAAGAAGAAGTTGAAAGTGTTCAATCACAAATTGCTGAGTTGAGAAAGTCATCGCAACAAAGTGTTGAAGAATGCAGAAATGACCTCCGAAGTACACAGAAGAAGTGAGTGGACATTTTCGTCATTTTCGTCTGAATCCCAAAGACCAATTTATAGCTAAGTAGTTTTCCTTTTAAGGGTAATGAAAACACAGAATGAAATCCTGCGCCAAGGCCAATGTGAAAAAGTTTCTGTGAAAATATTTAAAAAAATTTGTATTCAAATTTTATGTCACCACTTGTGTTATATAGTCTCCAACTTTTTTGTGGATGGTGTTGAGCGGTTGTTGTTCAGCAGTTGGCGGTCGGAAATTGGGGTCTATAACAAATGGCAGGTGGTGATATTTTGCACTTGAATGCCTTGTATTTAATTGTTTTTAAAATAATGACAAAAATCACTGAATTGCAGAGTTGAAAGGAATCTTGCTGAGATGAAACGCAGGGAGCATGAGTTAATGTCTTTCATGTGGTGGGCAGTGGAGAGCATTGTAGGACACCTCAGTCAAATACCAGTAAGTACAAGGCAATGTATGCTGGGATATCTAAACCTCATTTGGTAATAACATTTTATTCTCAGAATCATGTATTTTATGAATGCTGGGATAAGTAAACCTCCAGTGGTAATAAAGTTTCATTCTCAGTTTATTGTTTGTCATGAATGCTGGGATATCTAAACCTCATTTGGTAATAACATTTTATTCTCAGAATCATGTATTCTATGAATGCTGGGATAAGTAAACCTCATTTGGTAATAAGATTTCATTCTCGGAATCATGTATTCTATGGATGCTGGGATATCTAAACCTCATTTGTTAATAACATTTCATTCTCGGAAACATGTATTCTATGAATGCTGGGATAAGTAAACCTCCAGTGGTAATAAAGTTTCATTCTCAGAATCTTGTATTTCATGAATGCTGGGATAAATAAACCCCCAGTGGTAATGAAATCTTGTATTTGGAGACTGCTGGGAAATGTCAATGAACTATGATAACAATGTGGTTGGTTTGATCATTTTTGGTGCTTTTATATTCATGAGAATGACTTGTCTTTTGTATGTTTGATATCTAAACCTTTTGCTAGAAAAAGATAATGTTTCAGATTTTTTTCATTAATGCTGGGATAAGTAAACGTCCAGAGGTAATAAAATGTATACACACTACCATGTTTTTTATGATTGGTGTTTTATACTTTTAGGACGAGAGCACAAAGTTAAAGGTGATGGTAGGGCGGGAACTCCATCTTGCTAAACAACAGTTAGAGACTGCTAAAACAGAAAGTTCTAAACTCCAAGAAAAAATATAGACATTTATGATACATCATCACGATACACATATGTTTAAAAGACTTGTTTTATGGTAGATCATACACACAAAGTGTAGTAAGTGTTCATTCATTTCCATGCTTAATTCCTATACTGTTGATCATTACAAAGCACATCTAGTAATAAGTGCTTTATAGTATAGGTATTCATTGTTTTATGGTAGCTCTTTCCCATATATACAGGGTGAAAAGTGCATGTGCATTACCGTGCTAAACCTAAAATTAGCTGTAGTTTTTTTTTCAATGTAATGTAGACATTAAATGTAAGAGTGTTATGTATCTTGTTGAATTGTTTGTTTTATGGATATTACCAATACATTGGTAAAAAGACATTTAGAGACAACCTGTTTTTGATCAATTCTTGATTGATGGTAGACATGATATTACTGTCAGGTTAAGAACTTTATTTTGTGAATAACATGAAGTTCTGAACTCTAAATGAGAATCCAGCCTAACGATAATTATTATATTCTTGGCGTCCCGATTAGTCTTGTCTACTGATTCCAGTCAAACAGTTTGAGAGATTGATCTCAGATTTTCACGGATGTTTCTGTGTGAGAATCTAAAACCGATCTTAGACATGCAGAATAGATTTTAAGGCAGCCACTTTGGATTTTGAAAAATTCAAGGTGTTTTTCTTGTTTTGAAAGTCCTGAACTGAAAAGCCATTTCGCAAATTGATTTCAAGCAGCTTTCATCAATGTTCAGTGCTATTGAAGTAGAGATAAATTTAGTTTTTTCAGAATATTGAATACATATTAAAAAATGCACACATTTCCATAACAAGACATACAATCATCATAAATTGCCAAATTTGATGTATCAATCCTTCCTTTAATATCTATTCAAGGGTGCGATATTGTTCACCATGTGTCTTATTTCTTCTCACATACTATAAACAATTTGTTGACCTATCTTGACAATTATAACACTTATCAATCATACACACCACACATGCATACAACTCACTACATACCATAATCTTGTAATCTTTATGTAAACAAAGCCATGAAGCTTTTTCTTGGATTATTTAATACTCTGTTGCATTATAACCTCTACTAATTTCATCAGATTGTAAATAAAATCAGAATTCTATATATGTCCATAGTACTGTTTCTGTATTATATGTATATATTTACTGGTGACTGCTAGTGTAGCGAAAATATATATCTGAAACTAAACCATGTGTTATGTATATTTTATTTATTTATTTATATTTATATATCATAGGCATGCCAAAGCTTCTTGCCATTTACACTTACAGTAAAACCTGTAAAGCTTATGCTACAAATTATAGAGGGAGCCACTTGTACATGCTACCAATATGTAGAGGAAGCCACCTAACATGCTGGCAATATTATAGACTTCCAATTTTATAGTCACTTTACATGCTACCAGTACTGCAGGGAGTCACTTTACATGTTACCAATACTAGAGGGAGTCACTTTACATGATGCAAATTTTATAGTGTCACTTTACATGTACCAATACTAGAGGGAGTTCTTTACATGCTGCCAATTTTATAGTGTCACTTTACATGTTACCAATACTAGAGGGAGTCACTTTACATGCTGCCAATTCTATAGAGAGTCACTTTACATGTTACCAATACTACAGGAAGTCACTTTACATGCTGCCAATTTTATAGAGAGCGAGTCACTTTAAATGTTGCCAATACTAGAGGGAGTCACTTTACATGCTGCCAATTTTATAGAGAGTCACTTTACATGTTACCAATACTACAGGAAGTCACTTTACATGCGGCCAATTTTATAGAGAATAGAGAGTCACTTTACATGTTACCAATACACTAGAGGGAGTCACTTTACATGCTGCCAATTTTATAGAGGGAGTCACTTTACATACTGCCAATTTTATAGAGAGTCACTTTACATGCTGACAATTTTATAGATAGTCACTTTATAAGTTACCAATACTCCAGAGGGAGTCATTTTATATGCTGCCAATTTTATAAAGGGAGTCACTTATTAAGTTGCCAACATATATCTTGGGGTAGCTAAAGTTGCAATACTATAGATGGAACCACTAACATGTAAATCCTAAAAGGAGACATCAGCAAATGATTACATCAGTCAGTCGTGAATTGTATAAATCGCCCTTTTGGATAAATACAGACTAGTTTTAGTGTAAAATGCATTATTCAAGTCCACTGTCCAAAAGCCTTAATTGTAAAGCAGTCTTACACTGCAGATTTGCTACAACATATTATGTAAGATGGTATTCCAGGGAGCAGGAAGTGTCAAAGTCTTGATGTATCATCCTGGGTTAATACGAAGGCTGTCACCTTTGAAATGCAAGTAGTCCAACATCAACCAACTTCTTAATTTTTCCTTGGATATCTGGAGTTGCATTTTGTAAAATACTGAAATACAAAGTTAAGAAATGTTTATATATTACATAATCCCAATAGATATGAACAGACAGTTTAATCAGATATTTGCCAAAAAGAGTGACTGATGGACAATGTCCTTTTCCTATATAGCTTTGAAATCTCGTTAAAGTCTTGTTTTTAATGAGATTTTCGGAGATCTGTATTTTTAACCATTAAAGACTTAAATTTTCTTCCATTTGATGGCATATTTGAATTACCCGTGTTTGTATCAAAACATCTTTGATTTGCACTGTTATTTACCTTTATTCAAATTCTAATGATTTTCTAGTTGTCTAAAAAAGATCGGGCTAAATCCCCATTGACACAATGCTGAAAAACCTTTAAAAGTTCATTGACACTTACAAGGATCACAATTTTAATGTGAAATCACAATTCACATGCCAATAAGATCATATAGTTACATTCCAATGGTGTTTTAAGTTTATCCAAATGGAATTACTTCTTAAATCAAGAAATTAAGTGACTCTGGTAATACATTTACATGTATTCTAACGGTCGAAGTTAGTACCGCGTGATTCATTTTGTGTAGCTCTATCAGTACAAAAACGGACTCAGTGAAATAAAGAAACAAAGTGACAAGAGAGAATTCAGAGACGCAATTCAATTGATTATGTATATCCTAGTATGCTATCTCATCATACTTACACTTGTGCTTGGTGAGGATCATTCTTCAAAGTATATATAAGCTGTTGTACAGTTTTATCCATGATAGCACCCTTTATCTCAGGATCAGCTGAAATAAGTAGACAATTCCAGTATCAAAACCTATGCACTCAAATTAACTGTTAATTTTCTCGGCTGAAAACAGTATTTAAAATAGTTGAGCCCCATGACAAAGTAACCCCATACAACAAGTTCAACGCATCTCACCTATACATATTTTTATATGTATATAATTGTCTAATATTTTACAATGTTTGGTTGGGTATTTTATTGTTTAATAATGTAATATCTGACATGAAAAAAATTGTAACAATATATGTATGTGTACGTATATTACCTAATATTTTTTGTATTCTGGCTTCATCCTCTGCTGTAGCCTGATTAGGATTTGTACTACTATGTACTTTCATATCTGCACCACTAGGTGGCTCTGCTGGTTGCTCAGATTGTTCCCTCTCACCTAGCTCCGAAAAATGTTGCCCTGAATCAAATTCAAAAAGTGTAATTTACTAGTATAATGGATGGTGATCATGGTGATAGATCTGATTATTAACCAGTATCACTTATACATATTATATTGGTACATAAAACAATATGAAGTTAAAGCTTCTTGGACATTGAAATAATCTAGTCATAATACAAAAAGTATCCTACCTAAAATTCCACTAAATTCTTTAAAGAACTCAAATACTTCAGTGTTGTCTTTATACTTCATTGTCGCAGCTTCTGGATTTGTTTGGAAGTCAGATATGGCTTGCTGGAATACAGGATTGGTCAATTTCTCTAACAGCTTTGGTCGACTTTGTATCGTCTGTAGAAAATCTTGAGTGATCCACTCTGAAAATATGCAAAGTACAAGAGAATTCAGTAAACAAATGTCAGAATAGACATTGAATGCCACGGGCAGGATACTTGAAGCAAAACTGCTGAATCCTACTATATGTGGTCTTAACTTCCATAATGCTTGACCTTCAACAATTGAAATGACACACACATACTGCTTTACAATATTAAAGTAAGAAGATGATACAAAAACAATGAGACTATATTTTTAAACATATAATCCACCATCCAAAGGTTCATGTGAGGGTTGGGAATTGACACATACAGTGTTGCCCCAGGAGTTGGAATTTTGACATAGTACTTCGTCCAGAAGAGACTTTTGAAATGCATATTCCCTTTGATAGGAATTTTGACTATATTTGTCATTTGACCAGCATGGGGATCTCAAGTAAACCTTTGAATGGTGCATTATGGTTTAAAATTGTTATTCAGAAATCCAGAGCTTCCCCATCTATACTCTCCATTAGTACATGATGCCAAGTACATGTTGCTCAATGCAAAATTATTATCTGCCTCAATTATTAATTAACTCACCTTTATTATTCATTAAATTCTGTGAGGCCTTCATAGCATCTTGTACCTCAGGCATTGACAGTCTCGTATTCTCCTCTTCCTTGTTAGCTTTGATAAAAGGAATCTCCTCTTGTACATTTATAGGATCAGTCTTTTTATTGACAGGCTTTGCTGTTGGTTTAGGTTTACTCTCCTGTTTAGATTTTGAAGCAGGTGCTCCAAAAAGGAAGCCTTTTTTCATTCCAGCAAAGGCACTGTCTTTGTTGTCCTGGTTGCTAGGGAGACTGGGAGAGGGAGTAGATGTTGGTAGTTTGTGTTCAGGAGAAGCATTTTTAGCAGTTTGTTTAGCAGCTCTAGAGGGTTCCTTTAAATATAATAATATAGTTGCATAGGATGACTTGATGTAATATCTCGATTCTATATTCATTGGGGGTTTACCATAAGATGTACACCTTCATGTAACCTTAAGTGGAATTTTTCCAAAACATCTGAGGCCAGAATGTTTCTAAGAAGAGAGCTTTCAGATGAGATGTTCATAGTTTGGCCAAACTATTTCCCAAACATTTTTTGTCATTCAAATCAAGACTTGAACATTTATTAAATGGTTTATTCCTTCAAAAAATAAAGGATATATAGGACCTATAAAATGTGATTTGACTATAAAGGGTGAACGGGCATTTAAAAGATATTTAGATTAATATTTACAATTCAAAATTACATAATCATGCATTGATTTCCCAAGATTTTTCACTCAACAGGTTGTTAAATCCAAATTTTATCTATTTTGGGCAAAAACTCTCAATACAGTGAAACAGAGTTCCAAGACAAATTTGCCTCATGATAAATGAACCCCTATAAGTGGGACACTTTTTAGAAGTACCAAATGTGTTCTACTTAGACAGGTTTTACTGTATATTTCACCCTTTGGAGGTAATTACAAATTTTCAACAGGGTGGCATGTAATCTTTGAATTTTCAACAGGGTGGCATGTAATCTTTGAATTTTCAACAGGGTGGCATGTAATTTTTGAATTTTCAACAGGGTGGCATGTAATCTTTCAACAGGGTGGCATGTAATCTTTGAATTTTCAACAGGGTGGCATGTAATCTTTGAATTTTCAACAGTATCCGGCAACTGATTGTTCAATTGCTGTGGAGACAACATGGATGAGTACACACACTTACATTTGATTTAGAGGTCTCTTTCTTGCCGATTGTTCAATTTCTGGGGAGAAAACATACATGAGTTCACTTACATTTGATTTAGGGGTGTCCTTTTTGCTGATCCCTTTCATATCTCTAATAGCCTCAACCTTCTGTAGCAGTTCTGACATATCCTCAAGTGGAGGGACATCTAATGGGATTAAAACATACATAAATATCATTTGTAAACAAGCAAAAATATTAAAATGAAATCAGCTGCTTACTGTACTCTCGGTATTTTTAGCATGCCATTTAGTTTCAAGCTTTTTAAAAGTAACAAACATTCAAATCTCTCTGTAGATTTTTGAATGAATAATCATTTGTATTTTTATTTCAATTTCATCCTAAATAGTACTTGAAATCGAACCAAGCTGTGAAAAATAAAATGAAATCTGAAAAATTTCCCTCACTGGAAGTTCAGCCATTTATTTGTAAGAAATATTTGGAGATTTCAAACGCTAATTTAACTTTGTTAATTTCCATCAAAACTGCCATTTTGATTTCTCACATGAAGATGTCAACTCTGGGATAAAGACAAGTCCTGTTCAACACAGAAGCAGCTGATAGCTTACAGACTTCCGTAAGGAGGATGGAGATGTAGGGAACATTTGGAGATTTAACGATTTAAAGAGATTTAAAGCAGCTGATTTCAGTATTTCACTTTCAGCCATCACGATTATCTAGCAACTGATGGAGTGCGAGCAAAGGCTGTTCAATACAGATCAGATATATTTTGAAAGAGGTAAAAACCAACGGCTACAAAAACTAAGGTAATATGGGTTAATTTATACCCTTTGCATTTGTTTGACTTCACTTCTTAAAAGAGAGCTTCATCTTCACTCTTTCAGTTTACAATAAATTTCTGATCTTATTTACCACATGTTCCTTCTACTTTGCTGATTGGTTGAGAAAGGGTCAGCGTGGTAGATTTGAAATGATTTATTAACGGGGCTGTCACAGACACCAATCTTTGGTCTGTAATATAGTCTATACTAGGCAGAGGGTAGTTTATAACTAGACTGTGCGTGCAGGGTAGTTAATTTATAAGTGTTTACTAACTCTTAGACTGTAACTGACAGTCACACTAATTAGATAACCCTTATTTTTTACATTCAAGTGGCGGAAAATATCGACATGAGAAATGGGGTAACTTCAACACTTCCTTGTTAGAAGTTGAGAATTTCCCTTTTCTGCAATGTTTGATATAAAAAGTAAAATTATCGTAAGGTCTCGATCCATGCGAGAAGAAAACATGGCTATGTCAATAATTTGCAAAAGGCTAATTAGCCCAATTAGCCCCTATGTCAGAAATTAAATCAAATAAAAAATAAAATGTGTCGAAGTTACCGGATACGTAGAAGATAGTATGATACACCAAATTGAAACGAAATGGCGTCAACATGATATCAATTCGCCCTATTTATAGGTTATAGGACTAGGTTAGGCTAGTCAATGCATAGCCTATAAAATTTATTAAAATTATTAATTTTTTCTAAAAATTAGGATTGTATAAACAGATTTACATACAAAAACTCTACTTGATAGAAAATAAATGTCTTCAAAGAAATTGCATGATAACTCTTACAAGCAAGGACATCATGTATCAATAATGAAGCGTTTAAAACAGGAGTATAATAACAAATTGTAAATAAATTTTGCCTGACCTTCATTTCCGGACGCCATATTGAAACAAGTGCTTGACGATACACTGGACGAAATGTTAAATCAAAAGTGATTTCAAGCGATTGTAAGCAAGTTTAGATATCAGTCATCTCATATAGAGGATTCTTATGTATAAAACTTCATCCACAGTAGCAATTATATAATTTCATACTCGGATTAGCTGAAATAAACTGTTTTAGACATTTCAAATTGATCGATTACTTTTATCAGATATCCAAAATGGCGGCGCTCGCTCGGATCGGCCGACTGGTATCTCGCCAATTTTTAGTAAATAAACACTTACCTGCTTCGCTAACAACACGGACATGTAAGTTTACCATATCTCGTTGATTTAATTGAATATTTATCGCAATACTTAAGTTTGAAATACATGTATCGCTTCAGTGAAGCGTACTAGAATTTCGACCTTGAAAAAAATGAATAAAAATTTTAGTAAAACTCCAATGCAGTGTCTCGCAATGACACTGCGGCGGGCAGATGAAGAAATCACCAAAACTTTGAGAAAATAGTCCCCGTTTTCATCACAGATGTACTCAATTTTCAGACAACTTATAAAGAATACATTCTTTTACGTTCCCCAATCATTATTTTGTCAAAATTTCGAAATTCATGAAATATAAGAAGAAATATGCGGGGTAGGATTTAGAGTTAAAAGTTTTGTTGATAATGTTTCACCGCACGTGTGTTTATTATTTAAAATACGCACAATACAACCAATGAACTTGTCTAAATTTTTCAATCATGTGAAACCAGCATGAGACGAGAACCAGTCACGTCAGTTGTTTATTACGAAGTTGCAATGCTTACGATAAACGATCTGCCCGCCACAGTGATATGTTGAAGACTAGCAATGCATGAGAGTTCGAATTTTAGCCTGTAATTTTTAGGCTAAGCTTAGAAATCTGACTCTTGTATTCACAAATTCAACTTTCGGCTGTCGGGTCAACCTAAGATTTTCGACATCTAAAAAGTCACTTGACTTTTTTGTGATTATGAGTCAAAGAAAGCATTCTTGAGTTTCAAATTGACTTCTGTGGTAACTTGAAACCATCTTCTAATTTATTCCACTTACCTTTTATTGTTTCTCCAAATATATTCTTTGAAAATCGGATTTTAAGGGTGTTAATCAGGGCAATTGTGTGCCATTTTAATCAAAAATCTTGTTGCCACCTAGAAACAAGCAATTGTGATCTTGTTGTTACCTAGGAACAAGCAACTGTGATGTCACGTCACACTCATGTTAATTCTGGAATCACATGGCAGCCATTTTGGAAATTTCAAAAAAGTTCCCAATTAAAAAGGCTAAATGCTGTTAACAAATTGGAAACTTGCAGAATCAACAAAGGGTTTGTGAAATAATTAGGATATGGTTTCAAAATTATGCACATGACAATATATGACTACTAAATGCAGGCAGGGACTTTTAATTGCCAAAAAGTTGAGTGTCAAAAAGCAGAAATTGATCTGTCATTTTTAAGTCGATTCAACTAACTGCCAACAACCCATTAGTTGATGAACAGTGACTAGTTCAACAAGTTAAACTTGGTCTGGGCCTTATTTCTTATCTGACATATCTTGTGGCCCGCCCTAGATTTAACGTCCATGCCAATTCGGCCCTTGATGTAAAAAATTTAATTATTTCTACTTGCATCTAGTATGTTATAGGCGCTGTCATCTCAGTCTCCACTGCCCTTCATCTCAATGCTTGGAACTGTTGCTTCATCAAAAAATTAGCATTGTCATTTCATTCCAGATTGGAACAAAGACTGGAAGCCAGGTCCTTATCCCAAAACCCAAGCAGAAAGAGAAGCAGCAGCAAAGAAATATGGACTACGTATAGAAGATTATGAACCATATCCTGATGATGGTATGGGATATGGAGATTATCCTAAATTGCCAGTTGCTTCGTATGATAATAGGTCAGATTATGAAGCATGGGATATTCCTGAGCAGAAGAGGAACTTTGGAGAGCCTGTAAGTTCAATGTGTTTTATAGCAACTAATTACTAAACTTTTTCAATATATAGATAATGAATGTGAAACTATACCTTAAACATATGTTTGTTCCTTTAGCTATATATTATAAGCATAAGTGGACTGAAATTCTGGGTTTCACAACAAAGCATACATATTTTATCGGCCAATTCTAAGATCATTTTTATTGGATACAAGCAGTTTTCTGTGCTAAATTCCTAGTTCACTGGTGATCCACTCGATTACGCTGGTTACCAAAACGGTTCGTTTTGGTAACAAAATGTTGGAACATCGAAGCTACGATTTTTCTTTTTTCCTTATTTCACACGTTGTAGACAGAATTTCCACGATATTTTTATCACAAACGTGTATCAGTATCATATGTTTAAGAAAATGCACATATTTGCGAACAAATAGTTCAGAAGACAACAGAATCGTCGATTTCATTCCTCACTTAAGTTACATAAACGGTATTTCGAAAAACAGTTGAGATCTGCACTTTTAACCCAAACCGTTTATGTAACTTAAGTGAGGAATTAAATCGATGATTCTGTTGTCTTCTGAGCTAATATGTACATTTTCCAAAATATATGATACTGACACAGGATTGTGAGAAAAAACATTGTGGGGATTCTGCCTACAATGTGTGAAATAAGGAAAAAAGAAAAATCGTACATTCGACGTTCCGACATTTTGTTACCAAAACGAACTGTTTCGGTAACCAGCGTAATCGAGCGGATCGCCAGTGTAGTTTACATTGCAAATGCTAAAGTAATATTACTATGATTCCCAACCAATAATTATATCTGAAAAAGATTTACTCACTTATACACAACAATTTATATTTAATGACTACATACTCTCGGACATAACACACAAAGTAATAAGCGTTAGGGAATTATAAACATGCTTTAAGTGATTAACAAAATCTATTATTATTATATGTGCAGCACTTGTAGTAAGTATGTTTGCTCCGTTTCAGCTTCATGCAGATTGGGATGCCTACACTGGTGACAGACTAAATACAGACATGAGACAAAGATTTTCATGGTAAGTTTGTTAGTCATAAAAAACTGCAGTTTACCTGTAGATATTTCTTGCAAAATAATTTCTCAAATGTCAGTCAAATACTGCAATTAATTTCATTTATCTTTTTTGCAATTACAATAAATAGGATAATGAATTGAATCTTTGATCGAGAAATTAGATATTTCAACCAAAAGTTAAGAAAGAGTAGATTTCATGCAAAATTCTTTCATTCACCCTTTCTTACAGATCACATATTTTTTCCAGGACTTCTAGATTTGTTTGGTTTATTGCTGTTATGGGCTCAATCACCGCAATTTACATACATGGCCTTTCTTATCCTATCTTTCACCCAGTGGTAAGTACTAGAATTATAGCCAAATGAGTTTTGGAGATCTTACATTTGTTCACATATATGGAACATACATACATGTACTACGTTCCTTGCATAATAGGAATATGCATAATAGGTTCAAACTAGGCACACAACATAAACAAAATCACTCAATTAGGCAACGAATATCTATTTGAAGTAAAATGAGTGGTTTTTCTTGAATAGTTCTTGAATAGTGATAAAATATTTATCTGGAAAAACTTCTAAAATTGCTGGCCGGAAAACAAGATAACCTCAAAGAAAATCAATGAATAGTTTTCCTAGGACGGTGATTAGATTTATAAGAACTTCATAAGTGGGTAACAGAAAAGAAGTTGGCCTCCCAAAAGTTTACCAACTTAGATTTTGATACCCTTAAAATGTGTAAAGTACAAAGGACGATTCTCGGTTTGGAGAACAGTCTCCTTGGCTAATTTTTTTTCATGAAAAATAGAGAAATATTACCCAAATTAAACTATGAATATTCAAAAGAGGACATTTAAATCTACAAGATGTAAAAATAACAAATTGGTCCGAAGCAGGGATAACGCTCAATTAGACCGATTTAATAAAATACAAGTCTTGATTTGGTAAAGAAGTTCATCAGTGAACTGCGCAAATATTTTTTTGCGAAAAATCTAGAAATATCACCCAAATTAAATTATAACTATTCAAAAGAAAAGACATTCAAATCTATATTATGTAAAAAAATCAAATTTGTCGGAAGCAGGGATAATGCTCATTTAGATTGATGAACTTCGTTCTCCAAACCGAGAATCGTCCTTTGAAGAAAAACTGACTCACCTGATTTTCTTCAGATACATAAACATGTTTTTAATTGTTATTTCAGATGCCAAAACAATATCCTTTCAAAGGAGAAGCACACTACACATTTGAACCTGTAGATGATTAACACCAACAGATCTAGGACAATAAATTATTATGAACTTTTGAAAAATGTATCTCCATTTTCTAAAAACTTGTAGAATTATGAGTGGTTGTTAAGTATGCAGATTTAGTATAAAGCATATATGCAGGTTTCATGGACATTAAACATGTTAAAACAGGGGTAATGCTCAGTCTGAAATCTTTGTTGCAAAATGATTCTATGTTCTATGCATGAATCAATAAAATTCCAACATTTGATATAGCTCTAAATGCCTATAGGTATATTTGTCTGTAACAGTTGTAATATCCTTACTGTACAAAGTTAAGACAAGAAATATAAATATTATACATATAAATTGTATTTTGTCTTCTTCATATTCATATCATAGTTATTATCTGGATATCCATGTTTGTTGTTTGGACATTTGGTTTGATCATGGGCTTTCAATTAGAAGGGTATGCAACTCTGTGTAATATTATGAGACCTTCAAAATGAGCAATGCCATGCTTCCCTTTTAGGGTATAATATTTCAAAAAGTATTACATAAATGTATATGTTTTAGTATTATTTTGAATAAAAATCAATTTTCAATATGATTTAGCATAAAATTTATTCAATATCGTGTATAAGTAAACAAAAAAGACCAATAAGAATAAGAGGTATCAAGATGTTCTCTTCGAGTATTGCATTGTGGGTAATTATTCAAGAACACATTCCAATAATAACATAATTTGTGGGAGAATGTTCACTTTCTGTATTGTCATAATTATGATGTATTCCATTTTTTATTAAATTATCAACATGTATGTAGATAATCATGTTTTTATTTCTGGGTTATTTCTTTAAATCATCAATAGAAAGTACAAAATAAGATTTTCTTGGAATGTGTACATTCTCCAATTTTGAAAACCAAGGCAATGCTTCTGTACGAAACATGGGAAGTTGCCTACCCTTCTAGTTGAAAGCCCATGGTTTGATGCATTTTACATCATGCCACTTAGTTCCATTTACATGGTGACCAAGTGTAAACAGTGGAGATTTTCCCGGACATGTTTTTTCAAACGATTTAGACGTGTTTTTGGAAAACTTGAGAGGTAGGTTGATAAATTTGGTTATGAAATTGCTGTCACTTGACTTTATGTAAATGTAAGTAATTTATATTGCTTACCACACTATTTATCCTAACTTCAGGTATCTGCAAACGCGTTATTTGCACAAATCTTATAATATAGCCACGTCTGGAACAATTTCCATTGTTAAGACTTGAGCACTGTGATTTAACCATTTATTGAAAGTACTTACATGATAATGTCAACCCACTTGGATTCACCAGTCAATAAGTATGTCCTTTAAGTCAACTTCTCCAAACCCAAGATTCCGTTTAATACGAGTGCTAGTAATTTATTCATTAAATAAATTATCTTATTTCAAACTAGAAAAACAGCAACTCCACGGAGTAGCAAATCCCACTGAACTGCAGTTGTGTTACCAAAGATTACGAAAATGAAAATGAAAAATGGCAGCCATTCTGAAGATCAGCCGCCATCTTAAATTTTTTTTCTCGAACAGAGCTACTGTGTTTCTAGGCATCAGCATATAAAATTTGAACCAAATCTGTTCACTGGTATTTGACTTATCAAAGATTACGTTTTTTCTTATGAAAAATGGCTACCATTTTGAAATTCAGCCGCCATCTTGAAAAAATTTTTCAAGGTCTACTGTGTCCCTAGGAATCATCATATAAAAAATGAGCCAAATCTGTTCACTGGTATTTGAGTTATCAAAGATTACGTTTTTTACGAAAAATGGCATCCATTTTGAAATTCAGCCGCCATCTTGAAAATTCTTTCTCGAACAGATCTCCTTTGTCCCTAGGCATCATCATATAAAATTTGAGCCAAATCCGTTCACTGGTATTTGAGTTATCAAAGATTACCTTTTTTTACGAAAAATGGCCGCCATTTTGAATATCAAGCCGCCATCTTGAAAATTCTTTCTTGAACAGATCTATTGTGTCCCTAGGCATTATCATATAAAATTTGAGCCAAATCCGTTCACTGGTATTTGAGTTATCAAAGATTACGTTTTTTTACGAAAAATGGCCGCCATTTTGAAATTCAGTGGCCATCTTGAAAATTGTAACTCGAACAGATCTACTGTGTCCCTTGGCATCATCATATACAATTTGAACCAAATCCATTCACTGGTATTTGAGTTATCAAAGATTAATTTTTTTTACGAAAAATGGCCGCCATTTTGAAATCTAGCCGCCATCTTGAAAATTTTTACTCGAACATATCTACTGTGTCCCTAGGCATCAGCATATAAAATTTGAACCAAATCCGCAAACTAGTATTTGAGTTATTAAGGATTACATTTTTTACGAAAAAATTTGAATCAAATCCGTGAAAGGGTATTTGAGTTATCGCTCGGACAAACAGACGGACGGACCGCCCGGACAAACAGACGGACGAACGGCTTTCCTATATCCCTCTCGAACTTCATTCGGTGGGATAATAAACATGTACTTCTCCAATGAGGCACATGGATCTCATTAGGATTTTCTTTCAGTTAAGAGCCAATGGCCTTATTACAAAAAATCCAGTAGTTTTTTTCTGTCACCACTTTCATTGTTATGGTCTCTGTTTTTTTGTGACGGGGTTGGTGATGGGTATTTTGTCGATTGGCATCTGTAACAAATGGTGGTGCCATTTTGCTTGGAAATAATAATATATGCCTTCCTAGAAAACAAAATATTGTAAGATTCATAATGACTTTATTTTTCACATTCTAAAGTATGGAGTACATGCTTTTTTCAGTTAGTAATACATAGCTCAAAGAATCATTCATTTATATGTATATGATCCAAATAAGGTTGACTGAAAATAGGGCCAATTGTAATTGTTAATTGTAAACGGGCACATTGGCCTTATTTTCTTTGGGCCCTTGAAAAAGACTTAGTCCTGTGAACAGTTGTTTTTACAAGTTTCCAACCATGAAATATAATTAAATATTGAAGAATAGAAGCTTTTGACAATAAGATCACAATTAAATAAAACAAGACGAGGCAAGACAAAACAATATTTTACGATGTACATGTAGTCTAATTCTCAGTCACAAAAAATCGTGTGTACATTCATCCGTATTCCATCAGGAATTTCCTTCCTCCAATACAATCAAAATTGAGCACTGAACACCAAATAAATGAGTTCCAGAACCTGCAAAATGGATGGCACACATGTCAAAGTCAATGTTTTTGAACACATACGATTATGATTGTCATATTTCCAGTGTTACTAAGTTTCTGGTTTATTATTTGTGATACAGTCAGCATCTCCTAGAGCAGGATCTACGACCTTCCAGAGTCCATATGTTTTGCCTACAGTTGTCTGCCACAGTCGTAGAGTGCCATCTTCACTACCACTGGCATAAAGTTCACCGTCAGGGGAGAACTTGATGCAATGGATTGGTCCAAAATGTCCTTTGAATGATTCTGAAATGAAAAGAATATTCCTGAGTCACATTTGCTCTAACTTAACGGCTGGCGCCTGACCGATTGAGTATTTTGTTCAGAATTGTTTTACTGTACATGACTTGTATTCTACTTACCAACTTCTGAGCCAGTTGCAAAGTCATATTTGTACATTTTGAAATCTTCTCCCCCACAAACAAATATTCCTTTCTCAGGTAAGTAGGATGCTGTGTAAAGTTGAGATGGAACTTCCACTTCTTTGATTTGTTCCCAACTGAAATAATAAGCAGAAATTTACGAGAGATTACCTAGTATACCTTGCAGTTGACAAAACATGTAAGCAGTCTCTAGTCTCATAAGGACTCAAGAGACTATATTTTATCAATGCATGGAATCATGTATTCAGTTTCTGGTCTCACAAGGACTCGACAAACTACATTTTATCAATGCATGGAAATGGCATTCAATTCCTGTATGGCATACATCGTTCTTGTATAACATACATCATCCTCATTGCTTTCTAGCAACATAGTTATTATATTTTACTAAGCATTTAACTATTCTAATAACATTCACAATTTGATACAATTCATGTTGTGCAATTTATGCCAGCACTGCTTAACAATGACAACACATTTTGCAATTTTCAAATTTCTCTAATCTTTTCTCTACAACTCCAACAGAAAAGCATGACATGTATTCTATTTATGACTTACTTTTCAGTGTTATAGAATGTGACAAAGTTTCCATATGAAATGGTGAGGGTTTTGCCATCTTGACTAAGCTCAAGGCTACTGGGATTTGCTATAAACTCCAATTTCTTGATTTCTTTTTGACTGGATACTTCCCAAACTCTGAAAACATTGCAAACAAAACATGCACATGTGTAAAAATAAGTCAAATTGCAAAAGCATGATAAGTTTAACACATACAGGGTGTTCCAAAAGTAACAGGACTGGTGCTGTCATTTTGTCAATTCTGTACCGATTGTATTCAAAGGATGAGTCTGGGAATGAGTGGTGACATAATGTTATGGTATCGACTTAGAAAATATTGAAAATTGAAATGTCTGAAAAACCAACTCAATCACACATATTATTAAACTTCAATATCTTATCCTTCTTCTGAGATTACAAAAGTATCAATTTGTATCACAATTGATGAAGAATATTGGCATCAAAGACAGTGCATATCACTTTGTCAGAATTGAAAAAAATTCAATGGCAAATATTAAATGAATTATTTATACAAAAAGTTTGAAACATATCCTCGAAAACATTGCTTACTTTCTTTGAATAGACATTGATGGTATTTCTGGATAAGTGAATTGGTGTTTATCTGGGTAATCAAGGGATTATAGTAACTCAAAGTTACTAAGCATCCAGTTTTGAGACTTCAATTGTGTTGGTGAAGTTACACATATTTCAGTCAAATTCATGCTGAGCACAACATTTTGGTTTCAATTTTATAATCTCTATACATGACCCTGGTGTTCAAGAGTCAGAATCAGTCAAAAAACCTAAACCGGAAAACTGTGCTCATTGTGAAAACTAAAAGTGAAGCAACTTTTTTCTGATATTTCTTCCATCAAATGGCAGCCATCTTGTTTTTCCCCCTTCAAATTAAACTGGCGGGAAATTCAAAAATTTGAAAAAAAATTTAATCCTTAAATATATTTCAAAAATATTATTTTCTTTTAAATTCTTCATGGGTCTTAAGTTATTTCTTCTTTGTATGTCATATATGTTGCCATTGGTGTTTTTTTTCTTTGATAATGACTATTTTGGTTTTTTAAGATACTTATTCTGACTCTCAGCAGGGGGTTAATTATGCATCAAAACTCGTGAAATAGTAAATATACTTATCAAATATAACTAGGACAGTAATAAAAACCATATTTCACATACATTTGACTGAGGGACCAAAAGGGCATATATCCAGACACATCCTTTCACAAATTGTACTTTAAAGTATTGTAACTAAAATTGTAAAGTTTCAGAAAAAATGATAAAATGTGGGTAAAGTTATGGTTACTATAGTAACATGACATCACAATACCCGGGGCAACTTTTTCATAAAAATGTGATATGTGAAAATGTGTATTACTAAGGAAAGTATCTAATTCACCTATTACAGTACAACATATTTTGTTTGTTTTATTAGTTGCTTTGTTGTTATGGTGATGCTATACAACTCATATTTAAGTATGATTTCATTATAACAATATTTATTTAATTTCATGGAATATTACTATGTATAACAGTCTGCAAAATTCACGATTGAGTTTTCGAAAAATACCTAATTTGAAGCCAGTCATCCACTTAATAACCCGCCCGCCTGCAGGTCAGCATTAAAGACTACTGCAGCTATAGAGGAGCCAGGTCTTGAGGTCTAAGGCATGCACCATACTCTTCTGATCATGCAATGTCTAATTTTTTATTACTTTTATGGAGAATGGAATGTTAATCAGTGGGGTAAGACCTTTAAAGATGAGAATGATGTTCTTCAAGTTGTCCAATCGACCCTGCGATGTCCTCACATGAGTTCATTCATGTGTTTGAGTTATGTATACAGAGTGCTACTCTTGTACTGACAAAAGAGGAGCCTACTTTTTAAAGTAGAGGATACATAGGAATATCAAATGATGTAAAGCAATTGTAATTTCCATCAGTTGTTGAATTTCAACTTTGATATGGGATGTACAAATTGCTTAAAGTCTGTGAAACCTTTCTGCCTAGAATGTTGCCCCGGGTATTGTGATGTCATGTTACCATAGCAACCATAACTCCACCCAATATTTATCATTTTTTTCGAAACTTTGCAGTTGTAGTGACAATACATGAAAGTACATTATGTAAAATTTTGAAGACAATTGGTCCATGTTTAACAAAAAACCAGCACCAGTCCTGTTACTTTTGGAACACCCTGTATACTGTTATAATACATTTACAATAATTGAACAAGATTACCAGAATTACTAATCATGATTTAATTGTGTGAGCAACAATTTCAAATGCAAAATTTATCTTTCTCATAGAAAACTGAAAACCTGGGAAGATAAAACTCATATTTCTCAACATCAATTGCAACACACATATATTATCTCATTTGGAACTCAATAGACTTGTTTATAATGAAAAGAAGATTGTCACAAAATGAAGCAAAAGTAAGAGCTTGGAACCCCCATTAAATGGAGTATTAATTCAGACAATAGCCAGTTTTCATTTTCCAGAAAATTATTGATGGACAGATAGACAGACAAGTGGGTATTTTCAATTTCATAGGTTCACCATGTGAGCTAAAAATTTAGACCAAAATTGGCCCTACTCATATAAAACTCAAAATTCTCATTTATCCTATATTTGAGCGAGAAGTGTCCAAATATTAATTCTTACGACTTTCTAAATTATTAACAAAGCGCAAATTGATTTTCTAATTCTCAACAGTGTGTTATACTCGAATGCTTCACTGCAATATAGAATTAGAAATAACTTACCTAACACTTTTATCATCTCCCGCACTGATGATATATTTGCCATCTAGGGTAAATACTGCACTTTTTATACTTGATGTGTGTCCATTAAAGCTTATTGGGTCTGAAAAGACAGATTGAGTTCATATTTTGATGATATTGACCTAAATATTGGCTTTACTCATATATTCACATGTTCATATGTTACATTTACTCCATGGAGAAAAAGAATCTGGAGAGTGAAAATTGGATACATAAGAGGATGAAGCTATGCCTTTACATAAAAATTCACGTAAACAATTGTAGTGGCCAGGTCACAAATTTCTGTAATCTCTTTTAAAAAGTGGTTTTGGGGAGGGGAATGACCCATCAAAACCTACTTATTTTATTTTATGTTGCGAAAAGCATCTATTCAGATGTTAGATGAGACAACAATAATAACAAATGGTTCTTAACTTAATTTTGGCAAGTAGGTCCAATCCTTCTGGTGCACTCTGATTTTAATGGATATAAGCTCGTTTTCGCGAATGCAACTATTAACTTCCGGTGGTCAGCTACTGGATAAACCTACTATTTTATGGGCGACATTCATATGTAAAATGAGTTGATCAATGATCATATAATCCGATAGCTGACAGCTGAAAGTTGCACTCGTGAATACAAGCTAAGCTTTAACAAAAAGGATAGAGAAAATGGATAACAAACAACTTTCAAGGGAAAAATATGTTTAGCACCCAGCAAATGAACACTCACCAGATTCCGGTTGATTGAGATCAAATATCCTCAGTAGTTTTTCATTGCTTCCTGTAAGGAGATACTGGCTGTCATGTGAAAAACTGACACTTTTAACAATGTGCTTATGAGTGAAACTTCTCAATTCTTCTCCACTCACTGCATCCCATAGCTTCCTGAATGAGAATAAAGAGTTCAATTATAGGAGTACAAAAATATAAGAAAAAAAAGGTAGGAATAGATATATGGTCCAAAAATGTATCATGCCTTTATCGACCTAACCCTTTTGCTTTTTCTTGAATTTGCAAAAATTACTAGTAAATTAGCAAATTTTCTGGGTTAAAACTGGTACAAGTTGGCCAAATATTAAAAAGCCTTCGCCTCCATATTACTTACGCTGAAAAATCAGCTGCACCTGTCGCAGCTTTTGAGGCTTCTTTATTCAATGTTGCTCCCCATACAGCCCCTTTGTGTCCCTCGAAGGTTCCAATCCAATCACCTGTATCCCCTTGACGTAACATAGGCTTACCATCTGAAATGGAGTTATGTATGTATATATTTTCGAAATCATCAAGTTTTTCAAAATTAAAACATGGAAATTACCATCATCTTTCTGTTATGGTATGCAAAGAGTGTCAGTTTCGATGTCATGATGTAATAAATATTTTTTATTTGGCCTGGAGAAGCTGAATAACGTTTTATGACTTCGTTCGACTTTATCTCAATGGATAGTGCCAATTTGGTTAAGCTACATCATCAAAACTGTACATCCTGACACTCTTTAAGTAAAAATTAATTCTCTGCAAGATAGATGGACTTGGTTTGGAGGCTGAATCTTTGACCGAACTGGAACTTTTGAAGCAGTGCAGTTTGATTCCTTGTGAGTAAATGAATGAATTTAGCCTCAATTGAATATTTTCCGAAAAAATACAGAAGCTGCCTATCAAGTAATTTCAACATCAATGCATGCACCCATCATCTCAGACCTCAGTACCGTATCAGTCATCTCAGTTCCAATACCCGATATCTCAGTTTTGGCAAATACAGAGAGGACTCATGCCACCCTGTCATCCATCATCTCAGTTTCAAACCGGCCAGGCCAGGTGTAAAAAAGATTATTGTCCCCAATGAAACATTGTCTCAGATTGTATTGATACCTTCAATCCGGACCTTCAAACTGTGTTGGTTACTAAGGCAATAAAAACAGAAGATGTGATTTCCTTGGGCTTTATTTTGTTAAGCATTTCATTGGCACTTCTACCAGCAAAAGCCTTATCATTATCCAATCAATTTATCAAATACTAGTTCTAAGGGGCCTCTAAGTCTTTCAGTCTTAAAATTCAGTTTCAGTTTCAATCTCTTCCACCATAGGCCAAGGGTAAAGTAATAGTAAGCTGTATATAGAAGACACAGTATCTTCTAATATACAGCTTACTATTACTTTTCCCTTAGCCTATGTCTTCCACATATTGAAATAATTTCTGTATAAAAATATTCAAAATATTTAGATTTACCTTTGCAAGCACTTATGAGAAAGTAGCCATCAGGAGTAACTTCGCTGAAGTGAAGATCCGTGACTGGTCTGGTGTGACCACTGCAAGTCAACGGAGTCTGTCGTAGAGTCATTATATCCACTAAAATATTGAAAACGATAGAATTTTACTTTCAAGAAAATGCATAGGCACAAGATGGCAGCACCTGTGACAAACTACTCGATCAATCTCTGAGCAGACTCCATAAACTAAATTAATAAACTAAACTAGACATCATCTCTGTTAATACAATTTGATTAATATTATGAAATACACGATTGTTTGTATATCTATGTTATCAACAAAACAATGATTGCATGATTATGTAAACAATAATCGACTGATGCATATTCATGAAATTTGTTGGTTCTTTATAAGGGGTCTATAAGAAGAAAGTTCACATCTGAAAAGAACATGGATCAGTACTTTTTTGAAGGCACAGAAAAGCTTTTGGAGGTATGGTTCTCTACCTCAGATCCAAATAAAGATGCAGATTTGAGGAACATCAAGAGGTAAGTGTCTTCCAGGCTACACCAGATATTGGCAAAATGTTTGTTTTCCAAATTTTAGAAACATTTTTTCACGAGAGTGTGAGTCTCACAGAGATGTCTATTTGACTCCTGTGTAAAGTGGGGGACAAAACTAAACCTCAACCATCAAAAGTTGTCACAATGAGCTAAATTCTAAGTTTCGTGTCTCAAACTCTCCCAAGTGGTACAAAAATAATTTCAGTTCACTCTAAGTAGCACAATAAATGAATCCAAAGCTTCATACCTGCAAATGATGGATAGACTAAATCCCTACGAATGTTTTTATGAATCGCCATGTTTGTGATCCAAGGGGGATTGACTCCTACAATGCACCATTAGAGTCCATTTCACTGCTTCATTTCGTCAGTAGAACGGCAAATATAAGAAATTGGGAGACCATTGTGCAATAATATATGGAAAAGTATATTCATAATGTACATGAATGACATTTGTATATCTTGGATTGCTTCTAGTTTGGCTTATAAAGTGTGTGGCCTCTTATATTTGGATGTTTCTCTGCCATGTTATTTTCAATAAGATTAACATGGCTGAAATTCTTCAAATTACAAGACGGCACAGGCTTATTGCACAAAAAACTAAAAAATCTGAAATATACAAATGTCATTGATGTACATTATGAATATACTTTTCCATATATTATTGCACAATGGTCTCCCAATTTCTTATTTTTGCCGTTCTACTGACGAAATGAAGCAGTGAAATGGACTCTAGTTAACCTTATTTACTCGTGACAGGTTTCAAAATGGCGGAGCGGCATTTTGAAAGCTGGCACGTGTCATGTTGCATTCTGGGAGCCTATCCTCCCTTGCAGCGTAATCGGGCTCCAAAATCACCTCAACATTTGAAGAGTCGGCATTAACATGTGAATATCCACTTCAACTTTTAAAGTTCTTATTTGTCATTATGGACACAAATTCCACTATATTTTTGGACTTACTAGGACGGAGAAAATAGAGGACTGAATACACTGAGGTAAGAATTTATTACATGTGCGAAAGCATGTAATTTTCATAGCTATAGCAATTCTTTATGTCCCCCACTGTAGTTAGATATGTCCAGATATTTTAAGACATTTAAACATGCTTAGTATTTCACAGATACAAATTAATAAATTGCTTGTGCTGTTTAGTCTAGACTCTAGATCTTTCAGTACAAGGCTTGCTTGTCGAGAAACGAGAATTCTTTGAAGTAGATCTACCAAGGGAATGTTTTATCTTGTCTTGTTCAATGTTCTCAACGTTGGTGACCTCTTTTTAATAATATTATATTCTTCCTAACGAGTGAATTGCAATGTACAGTGGGGAACATAAAGAATTACTATAGCTATGAAAAATACATGCTGTCGCACATGTAATAAATTCTTACCTCAGTGTATTCAGTGCTCTATTTTCTCTGTCCTAGTAAGTCCAAATATAGTGGAATTTGTTTCCATAATGACAAATAGGAACTTAAAAATTTGAAGTGGAAATTCACATGTTGATGCCGACACCTTCAAATGTTGTGGTGATTTTAGAGCCTGGTTACGCCGCAAGGAGAATAGGCTCCCAGAATGCAACATGACACGTGCCAGCTTTCAAAATGCCGTTCCGCCATTTTGAATTCTGTCATAAGTAAATATGGTTAACTGATGTTGCATTCTGGAAGTCAATCAGATCGCGAACCAGCTCACCTGTATTTCATATTTTATATTTTATAACAACTTTTCAGTTGACAACTTATGTTCCAATTTTATAAATAAAATAAATTTTATGAATCAATTCTTGGTAGATCGTTTTCTTGAAAGTGCAATGTAAAAACCAGTAAGTATATATGTCTACAGATGATTTATATCACTCTGATTATAATGAGAAAATCTGATTGCTGAAAATTGTACTTTTTAAGAATAACTTGATTGAAGTAAATTTAATTTTATGACTTTTAACAAATGTGACGTCTATAAGTTAAATCAAACCATAATTCATGAGTACTGATTTTTTATTTGATGATTTGTTTCATTTCAGAGAAAAATGGGTTGATTTGCTGAGTCTTGTTGGATGTGAGATAGTGAGTGAAACAAAGGATAGAAACATGGATTCATATGTGCTCAGGTATGTTCAGGTATGTACTATAGATTGGGTTAATTTGGCATCTGCTTTAATTTGTGGCAAATTCAAGGCAAAATTGAAAAAAGCCAATTTACATCGCCAATATTTAGAAATGATCTCAGGAATTTTGTCTAAGTATTTAAGTCACTTCTTGTTTAGGTTTTACAAAATCTGAAAAGGACAAGGGTGATAATCAGAACATGTCACTTCTAAATTGGCTCAGGGAAATTAAATAGCAGCAAATTAACCCAATCTACGGGAGTTTAATTTACCATATTGGATTCAGGTACAGATTTATAACTGAGCAGAGAGTGGAATAGACTTATCAATGTACTGAACAGGTGTATTTAACAATTGTTCGATATAGTGATCTCCACAGCATTTTTTCTCAACCAGGTGCTAAATTCTCTACCCTTTGCATTTGTTTGACTTCACTTCTTAAAAGAGAGCTTCGTCTTCACTCTTTCAAACTAAAATAAACCTGTGAACTCACCGCGCCAATCAGTGTTCGTCGACCAAAATTGACCGACGTTCTATATATGCTCATTCCTTCTGACGTCATCGTTGAGCCTGGAATTGACCAATGACATGCGCATGTTTAATTAGAACGCATTTGGCGTGTGTTTCTTCAAGCTCGCTGATTGGTGGAAGAAAGGTCAGCGCGTAGGTCAAAAGTTATTTATTACGCAAACTGTCACCGGTACCCGTCGTGGGTGCGGGGCTACTAAACTGTAATATGGTCTCTACTAGGCAGAGTGTAGTTTAACTAGACCCTGCACGCAGGGTATAAATTCTCATTTTCACAATTCAGACCAAAATTGGTCAATATATGTCAAATTTTCATGATTTTTTATTCTCATTTTCAAGTGGGTGTAAATGGATTTTCAGGTGGGTGCAAGCCTACTTTCAAATTCTCAGGTGGGTGCTGCGCCTACTTGCTTTAGAGCTGGGGAGATCACTGATACATGTATGTAGGTTTGTTCCAGGTTAAGAAATCAATTTAATATGTAACATGGTTAAATCCATAATCTAACCAGAACAACGGCAACGCCAAAGCGTAGCGAATCCCATCGAACAGAAATGGCTGGCATTTTTACAAACGAAGCGCAAATATCATAAAACAATTACACACCAGAAAGGCCACCATTTTCAAAATGGTTGCTCACTAGCCAAGTTGTCATCAGAAGAAATAATATGCTTTTAAGTAGCCACCTCTAAAATTTTTGAAAAATCGCACATACTTGTAAAATAACACACATAAAAATGGTGGCCATTTTTCAAAATGGCGGACTACTCCCCAAAGTTTTATTAGACAATGTGCCATGCTTAAAGTATTCACATATCAAATATGAACAAAATCGCTCCACTACTTTTCGAGTTATAGTAAAATACGTTAAAATGGCGGCCATTTTTCAAAATGGCCACCTTCTACCAAAAGCGTCATTAGAAATAGACAGTGTGCCATGCTTATAGTATTCACATACCAAATATGAACAAAATCGCTCCACTACTTTTCGAGTAATAGTAAAATACGTTAAAATGGGGGCTATTTTTCAAAATTTTTTCAAAATGGCCGCCTTCTACCAAAAGTGTCATAGGACAGTGTGCCATGCTTATAGTATTCACATACCAAATATGAACAAAATCGCTCCACTACTTTTCGAGTTATAGTAAAATATGTTAAAATGGCGGCCATTTTTCAAAATTTTTTTCAAAATGGCCGCCTTCTACCAAAAGTGTCGTAGCACAGTGTGCCATGCTTATAGTATTCACATACAAAATATGAACAAAATCGCTCCACTACTTTTCGAGTTATAGTAAAATACGTTAAAATGCGGCCATTTTTCAAAATGGCCGCCTTCTACCAAAAATGTCTTTAGACAGTGTGCAATGCTTATAGTATTCACATACCAAATATGAACAAAATCGCTCAACTACTTTTTGAGTTACAGCAAAAATCGTAAAATGACGAGTAAAGACCGCCATTTTTCAAGATGGCTGCCATGTGCTTCTTTAATATCTACATTTGTAGCATTATTAATGTCCTTTATAATTTTTTTACATTTAAAACATATTGCTATTACAGTTTTACTTATTGCACCTAAATTACCGTAAAATCGTCACTAAAATGGCCGCCATTTTGAAATGAGCGGCCATTTTAAAAATCGGCTTTCGAGCAGAACTTCTACCCCCATAGGGTATATGTTTACAAAATATGAACAAAATCGGGCCAACGGTATTTGAGTTATTGCCCGGACGGACGGACAGACAGACGGACGGACGGACGGACGGACGGACGGACGGACGGACGGACGGACGGACGTACGGACGTACGTACGTACGTACGGACGGACGGACGGAGGCGTTCCCTATATCCCTCCGAACTTCGTTCGATGGGATAATAATAAACACAATTTGAATCATAAGTTATGTTCATGATTATATGATCATGAAGTAAGGAAAGCAGGCCAATGTTGTTTAATAGATACCGTATCCACTTGTTATCAAGCTGTTCTTTCTCACATTCTGCCAGGTTTTTAACTCACATGAGTGAGTTATTGTTATCACCCAATGGTTATTTTGGAAGTTTTTTTATGAAGGCCCCTCATGAAGTGATATGACTACGTCAGATGATGTGATTGCGATTCCAAGATATGGCATATCACATAAACTATGACAGCAATCACATTTTGCCCAATCAGCAACTAAAACTAAGCAACAAAGCTAAACGTCACACATCACTGTGGATTCTATATTTATTTGTGACACCTTTAACATCTTACAAAACAAGCATTTTGTTTTGCTCACGTCTTTCTCTGTGATATTTTCATAAAAGTGGGTCGGTTTTGTAAACATATCATAATCATGGCCTTTGTATTTTTCTAGTGACATTTTCACTTGATTATCTTGTTGAGAAAAGTAATTTTAAAGAGACTACACGTACATTAATTTTCCCAAGTTTTTCTTGGCGGGGTATTTCAGTCAAAATAGCTCAGTGGTTCATGTTTTTTTTGATAGTGACAGTGTGCATAAATGCTGTAGCATCTGGTTCATCTAATGCTGAAAAATTTTCTGGTCTTGTATGTTTGCTACTTACTGACTCTCTAGACTACACCGCAACGTATGTATACATACATAATGCACAATGTACATTGGTACAATGCATAACACAACAATACAACTTAAAGGCACACTTTGGAAATTTTCAACATTTTTGGGCAAAACAAAGACTTACATTTAAATTTCATAGTATGTCCAATGTGTTGATAAGAACCTTATCTTTCATTTGACACAAACAACAGCTCAAATGGACCACATCAAAGCTTGCAATAAATTATCAAAAAATATTTTCGATCTGTCAAGCTTTATCTATCAAGTTTTTATCAATATCATTGAAAGAGGGCAGAGTTGTTTGTATTACATGATACATTCATTTTTATATAGAAGTGTTGCCATCTTTTAAATCAATAGTAATTTAAAACAGGCACTTTGTTTAACATGTGCGTGCATGTCTAATGATCTCTAAACTTCAAATGCTTTTTGCGATGTGAGTTACTTTTTTTCTTGGTTCAATATCAAAGCAAATCAAACTTTGTGTCATATTTGAGCTAGTGTGTGAGTCACACGTTTCAATGATTACTTTTTTCTTTTTTCTTCTAAATTAAGTATAGTGCAGCTTTAAGGTAGTTCCGTATGTTCAGAAACCTGTACATTTTTGTAAATTGCACAAACTGCACAAATATAGCTCGGGTATCACTTGATAGTAAAGTAAACATTCTGGATTTATAAAGATAAGAAAAATTAATGACCTACATCTTTTGTGTTTATAAAAAGTAAGTCAGGTACATTTGTGTACTCTACATGCAAAACTGAAGGTATGTATGGAATGAATTATGTGTTCCTGAAAATAACATGTGACTCCATTAAAACTTCTGAATATATAGAATTTACCTTAATTACACGACAAAACATAACACTACCATGTATTAAACTTCAATATATTACACAATACTACACACTCAATTTGGTTCACTTTAATTTACTTCATGAATATCCATGAAAATATTGATAGATGAAACTTTTAGGGCAATAACCAGCAACTTGAATATCCATATCATCAATGACCTTTTTTCCTTTTCTATGTTTCAGTGAAAGCAGCATGTTTATATCGAAGGATAGGTTCATACTGAAGACATGTGGTAGAACAACACTGCTACATGCGATTAAACCACTGAAGAACATGGTACTCGATGAATGTGGCTTCGATATTGTCGGGGTATGTACATTTTCTACATGTTTACTTAGAGAAAAAAGGTATTAGTAATTTGGGTCCATATTGATATGACTGAAAATTATTTCCCAGATTAGAATTATATCTTATTTGGCTGAAAGTTTGCCTCACCTATTTATATTTGCCTCATATATTTAAACTTTCCTCACCTATTTAGACTTGCCTCACCTATTTAAATTTGCCTCATCTATATCTGGCTATGCCTGTATGGGTTTGATGAATCAGCTTCTTTCTCAATATGTTCTCCTTAGCATCAAAGAAAGTGGGCACTGGAGATATTTAAAATAGGCTTCCATCCACCTGAAAATGAATTTGCCAATCTGAGATCAATGAAATACCCAAAGATTGTGAAAGTGAATTTGCACCCACTTAAGGAAATTTATGTGAAAATTATATAGCCATTAGACTGATTTAAAAATTACCCATGAAGAAAAAATTTATTAGAAATATATTTGATGAGAAAAAGCATGTCTCAGGCTAACATATACCAAGATTCAGATTTTTTCCCTATCTAATAAAACCATTAAAATAATTTATTCTATGTTGTAGGATCTGTTCTATTCACGAAAGAAGTTCATGCGACCAGAGTTGCAGAATAAACCCCACCAATGTTTCAATGATGAGGTCTCGTTATTGGATGATATGTTTGACAGTAAGTTCCTATTAGGGGTTATATCATAGGCATTATATGTTTATTATCTCCTACTTCAACAGGTTTGAGCTTAATTAAACAGGTTTGATAAATTTTTTATTTTCAACAGTGTCCTGAGCACTTAGCTTTTCATTCCAGCAGAGTGAACAGCATGGAACATTTTTTCAATTATCATGTTTAAAGTTTCATGAGAAAAAATAACATATAATGTACACATGCTGTAAAGCCCCATCTATAATGTGCCATGAAAATGTCTTTGCGCGTATAAAATGTGGAATCATTTTTTCTTTTTACTTTTTTCTATGTTGAAAAAGACTATAAATGAGATTTCAAGAGACACAAACAAAACATGGGCACTCAAGTCTGAATTGATGTAATGCATGTTATGTTTTGTATCCTATAGATGGTGCTGCATACTGCCTGGGTCGACTGAACCAAGATTGTTGGTACCTGTACACCTTTGATAACGTAGGAGTCATCCAGCCTGACCAAACTTTGGAAATATCTTTTCTGTAGAGCAACTGTTTTAAAACATTTGCTAGCCACTCTATACACTCTGACTTTTTTAAAGCTCTGGTGATGAGATTTAAATCTCAAATTAATGTAGCTTTTAGTGATCTTTGAATGTGAAATGAATGGGAAAATGTAGTGTTAACATTTTTGACAAAGCTTTTTTGATTGGATAGGGGTTAGAGCAAAGAATTATTAGATTGAAGACAAATTTGAGATCTTTCAAAATATGAATAATGATCAAAAAAGAATAATTGGTAATATTACAAACACACCTTCAATTGAAGATACAAAATAGAATTTGGTTAGACTCCTTGACCTTTGAACCTGTTGATGAGTGACCTTGACCCAGCAGTGATGAAGGTCTTTACCAAGGGTAAGGAGGGGAGTTTGACAGCTAAAGAAGCAACCCAGGTTAGTTCAATTTGCATTGAGGTACATAAGAGGATGGGTCAACTTACTTGTCATTGGTAATTCTATGCTATTAAAATTGTGTGCCAGTTTTGAGGTACATGTATAAGAGCTCAAAACTTAAAAAAGGTAAAAAGGACATTTTTAAAGGTAAAGTTATTTTTTGTTTAGGAGGGGAAATATTGAGATTTAAATTGGCAGCATTTTACACATACAGACATGTGTCATCTCAATTTCCATGGGAATTGCCCACTCATCCATCTGTCTTGTTTGTCCATCTGTCTCTCCATCCTGGGCTTTTTAACAAACCAGCAGTCAAATACCTCCCAATGTAAAAATATCAAGGAGTACAAAACTGTTTCCTCAACCTCTCGTGCCTCTTTAATTTTCAGAAATCTGGAATTGCAGACCTGTTGCCTGATGTAGTAATAGATGACTTCTTGTTTGATCCATGTGGTTACTCAATGAATGGCTTGCTACCTGATGTAAGTATGATTCATACAAATGAGCAGGGGGGGGGGTTATTTCAATCTTATTAACCTTTCAACCAGCAATACAAGGGATCATTTACTTATCAAAACAATGTTTGAAAATCTCAAGGTTTCTGTTTAGCCATGGTCCATATATCTGTACATATAATGGATAACATTTTAAAAGGACAACATTGAAGATGAGTTGATTCAACTTTTTATTCCATGTCAAATTTTGATCCCTTCAAGTCTCAGTGGCCCTGATATTGTGTCATGCTTTTTAAATGGTCAAATATCTACACACATTTGGAAAAAATGATTGTAAGAATCCAGCCCTTGCAAACTGTTCTTGTCTTTTTATTATTAGGATACTGGGGTTTCTTTCATTTTGACATGTACTTCTGCAATTTTATGATAAAGATAAAAAAGCTTGATCACATGGTCCTTTTGACAGACAGTTAGCCTATATAATGATCAGTAAAATTGATCAAATCGTGTATTGAAATGATGATAACAGCTTTAGTTGTTTAATTGCAGAGCAAATACATAACGATTCACATCACCCCCGAGAAGCAGTTTTCGTATGTGAGCTTTGAGACCAATGTGCCAAAAGCAAGTTACAAGGAGCTTGTCAACAAGATCCTGAGTTGCTTCAGACCTGGGAAATGTCTGATGACAATCTTTGCTAATGAGGTAAGTGGATGCATGTATATATTTGGCTCTTTTACTCAACAGATCACTGTGATAGATATAGCATTAGTCTCACCTTTTACCATAAGATTGCTAAATGTAATGTAATTATGGATAAATCAGAGGACTTGATTTGTTGCATTGTGAGAGTATTAACCCATGTGCAGTGAACTGTTATCAACAAAATTGTAACTCAACATTTCTTCAGCATGAATTTCTTTTTTAATGCTTCAAATTTTTCAAAATATTTTGACAAAATAATCATTGAGTAAGACAATAATATATAGGTTACAATTAAATGAAGAATTGAACATGTTATCAGAAGAATAGATTATGGACTAATTTTGTCAGATTCCATTTTTTCCATTTACCTGCTTTAGTGTCTATCACAGACACTGCCATGGGAGTATGCCTTACTTAATGTGGTTGAAGATAAAATAACTGTAATGTTTCAGCATTTAATCCTAGAGTACTTGATACAGGCCTCATACATTCAAGATTGGTCTGAGAATGGATAACTGGGGCCCTACACTTAATACTATCCATTGTGCAATTACACATACATGTTCACTGCAATACCTATATGTACTTATAGGCATCTATGGCAAGAGATACCCACTTGGATTTCGAAGACAAGCTGTTAGCGGGCTACAAAAAACAGGATCAACAACTTTGCAAATTCAAGAACTATAACTTGTCCTACACCCATTACACAATCTGTCCCCCTGCTCCTCCACACTGAGATTTTCTCAAATATGGCAGCCATTTTGATTCATGTACAACCTGCAACACCAACTGTGATAAATCCCATAATGCAGTAGAGGTTTTTAGTTATGTAAGAGTGTATGAAATTTATATAAATCAAGCAATATGTTACACAGTTTTTGATTGGTTAACTGTAAAACAGAAGACTAAACTTCAATTGAGGTTTTGTTTCTTCTGTTCAAATTGTAGCTAAAGTGGCCCTATGAGAAGAAACTATATATTTAGATTTTTGCAGTACCGGTGATTTTTGGTGATATAAATTTTTACATTTTACTCTAATAGTGTTCAGCATCAGCAAATACTCTGAATAGGAACTAGTGGATTCCTGTAATATGACTTTTGTAACCCATGTTTATTATTTAAAATATAAAGTACCTGAGGTCAGTCATACATTATAAGGAGTAGAAAATATTACATTATGTTATAAATATTATATTGGTATATCAATATTACCAATAGTAATAATATTTTCAGTTAGTTATTTTCTGCAAACTAACCTTGCAGTATGCTACAATATCTTTTTTATCTGTAGAATGATTTTAATGTCTCAATCTGCATGGTACAGCCATGCGTACAGTGAAAAGAGTATTAAGTATTATTAGTTGGAACTCAACATTTAACATGTTACTTTAGAAACCTAAAAGTATTACCTCATGAGAGAGTCAGTTATATGGTGTACTTAAGAAATCTTATTCACTGCATTAACTCCCAAGTGACTCAATATTTTAAATTATACTCTTTATAAAAAACCATTATATTCGCTCACGAAGAAGTCAGTATTTTACAGGGTACTTTAAAAACCTCAGTACATCCATGTATATCAAGAGTAAGTCAATATTTTACAGTATTTTCTAGATCCAATGCCAGTATTTTTCCACTATATGGTGATGATATGTAGTCTTGCCAACAGTGTTCTTAACTTTGTGTTGAAAATGTAATGAATTTAAAATTGGTTGATATGAATCGAAATGGTTGCCATATTGATTCAGTGTTGAGGGGTCATTGGACATTACAACTTGTTGTTTTGTAAGTAATACAGTGAAAGAGCCTGTATACAAAATGTGTCAGTGATAATGATGTCATAATATATAATATGATGGATAAGAGATTTAATTAAATAAAATATTATATACTTCATGTTGTAAGAAACTGGGTAGAAAGATTCCGCTTTTCTGAAAGTAATTTTTTTGACAAGGAATAGATCACCTACCTAATATGATGGTAGGCTTTCAAAATTACTTTCACAAAATATGAATTGACCCAGTCCATGGAATTCACACTTTGTATATAACATAGTAATTTAGTAACATTGTATAAGAGTAGCAGACATACTCTTGCATGCTTGGACATTTATGTGAATAATCAGATAGACTCAAATAAGAAAACTCAGAAAGCATTTGTTGTACATTCATATACTGTACTTCTACTTAATTTGGCGGCTGTTTCAATTTGGCAGATCTACCAAATTGTAAAAGTCCGCCAAATTCCCGGTTATTTTAGGACTCTGTAAATTAGAACCATTTGTGCATTGTAACATTGCAAGTCACCAAATGTTCAAAACAGCAAATCCGCCAAAATAAGTAGCCCCAAATTAAATAGAAGTACAGTAATGTTAATTAGGAATCTAATTTTCCTAACCAGAATAAGATTAAAGATTATATAATGCCTTATTCACCATGAAATGGTTGAATTCAAACTTTTTTGTTGGATTTTAACCATTTTTCACAGATCTGGGGATGTTTCAGTGATTTTGAATATCAATTTAACAAAAATGAAATTGTAAGAAATTGTCAAACTGTTTTTTTCTACGGATACTAAATATATTTCATATACAGGGTGGGCCAAAAAAAACCACCCCCCTAACCAATATTCCTGATAAATATTTATTTTTTAACAATCACACCAACAACGATATATCATATTAAAGATAATTTAATTTGCAACAAAATGATATATAATAGCACCATTTTCAACAACCCCATATAGAAATATGACCATTTATGTGACATGGGGGTCAAAAAACACCTTTTCAATTTTCGTCGATTTTGCAACAATTGCCTATTTCTACCAAATTTTAGTAAATTACAACATTGTCATGAGTCTTTCATAATTGGATATTATATATTGTTTTCATTCAATTTTTGAACCACACATGCTTAATATACATGTGTTTGCTTATAAAACTAATTCATTTCTTCTTCAGTCTGTCCAAAAATAGCTCAATAGACCCACCCCCCGGACCCATCCTCTGATTGGATTATTCGCTTAAGACGCGGAAGCCATTGGTTGATGGCATAATTGATGGATGTATGTGGAAGTACCATTCAACTGCTAGTTATTCTTTCTTTTAGTTCCTCTACATCCCTGATAGGCTGGGTATATTTAAATATCAACTGTTCTTGATGCTCCCAGGTATGGTAATCAACATTATTGGCAACTGGTCTGCCAGTAAGCCATTTTTGGGCTAGAGATGGTGATATTTCGAATCTCCAAAAACTCCAGAATAGCATTGGACCTGTGTGATGGAGCACTGTTCTATCAGAAAATGAAATTTCTTTCACATGTTTTTTATATTCTTGAGGAGTCCTTTTTTACCACCTCATGTCATTAACATTCAGAGTATATTTTTGCTCCTGGTTCAAAAAAACAGGGCCTGTATGGTCCTTCCTTTTTGGGAAACACTGAGTGGACACCACCTACTTTTCAGAAAAATGTCATCTCGATTTGAGTAGCCTTTTATCGCAAATGTCACTATTCTTGCTTACTGATATAGAGTATAGCCTTTTTATTATTACATGTATAGTACTTGGGGCATTTAGAACAGTTGGTCTATGGAGATCCCTAACCCATCAGGGGTGTAGACATACTGAAAGAATGAATAATTAGGTGTTGGATGTAATGGTACTTCTGCAGAGGTCCATCAATTATACCAATGGCTTTCGCGTTTTAAGCGAGAAATCAAATCAGAAGTTGGGTCCGGGGTGAGTCTATTGAGCCATATTTGGACAGACTGAAGAAGAAATGAATTAATTTTATAAGCATACACGTGTATATTGAGCATGCAAGGTTCAAAAACTGAATGAAAACAATATATAATATCCAATTATGAAAGACTCATGACAATGTTGTAATTTACTAAAATTTGGTAGAAATAGGCAATTGTTCGCACAATTCGACGAAAATTGAAAAGGTGTTTTTTGACCCCCATGTCACATAAATGGTTATATCTCGAGCCAGCGTTGTTGAAAATTGTTCTATTATATATCATTCTGTTGCAAATTAAATTATCTTTAAAATGATATATCATTGTTGGTGTGCATGTTAAAAATTGAATATTTATCAGAAATATTGGCTAGGGGGGTGGTTTTTTTTGGCCCACCCTGTATATATGAGATAACAACACTATATATCCTATGATTTTCTTGGACTTTCATTTTATCCATGTGTGAAAAAAGCTCCACTCACTCTACATTTGCTCTTGGAGATGTCCACTGGATTAAAATGATATTCCTCATAAGTCATAGGATATCCACTATTTATATATTAAAACTAGAGGATTGTTCATTAAATATTATTGATTTACACTTGTATTTGAATGTTTACTAAATTGAATAAATAATAAATTAGTTGCTTAATTGTTCATTTGAGTTCGTGTTTGTGAACATACTATTCATGTATGTGCAATGAAAATACAATCACAACTGACACCTACAGTATGTGTGTCATGAACAATACAGATCTGTATAAAGTCCCTGCAAGTATGTTACTGAATAACATTTTGGAATTCCACATCTGCCACATAGCCTATAAGACTTTTCTGCCGGCACTTAGATCCCAAGAGATCTGTCAGTATTTAGATTGCACTCTTTTCGGTACAATATTGTTCCAAGTGTGCCACAACTGCACTGTTTCTGCACCTTTCACTGGATTTAATACATGCAAATTGTTTGATCAGGGGTTTCATTAGCAGGAGGCAACAAGTGATTTGATTTTCACCGGTTGTTTTCACAAAATCACTTGTTGTTTAGGGACTTTCCAACTTTTCCATGTTAAATTTATGAATCCATTAATTTTGCCTGTTGTTTTCATTTATTAAGTCTGTTGTGCGAAATCATAGTGAACCCCCTCTTGGTGGTTTCACCCTGTATATCTAATCTATTATCTGTGGTTCCCCCACCATCAGCTGTTTGCTGATAATTGTGGAAGGCATAGATTGTAAAATGAGTTTGTAAGGAATGTGCTAAGGGGTCTCCATGATATCCAATTGTCTGCTTGTAATTGCTTTGCACTAGTTGAATCTTCTCCATCCTTTATGTGGTAATGTGGATCCTAAAAAAAGTAAATGCTACTATTCATATTCTTCATCCTGGGTTGGCCTTAAAATCAGCTGACAGCCAGCAGTTGAATTTGTGAATGCTACCTTAGTTTTAAAATATACCTCCATCTGTGGCAAGACTTTACACAATACCTATTCAGAACTCCATAGTGATAGTTTCAGAGTGAGTAAATATTTGACATTGTAAACCTCGTTTCAACTGTTAACTGTACACTACAACTGTAAACCTTGATTGAAAATACTGATGACTGAAGATGGGCAGCAGAACATCAGTAGCAGCTAAAGTTCTAAAGTGGCAGTCAACAGAACAATTCAGTGATCAATGAGAAGGTGTTAACAAATTAGATTCAATATAGTGAACCTACCAGTATAAGGAGATGATGCTCATTATTCTCATCACCGCAGATCCCAAGTATTCCCTTGGATGAGGCATCACTGTCGCCACCTATTGATACAATACATTTTGAAACAATTTCTGTATTGCTGCATATTCCCCAGGAAAGGTTGCACAAAAAAACATCAACAATTCAAAATGTTCTGGAATCCGTAATTCCATTCAAAAGATCATACAAATCCAAGATATGACATCAGTGATGGTGGTGTCACCATGGGCTCATGGTGTCACATAGTGTCAAACTCTTCTAAATATGTGACAAGCAATAAACGATATCCATTACTTACTAGAAATATGTCTGATACTTATAAAGATAACCTAGAATTTAATACTGGATCTGCATATCAATCTGAATATGGCACAAAGTAGCTGATTAAATTTTCTTTTTCCATTTTTACAGCAAACCATGCTTTCGAAATGTACATACCCATCATGATTGGTGATCCCTTAGTTTTAAAATGATTCTTGATTTCCTGTACATGTTCCCTCAGGTTATCACCACTAGAGATATGGAGCAGCTTACAGGGCACCTGACATTGAAAACACAATAATACTGCAAACAATTTTCAGTGGTGGAAATTTCAGTGGTGGAAATTCTTAATTGGAATCATTGAAACTCAGATAATGGCATGGCTCAGATGTGGCATGCAACATTCATTATGATTGAAGCAATACAATGCAAATGAATGATATGCAACCATGCTATACAGTTATTGGAAAGCATGACTGATGCAGCAACTAAGAAAGGTCAATTTGTTAGGTAAAAATTTTTCTTCGTCATTCACCATTTTACATATCAGCATTGGTATATTTTGCATTTAATTTGTCTTATTTACAAATTAAAACACTTGCCTGATTGAACACAAATATCACTGGCGGAGCGCCATATTCTCAAAAAATGCCATGAGGTATTTTCAAAATTTAGAGAAAAGTTAATTTCTATATTGAATTGCAATTTAACATTTAATCATTAGTCCATATTAGTCGAAATTTCGTATTTTAAATGCCCCAGACCGCTTCAAATGTAATCTCATTTTTTAATTCTTGGGAGAGAACCCCTCAAAGCTAGTTCGCTCACGCGTGGTGTACACTCACAAAATACCCACACTACACCACTGATAGTAATGCATACTGCTTCATTAAACCAACCTGATATAATTCATCCAAACACATAGCAACTTCAAAAGAACCAATCCAGTCTCGGGAGCCTAGAAACTGCCGTGGTTTATCCCCGATCTTCACAAGACACTCCTGTATAGCCCTCAGACTAGGAACCTCTACTACGACATCATTGGATTCTCCTTTCTTGTCTCGTGTGAGTCGTATCCAGGAACAGAGTGTTTGAAGAGTTCTATACCCACAACCCCAACCCTAAAATCAAATGTAGAAGTTTTTCCATTGATGTTCCATGCAAAAGTATAGTTGGGACTACCATCAGTTATTAGTTGAGACTCGGAGTAATATTAGGAGAACATAAATTTATTAAAAGTATAAAATGCCGAAACGTCTACTATTCTGATTGACGAGACACCACAGATAAAATAGAGAAGAAATTAAATTCATTCATCATCATCGTTGATATACCCGATCATCAAAACCATCACAACCATAGTGATAGTAGTAATAGTCTCCAGTAACCATGGCGATATCATCTCCTGGCTTTTGAAGACCCTTATGTATATTGCTGAGCAATGGCATGGTAGTTATCCTCCCAGCTATCCTCCAGACATCAAGGTAATGCTACAAAATCAAGGATCAAGGTGTACATGTAATCATAAGCATCTTATACAGTTATAGGACTAAGGAGTAACATGGGAGATTGAAAGCACATGGTAGTAAGTATCTTCGTAGATTTTACCCACAAATTACACATGTGCCTCGCGAATCTTGGCTGACAGTTTGAAATCTCAAAAGAATCAGTTGAAATTCAGAAGATGAACTGAAAACTATTCAATAAAGATGAACTGAAAGTGAAACTTGAAATGTAAAAAATGAATGTAAATTAAATTGTGACAAACGATGGAAAATCAAGCTAAATCCGTCATGAAATATGGCTTCCGTACTATCTTACCATACCATATGTAGTATATATTGATAAGGACAAATGAAATATCCTAAAACCTACCGAATATTGGTAAAATAAGACAAAAACTAAAATCTGTCTGTCGCCATATTGGGGAATCCTGCACCGAGTAAAGGAATTCCAAATGACGTCATCGGACACACCCACTTTCCAATTTCACTTTCAATCTTATCTGACAGCAGGTAAATTACTTGTTCTTTGATAAAAATAATTCTGAATCCAATTATATTATGCATCATGTCTATTGTTACCTCAACAGTGTTCCGATTGTCCTGGCTTGTGTTTGGTAAATAATGAAAAAACACTTATCGTATGTTATTCATCATGTTTCCCTGTCTAGTCCCCATTACTCATTCCTCTTACCTATTGCCTTTTACTTATTGCATTATCTACTGGTCATACTGACTAGTGTTTCTTTCTCAGCCATTTCTCCGACTGGTGTTTTATATTCATTGTGTTATCCTGACTGGTGTTTGGTTACCTTTTTCTAAGACCGCAACTATGTTATTGGCTAGACTCTAGTAGGTGTTTGCTACTCATTGTGTTATACCAACTTTTTTATTCATTTCATTATGCCGACTGAGGTTCATTATTTATGTTTTATCCTGATGTGTTATACTGACAGGTGTTTGCTATTCATTGTGTTATCCCACTGGTGTTTGCTACTCATTGTATTATCCCGACTGGTGTTTGCTACTTTTTGTATTATCCCACCAGGTGTTTGCTATTCATTGCTTTATCTTGGCTGGTGTTTGCTATTCATTGTTTTATCTTGGCTGGTGTTTGCTATTCATTGTTTTATCTTGGCTGGTATTTGCTAATCATTGTGTTATCTTGGCTGGTGTTTGCTAATCATTGTGTTATCCTGACTGGTGTTTGCTATTCATTGTTTCATCTTGGCTGGTGTTTGCTAATCATTGTGTTATCCTGACTGGTGTTTGCTACTCATTGTATTATCCTGACTGGTGTTTGCTATTCATTGTTTTATCTTGGCTGGTGTTTGCTAAACATTGTATTATCCTGACTGGTGTTTGCTACTTATTGTATTATCCTGAAAGGTGTTTGCTATTCATTGCATTATATCCTGACTGGTTTTTTCTATTCATTGTACTATCTTGGCTGGTGTTGCTACTCTTCATTTGTTATCCCAACTGGTGCTTTTTATTCATTCCATATCCTGAGTGAGGTCTGTTATTCAATGTGTTATCCTTATACTGACTTATACTGATTGTTTTTCATTGTCCCCTGGTGCATAGCCCACCAGGGGAATGACTAACTAATGAGCATAGTGTAACAAGCCAGATAGAGAAATTGAAAGAAAGGGTGCTAAATTCAATGCCCAGTGTTGGAATCGAACCTAGGACCCTTGGACCCAAAGTCTGATGCTCTACCGACTGAGCTATAAAGGCTTAAGTAACTACAGCTGGGCCCTATTAGCAACTTGCTATCAAGGGTCGTTACACCATCTCCCCCTTTGAAAGGACCACGCCCTCGTGGTCAGCCCTGCTTTCCCTAGCAGTGACTTCCACACACACACAGGCGCAAAGGATACAACCAATGTTTTGTTCCCACCACTGCCGCCAATGTAATGACCCGAGAGTGCCTTAGAGGAATGACTAACTAACGAGCATAGTGTGACATGCCAGATAAAGAAATTGAAAGAAAGGGTGCTAAACTTGCTATCAAGGGTCGTTACAATTGTACTGTCTATTAGTAAGTGAAAAGTAACAAATTAACATACTTCCTTTTTCTACAAAATTGTTACTTTATTACATTCTTTTCATTTCTTGTACAGAATAATAGTGCACATGCATAATGGCCATTTTAGTGATAATTATATGAAGACAATGCTTAACTTTGAAAATAAATGTAACATTGATGAGTTCTATCAATGTTTACTTATTCTGGATAATTCTATGAATTTCTGTATAATTAAATAGACTAATACGCGATAGACGAAAACATGGTCATTAACATAAATATCTCGCACAATCCATTGCTTCAAGTGGAACAAATTTTCATTAGTCCGCTAATTAAACCAAGTTCTCTCAACCTTAAAACCATGTTTTTGTGTATTGTAGGAACTATAAAGTTTATATTAATATCAGGTTAAAACCCTTACAATTGATACAAGTCCAAACATAAATAAACATGAAATCAAGCCCATGTTATATACACGTCAAGAACTTGATTCTTGTTTCATATCAAGTTATCGGGTCTTGGCTTCCTGGAACAAAGTCGGTGACGTCACAATAAATCATTTTTCTAATCTGATGGTAATCATATATAGATATATATTCTTATCAATTGTGAAAATATATATGAAGAAGAATGTCAACAATAACAAAGACTGTACACAACCAAAATATATCCCTTGCAAGGATTATTTTACATAGATCACTGTAATCATAAAAACACAAATTACAGAAAATCATGAATGTAAAAAGGTCCCACATCAGCAGTTTTTGGAAAAGGGACTTATTTGTATAGCACCAAGTATAAATGGTCCCTCTTTAATAGCATATAATGTCTTTCTACTGGTTTGTCTCTGGTTTGTCTCTGCTAGGTTCCTCTCAAGAGGACATCCTCAACGAAGGAATTATTTTTAGATTTCACTTCTTCCTTCAGTTTGGCAATCTGCTTTAGTATTTCATCCTCCGTCATGTTATCAAGATTAAGCTTCTTCACATTCGTCAAAAATTCCTGGATCAATTTCTCCCCCTCCTGGAAATATAGTAGACCCATCAATAACCAGAACAATGGGAACGCCAATGCGTAGCGAATCCCATCGAACAGAAATGGCTGGCATTTTTACATATGGAATATATAGCAAATATCATAAAATAACACCCATAAGAAAGGCCACCATTTTCAAAATGGTTGATCACTAGCCAAGTTGTCATCAGAAGTAATATGCTTTTAAGTAGCCACATTACATACAAAATTCTTAAAAGATTGCCAATGGTGGCCATTTTTTAAAATATAAATTATTTATACTACTCAAAATGTCATAAGACAGTATGCAATCCTTGCGAGTATTCGCATATCAAATATGAACAAAATTGCTCTATTACTTTATGAGTTATAATAAAAATGTAAAACAACACACATAAAAATGGTGGCCATTTTTCAAAATGGCCGACTACTCCCCAAAGTTAAATTAGACAATGTGCCATGCTTAAAGTATTCACATATCAAATATGAGCAAAATCGCTCCAATATTTTTCGAGTAAAAAATGTAAAAATGACAGCCATTTTTTAAAATGGCCGCCTACTACGAAGTGTAATGAGACAGTGTGCTAGGCTCATGAGTATTCACATATCTGCATATCAAATATGAACAAAATCACTCCAATACTTTTCAAGTTATAGTAAAAAACGTAAAAATGATGGCCATTTTTCAAAATGGCCACCTACTACCCAAAATGTCATTAGACATTGTCCCATGCTTAAAGCATTGACATACCAAATATGAACAAAAAAGCTCCACTACTTTTTGACTTAGAGTAAAAAATGTTAAATAACACACGTAAAAATGGCAGCCATTTTTCAAAATGGCCGCCTACTACCCAAAATGTCATTAGACACTGTGCCATGCTTAAAGTATTCACATACCAAATACGAACAAAATCGCTCCACTACTTTTCAAGTTACAGCAAAAATCGAAAAATGATGTGCAAAGGCAGCCATTTTTCAAGATGGCTGCCATGTATTTCTTCTATATTTACATTTCTAGCTTAATCAATGTCATATATAACTTTTTACATTTAAAACATATTGCTATTACAGTTTTATATGCAGTACCTAAATTACTGTAAAATCGGCACTAAAATGGCCACCATTTTTAAATGAGCAGCCATTTTGAAAATCGGTTCTCGAGCAGAACTTCTACCCCCATTAGGTATATGTGTACAAAATATGAACAAAATCAGGCCAATGGTATTTGAGTTATTGCCCGGACGGACAGACGGACGGAGGCGTTCCCTATATCCCTCCGAACTTCGTTCGATGGGATAAAAAATATTCTATAAATACAAAAGGGTTATGTACTGGGAGGTTTTGGATACAGGGTTTATCCCTCAGGAAATATGTGAATCTCCCAAGATACCGCAGGGACCATATTTCCCGAGGGATAAACCCTGTATCCAAAACCGACTGTACATAACAGATGTATTTCATACCTACTGAGGTTCTAGGTACATTTTACCACATAAAATTCAAAAATTCAAAAAACAGTCTTAAAAAGTAGTTAAGTTTGTGAGATTTTGTGTCAGTTTGAAGACAGTATATTTCAAGTGTTAAGAGGGTGGAAATAGAATTTAAATCTTGCCTGTTCTAAACAATACATCTTCAATCAATGCATGGAATAACTTGGGCATATTATTCCATTTTCATCATACTCCAATGTTTACCATTGTGTGATTGCCTGAGCACAAGTCATATTTCATGGTAATGTTTTTATGGGCATATTCTTGAGCCTACAGGGTTTGGGGAACATTAATGTGATAGCTGCATAATAGCATGAATAAGAATAAAACAAGTCATTAACATGCAAAACGTCACCACCTGTTATTTTCTACAAATGCCAAATGCCGAACACCAACTGTCAAACACCAACCACATAACACCACCCACAAAAAAGTTGGACACATTAACAATGTGTCACCATTTCTGATGGTAACATAACAAAAATAATGATGATGGCTAAGGTTATAAATATTACCTGTTTTTCAGTTCTTCGTTTCTTAACAGCAGGCTCCCCCTCCCCCTCAAGCCCTGTCCCTGAGAGGTTGCTGTTCTGGTAGTCCTCCAGCTCACTAGCCTTGTTCTTAGCAAACTACAACATATAAAGCATATATAAGAATCTCTCTATGGTTTTGACAAGTATCACAGACCCATGTATTGCATTAAAATGGCTCAAAACAATAACAAGAAGGGTATGATGCATAGGAACATATTTCCTTTAACATGACAAAATATTACCATCCAGTTGAAATTATATCATCGTGAGAACCTCCATATCTACATCAACACCATGCAAGTCAAAAAAAATTAAGAAAGGTCAATGGATGATGATACTAGAGTAAAGAAGCTCAATTTCTAAAATTAATACTGAAATAAACCCAATACCTGTATGACATGACTGGGAAAATGTGCAAGCTCAGCTACATGTATTCCAAAGCTTTGGTCACAAACCCCTGGCTTTACTTTATATAATAGAGTCAATGTATCATTGGTTGTTAGTGCTGTCACATGTAAATTGTTGACAGTTGGGACTTCACCAGCCAATGCTGTCAACTCATGGAAATGTGTGGCAAACAGGCAGAAACATTTCATCTTTGTGGCAATATATCTGTAAACATACCAAGCAATTAGTTAATTTCACTATATTCAAGTATTTGGTAAAAATAGAACAAAGATGATCAAAGATGGAATGAGTTTTATGATGATGCAATTTTTATAGTTTATGTTCCAACTTTGTTTAAAATTAAGAAAATTTACAATAAAATTTGAGAAATTTTGTTGAGAGATTCATCAAAATTGTCTGTAAAAGAAATTCATTTTATTGATCTTGTCTAGTTTGTTCAAATGAACTTACTCAGAAATTGCCCATGCCAAACCAAAGCCATCATATGTAGAAGTACCTCTACCCAGCTCATCTATAATTACTAGAGACTCCTCAGTAGCACACTAAAACAACATTGCGAAAAAATATTTCTCATACAACAGATTTAAATTCATGGGCCTAGGATTTTCTTCATATACCCCTGTAGGTACATATAAATGTGTTTTATGCTGCCCATTGTACCTGATATATCCTTGCTTTAAGTGTTGCTCATCGAAGAGCCCTCAGACCAATTTTTTCATTTTTTCAAAATACATGTACAGTTTTTCACCATTCTGAGCACATTTCAAATGATTTTGGGCCAAAGTTGTCAAAAGAGAACCACACTAGAATTTTTTGAAAAATTAATCGCCCATGGCCATGGGCCTGGCTGGTAGTGTGGAATCAATTTAACTATGACTGCTTTGGAGCAACAATTTACTGTATTCTCAAAGGAATGATAATATGCCATTGATGGCACTGGACCCTGTGGTGCATTTTACTCCATTAGATAATTTTTTATCCAATAGACAGAATATATAATAAGTTTACCCTCAAGATGGATGCAGTCTCCAACATCTCAGCCATGAATGTGGACACTCCTTTTACCGTGCTGTCACCAGCGCCAACACGAGCCAGGATGCAATCAACAATGGAGATCTCCGCAGAAGAGCAGGGGACAAAGCAACCAATCTGAGCCATGAGGACAATGACACCTGCCTGGAATATGAAAGGAAGCAAATGAGAGACAACCATCTTTGCTAGTCTAGCTACAAGCCTCTGTGACCTCCCCCTTGCTTGACTTACACAGCCAATATAATTCGACACCGTTTCGGCATCAAAAAAATTCGGCACTGTTCCGGCACCGTTTCGACACCGTTCCGGCACCGAAACCTTTCGACACCAAAATTTGCTACCGGACTAGTCAGTCCATTTGGTGCCGAAACGGCACCGAAATTTGGCACCGAAACAGCATCGAAAATCAGATTGCATTTTGGGGGTGTAACACAAGGGCTTGTAGCTAGACTACATCTTTGCCTGTTGATCAAAAATTTATTGCTGACCAGTTCTTGTTTTCCAATGTATACTAAAAAATCCTTACATCTCGAATGTTAGATAAACATTAAGATCTTATAAGAGTAATTTTAGTATCTTACTCAATGAAATTAATAAATAGATAATCAGCAATGGCATAGACCCACACATTGTCAAACTTTATGGGATGGATCTTCTGTCTACTTACTGATCTTATGTATGTTGACTTTCCACCCATGTTAGGCCCTGTGATTATGTGAAACAGGTGTCCATCTAAAACAGCACAAAATATATCACTGCAACAGTAGTCTAGCTACAAGCCCTTGCACACACCCCTGTGTGAGGTGTTTAGTCAAGTAGAGGGGGATCACAGGGGCTTGTAGCTAGACTACTTTAACAGCATGTGAGCAGAATTTCCAGAAAAGACCAAATGATTAATACAAACTTTTAATGTCTAAAATTAAGCTTTTATAATTAATTTCTACTCACCTTTGCTGAATTCAATATCATTTGGTATATAAGCAACATCATCTTGCATTTCCAGACATGGATGGCGAGCCTCTTCCAGCTTTAGGATACCAGACCCTACAAAAGGAACCCCATTAACAACTTAAAGTCAACAATGTTATAAATGTATACAGTAGCCCGTAGACAGGGGGGGGGAGGGTTTGCAGGGAAAAAATTCTTTCAAAACCATGCAGTTTTTCACCATTTTGAGCACTTTTCAAGTAATTTCAGCCATATTTTGGCCAAAATTGTCAAATGTGAACCCCCCCCCCCGGAAATTTTTGAAAACTGAACCCCCCCTTGGCAAATCCTGGCTACGGCCCTGCCTGTCTGATGGAACACCTCTCTGTAAGGAACTCTCTCCATACATGGAACAAAAACCTATTTACTTACATGCTAACAGACTCTCCCTTAAGGTAACACTTTTCTACAGGGTGTCAAATAAATATGTCCCCCCTTAATTTCAAAGTATGAACTTTTGTGTATAAATGTGCATCTAGTTTAGCTAGTTATCTTTAACTTCATATGGAGCTGCTCCATGATGCCTAGTTTTAATGTGCCAAAGAGCAATTTAGATATCACACGGACAAAAAAGTTATGCAAGTTATGGGGGAGAACATATTTGACACATTTTACATCCTGCACAGTGTTCCAAATATAAGGTTAAACTGTTATCCTACTGATCAGTAGTTCTGCAGTAGTTGAGTTAGGGATTGTTGCCAAATATGGATGGTTGCAGAGAAATATTTTAGATTAATTAACATGCATTTTGTGAATTATCCAATTAAAATAATTAGTAGTGTAAAGCGGTATAATTGGTTATTTACCTTGAGGCTTTTTAAGTGGGATATACAGGTGTATTGGAAAGTCAATAATTTTATTCATCATGAAAAGGATTTGTGTATTTGTGTATTTTGTTCACTACCAAATCTTTAAAAAGGACCATGAGAATGGGGGTGCACATTTGATGAGGTCAGAAGACCCTGAGATGGTCGGTCATTGAAGATGAAATCTTAAATCTAAAGTCATATTTGAAATCCTGAAAACTTGTAGACCATTTCAAAAAAAATTATTCAATTTGAAGCAAATTGAAAAGACCTTTTTTGACCTTGAGAATGTCATCGAAAGTCAAATCTAGAGTTTTGAACTTTTGAGAACTTGTAGATGATTTTGAAAAAAATTGTCAATTTGGAGCAAGTTGAAAAAATACCTTTTTGACCTTGGGTCAATTTGGTCAATTTGAGACCCTTTTGACTTTTTTTAACCTTTTTGACCTTGAAAAAGTCATTGAAAATCAAATCTTAAATGTAAAGTCAGAATTGAACTTCTGAAAACTTATAGATGATTTTGAAAAAAATTGAAGTCAGTATTTGACATTAAGTTATTCAAAGTTTTAAGAAATTGTTACAGATGCCAACTGCCACCTGCCAATCGCCAAACACCGCCACAAAAAACAAGACCATAACGATATGTCACCACTTTTTGGTGGTGACATAACAACCAATTTTGACCAAGTTTTAGAGAGGAAAATAAATAAAGATGGCAGACTTATTGTATTGACATTGAATTAATAAAAGTTATAACAAGTAATGTAGTTTCATAAAGAGGGAGTACATTCACTTCTAACTCTAGGACAAATTACAACTTATAGACTCAACTGGACACAATTAAAAAGACAATATCACACAATCATGCAATTTGATTTAAAACTATAAGGAGTTTAGCCATTGCATAAACCATTACTTTAAGAGTTCAGACATGCAAATATATCCCCTTTTTATTACTTTAATCTTATGCTAGTCAAATGAGCAAAATGAAATTTTCAGCAAATCAGGTCTTTTTCTCAAATTTTGTGAAAAAAACTGTTTTTCTATAAAAATCCTCCACTGACACTGTAGCACGATGCAACTAAAATTGTTATTAAAAAGGTTGCTGATCATTGTTTACAAAAGTTCCTTACACATGATAGCACAATTAATTACATGGTAAAGGGAAAATCAAATATACCATAACATTTTCATTAGGATCCCATTAGCAATCCTTTAGGCTTATTAGTATTTTCGTCATCCTGATCATTACCTTTTTTGAGCAGTTTAGGCCTTATGTATGGAATGGGTGCATTTGCCGAGACATGGGCCAGACTGACTAAAACATCCAGTTGCGATATGACATCATTTAGGAGGAGCATTGGTTCGACATAACCAGCTGGAAATAGGTAACATCTCTTATTAGTTTATCAATCTAAATACTACCAAATTTGACTGGCAGCTGGTCAATAATATATATTACATGTACATAATTAATTTGGCTGACCATGCAACAAATTCCAAATTGAAAGTACATGTTTGGGATGCAATGTCTCTAGTTCTAGACTGGCTATTCCTGATCAAAAATCATCAAAGAAAATAATGGATTATAGCTTGACCTGCAAATTAATCATTATGATTGATTATTTTGATGCCTCAGAATTATGGATAATCCCTGGGTTACCAACCCAATTTGGTGTGTTTTGAAAAGAGTTGTCACTTGTGAAAGCTCAAAACTTGTGAAGCATTTTCATGAACTTATGAACAGAATTATTTTTTCTGCAAAAAATGAACTTTTCTTATCTAATTTGTAAATGTTTTAAAAGTATGAATAAACAATTTATAATATTTTTTCATATTTTTTTTGTTTTTATTGGTTAGTACTGGTTAAACGTTAGTGTTTAAGAAATTATTTACCACTGGCAATTTTTTTTTATCTAAAGGCTTCCATTGGTCTCACAAATATGAAAAATGACTAGTATTCACATATTTCTTTCATTTTAAATCAAACCAGAAGTAACAACTTTGTTGAAAGAAGAAATGTTTTTCACCGGACACTACAAACACTCTCTATTACAGAACACTGCACTTCATGTTGAGAATTTTGAAGAATACAATTTTACTGACTGGTATCAAAGATGTCATCAAATTTCATATTTATTTGTACATGTATTCATCAGTTTATGACTCTAAAATAACAAGCATATGTACTGAATATACAACAAATGAGCTGGGCCACAGGAAAAGGGGTCTTATCACAGATTTTTTCAATGTTTTGATTTTGTGTGTTTCTTAAAAAGAACAAAGAGACCTTTCAAATGAGCCATGTCTTATGTCTTAACAATTTTTCCTTGCAGATATAGACCAAAAAGACGAATTTTAATTTAGCACATTTTCCTCTTAATCTTGGGCACATTTGTGGCTCTGTAGCACAATTTAAATTTTTGTGATAAGACCTGTTTTCCTATGGCGAGGCTCAAATATAGCTGATTTAAGAGATAATTAGAAAATCTCAGTGATCTTAAATGAATATTGCACTGCCTTATCTGGGGGTTTGGATGTGAAATGGATGGAAGCTGCTAGAGGTGAAAAGAAGGTAGGTTTGGGGCAATATTCAAATGACAAAAATTGACCAAGTGTGCTGATTTATTTAAAAATCTTCAGAGAAATAAAATCAAAATTTTGACTTTGTTTATCATTTTTAGAAGTGTTTTGAAGTATTTTATGCTGATTTTAGGAAATAATTCGGTCACTCTTTATCAACATCACAATAATATAGACATGTCATTTACATAACACAGATTGTACTTTGTTTAAATTGGTTAAAACAATGCATATCTAAAATAAATCATAACAACTTATTTTTTCTTCTGGTTTACTTTGGAAATATTTGGGTCAGATCTGGGATTTAAAAGCTGGTGGCATATTCATTATGTGAGTTATTATTTTCCTTCTAGTAGCTACATGTACTTATCGGCAGAAAATGTCAAGGGTCTTGCTTTTCTGTATAAATATACACTCGTAGATACAAAAAGTAAACTCTGATTGTTTTATCATTATAAATTAGCATTAAAAACATTCAAACATTTCAACAGTTAAGAAACAATCTAATTCTTTATCTTTATAGAGGGTAAATAAATGCTATTTTTGTAATACACTCATCAATCTTTGTGTTGAAATTACCCGATATATTGATGATTTCTGTTACAACGCTTTTCTGTGTTTCCTCATAAGACTCCTTTAGAGACAGGTACTCTTCATTCAGTTTCCGTAGCGATGCACTATGGAAACGCACACCATTTTTGTTTGTGTCTATTGTTGTGTATGCATTACTGCTCCTCAATGCTTTCTCTTCCTAAAAATATATGATGTATCTTACTTTAAGTACTGAGCCTTAACCTTGGCAATTAATTATAATAACAGAGTGTTTAAAATTTCATAGAACATCATAACACACCTTGGCCCCAGGTTCGATTCCCGGTTCAGACAAGTTTGTTTGTGCGTAATGTAATTCTGGGTGTTTGACTGAGTGGTTCACAACTCATATAAAAGGCTGTGGTGTGTACCTGTATGTATGTGTACAGCTGAACACAAAAGAACACAGGGCTCCTTCAAGGAGGTGTTTCTGACTCTGTCTTCGAGAGTAAAATACGTAAAATACGGAATATACCAATGAGGTACTGCTCGGGAAATATGGCGGTAACCAAGATACAATACAACACAAAGAAAACTTGTAGAATGCTGTACTGTATATCAATAATCTAGATTTTTATCTAGGTTGAGGTTTTCTATAAAAATATATTAGTTATATAAATGAGGTCAGTAGGCTGAAGAGATATGGTCAAATAATAATTGATATAACTTAACAGAAATTGGCCTCAATTGACTTTGCTCGATCAAAACAAATGGTTCTGTCACTATTCAATCACAAACCATAATGGAAACATTTGTTACTAAGGGGACTATGATAGTTATCATTTTTCAAAATGTAGAAGCTGCCATTAAAAAGGTACACGAAAACTCCTCATTGGACTAATATGACACATAGTACAGTATTTAGCCAATTAATTAGAGTGGAATGTTATATCCAGATCCCCTTTAACAGCTGGTATACACAGTTTTGAAAGATCTAATCTTAGGCAATCACAAACAATCACAAACATAATAGATCTCGTACGAGGTAAAATTAATGATTAGGGTCTCTTTATTAAGAGCTTTTCATTGTCAGATTAGCAATTCCTATGGAGATGACACAATAAATGAGTTAAGGATCTAAATTCCGATGCACTTTTAAACCTAGAATTACATGCCAAAATACATTTTACATACCAGACTATAAACTAAATTGTGGACAAAAGTGTCCCTGCAATTGCTCATCAAAATAGATTCTACTCAGTTTTATAATATGCAACAATGACCAATAACGCAAATGCGAGTAGATAGTTACCAGTTTCACCACCAGGTGGCTCGCTCGGTTCAGATAGCATGGCAGTAAAAGAAAATGTTACATGTCCAATACAAGAAAAGATATTCCACTTTTTGTGATTTTGTAATATGGGTCTATGGGGAATCAACCCGAACTAGAAGTCACATTTTTAAAAAATATTAAATTTTCACAGTTGATAAACAATTTTCGAAACCATATTTTTAGATGTATTTTTACATGAAGATTTCAAATATGATATCACTTTGACTGAATTTTGAATATTTAATGACGTAAATCAAGATCATTTCTACTCGCATTTAGTCTATTCCTTAGCACTCTCACCTTTCTGGTCACTCTGAAGAAGTAGCCCAGCATACTATTACATTCTAGTTTGAGAACTTTGTGTGGCTCTAACCCCAAGTCCCTGGCTGCCTACAAGCACACAAAAACATTGCATTTAGAATTTGTAAGGCTATTTTGTTTTTAAAATTTGGGAGGGCTGTATGTGATGAGTAACACATATTTGGTCCCTTCTAATCTGTGTTTAATTTCATGTTTAATCTGTAATATATTAAAAATTATTATATCACTATCTAGCTAGCGACAGTATGATTGGTCAAAACCGGGTCACATGTCGTGGGATATCTGGCGATATTCAATGGCAATGCTAATCAGATAAGACAACCGTGAGATATCTAGCGATATCCCACGCTCCCGGGAATTTTCAAAGAATTTGTTTTCGTTCAGTGTAAATAATTTAGTTCAGTGTAAGTCAAAATGGCAGACGAACCGAGTAGATTCAATGTATTTCAATGTTAACCTATGACTTAATAATATTAGGGATGTTTAGACAGTGATATAATAAAACAAATATTTCACTCTATTTTCGGTGAATACCTGTAGCACTTTCACAAGGTGATATTCCACTTGCCCTTCGGGCTTCGTGGAATATCACTTGTGAATGATGTACAGGTATTCACCTCAATAGAGTGAAATATTTGTTCAATATTCACTCAATTACCAACTGGTTTCACCAAAAGACCTTGTTCATTTTTTCACAATTATCCTTCCAAGCTTACACTTTCAATAGCAATGATTCCTCATACACAATCGATGGGAATTCCCAGGTGAGGGGTGTGCGTTTGGTGCAACTGCACCCCCCCTCCCTTTCCCCATAGGATTTTGTTAATGATGCTGTGAAAAAGGTGGAAAGAAAAACTATGTGCTCTGGTGAAAGGAGGTGGAAAAGCTAGGCTTCAAATTCAAGACTATCATGATGGAGACTGATTTTTTGTACATTTTGTAAATGCAAAAATAGGCCTCTTGGAAAAATCCTGGGGATGCCCCTGCAATCTTAAATGCATATCTTGTAACTTAGGTACCAGCAGATAATTAAAACAATATCCAGTAAATTCTAAGAGAATAAAAATGTAGATTTGGTGAATCAACTGTCTTCAAGTCTTATTGGGTATGAAAATTAAAATATGTTAAAGAGAGAATCAGATCTAGCGAGCAGCCAAACAAAACATTGTTTCATTTTTAGAATCTTCCTGGCTTATGTCATTCCTTTTCATGTCTTTTTTCTAAAAATCCCCAAAGTGCACACTTTATTTCAGGAAAACTAAAGATTTTTACAATAATGTATTATTATTCTATAAGAATGGTTACCATTCTTATCATTTGGGAGAATTTAAACATTTTTCACCCATTTTTGCACTTTGAATCCTTAATAACTTCACCAATTTATAACATATCATGAATCTTTTAGGAGATATTGTATTTGAGATTGTAAAGAATAGATTGGTAGGTCAATTTTACATATTGCTTGTAATTTTGTCACCCCTATAGATCTGATTCTTCCTTTAAGTAAATCAATTTATTATCTGTCAAGTACAGAATAGTTTTCACTTTGAAATTAATGATTCTATAACAGGGACTCTATGCAAATCTAGCCAACCAAAAAATCACATTTAAAATAAAAATTTAATATCAAAGTTGATAATGAATTTTGAAAACCACATTTTAAATGGATATGTAATATTGTTTGTAGATAACATCACTTTGACTTAATTTTGAATATGTAATCATGAAAATTAACATTACAACTGCTGAAATATTGTTTGTATAATCTAGAAAAATATGTTTAGAATACAATGTTAAGAAGCTTTAAAATTAGTCATGCACTTATTCAACATCAAATCAATTATTTTATAACAAATACATCATCATTATTCCATTGCAAAATATGTAAGATGTGGTCTGGAAACATAAATAGTGTTGATGACAGAGCAATCTTATCTAATAACTAGAAATAACACACAATCAGCTAATAAATGAAGGCCCTGATATCTATGACCAAGGATGACGTACATATACAAGGTAACAAGAACAATAATACCTCTTTTAAAGCGAAAACAATTCCATGTTACACAATATTTTACAATATAATGTGTATGAATCATTTAAAGTAGGCATCCAGACCATTTATACATTCAAAAATACATTTCCAAGGCAATTTCTAAAATAAGTGCCCAATAAAGGAGGAAGGTAAAAGTTACCATGCTTTTATGTGCAAAATATTATATTGAGTTACAATTGCATTTCATTACATTCTTAAAGCATTAATAAAAATGTATTCGTCAAAATTTTCTGAAAAGATACAAAATCAAAATCCATATTGTAAAATCAATTTTCGGGTGTTGATCCTGCACTGTGCTTATTGCATCTATAGTACAATATTTTATTCCATAATACTACTGTTTTCCCAGGGAAATATGAAGGAATAAAAATCGTATTGAATCATATTACATGAAAAAATCGTATTGTCCCCGGGAAAAAAATCGTATTGGAGCGTATTACATGGAAAAATCGTATTGTCCCCGGGACAAAAATCGTATTGGAACGTATTAACTTATTTTTGGTTTTCCCGGTTATTTCTAACCTTGACTAATTGATAAAAGCATTATCCAAATGTAACAATTTAAGGAGGAATGTATTATGGAATAAATAGGTTATTTCTGCTCGGGATTGAATATGGGTTTTATTCCTCGGAAAATATGATATTGACCTTGGGAAATATGATATTGACACTCGGTCGCTGCGCTCCCTCGGTCAATATCATATAACCCTTCGGTCAATATCATATTGTCCCTCGGAATAAAACCCATATTCAATCCCTCCCAGTAAATAACCTATATATATCACCCAAGTTCACATCAATGACATTAAACAAAGCAGCAATTGCACATTTTCAATAAGGAAGTTAAACTAAATTCACATGTGTAGAAAAGATCAGAAAAGTTAAGTTATACTTAAAATCATTCATGATTCTAATATAGACATTTTTGTCCCAACCTGTACATAGAAAATAACATGAGACAACCCTCACTTGTAAAGATATCACGAGGAGCCAACAGTGCCTCTTTGATGGATACGTCAATGTTACACCTTTATTTTGATGATCTTCCTGAAGTGATTAGTGCCCAGATGGGACCATCAATAACAACAATGATAGCCACAACTGAGTCATAAAAATTGCTTTGCGTAACGTCCAATTAAAAAATATGTAACTCCCAGGGTTTATGATAAAAATAACCAGCCAGTAATTTTGGCATATTTCATTCTGAATACATGTCTCTTTTGAAAAAAGCTGGTAATAGACTGTATAATAAATGCTATAATGCTTTAAATAAAATGGCAACCATTTTGAATTTGAAAATCTTTATAAATTTCAAATCAGCATTATTAAATTAAAATGATGGCCATACTGAACTGAGTGGCCATATTGCAAATTACTTCTCAAGCAGAGGTGGTGTGCCTAAAAAGCAACAGCTTAAAAATCAAATCCGTTTTCTGGTATTTGATTTAAGTTAATTATAAAATATGCATTACTATTACATTTGAAAGTATAATTCCTTTAACTGAAAAATGATGATACAAGATTTGGGTAGGTCTCAACCTGACCATCTAATTCTACTGGCCTGTAAATCCAGTTTTAGCTATTATATTAATATGTATTGATGATAGCTAATATCACTTCCATGCTGAGTGATTTTTGAATTATAACCCCATTTAGGCTCAATCTTGACAAATCGAGCCTCTATATAAGAACCTATTTTTTATCAAAATGTAATATACTGTATGATAATTGCTTGTTGAATTCATTCATAAAGGAATGGAAAATCATTTCATTATTAATATCAAGTAAAATATAGTGTGTTTTTCCTGTTTTGACAATAATTTGATTTATTTTTGAATTGAATTTTTCAGTTGAGGAAGACTTAACTAATTTGAAATATTGCAAGGCTAAATCAATTACACGTATGTCAGATACAAAACCATTAAGTTCAAGCATGGGCTTTCAATTAGAGTGAAAGCCCATGGTTCAAGTGAAGAGTAAAAATTGTCGTTATTGAACACTGCTTAGAACAGGAGCTAAACATATATATTCATGTACAAGTGTATACACGTATGAGCATTAATGCATGGGGAATTACCCAGATGCGAGTAGGTAATTACAGTTTCACCACCAGGTTACTGATTTGAATTAATCACTCAGATGTGAGAAGGTAGTTACCAGTTTCACCACCAGGTGGCTTAACATGGCATGGTATTACAAAGTTCCCTTAAACTTGTATATTCATCAGTTTTAGTGGTTCACTTTTTATATTACCCTTATTTATCCTACACTTAGTGTACTAAATGTATAATAACATTAAAAAATAAATTTGATATTTATTGGCAAAATGAATATCCGGAGGATATCGTCACGATATACTCCGGGTGGAGGATATCGTGACGATATACTCCGGAAAACCCAATATGCGGAGGATATTGTGATGATATACTCCGCTTGTTGATTTCCGGCCAAATTGACTATATTTGGCATGGAATTCATTTTGCAATGATATTATACATTTAGTACACTCCTTGTAAGTGTAGGATAATAAATACATCCTATGATTTTTTTCAGAATATCATTTTAATCTACTCGGTGATATTGATATATGCACTCGTTCGCTTCGCTCTCTCGAGCAGATATCAATATCACCTCGTAGATAAAAATGATATTCCTCAAAATCATAAAAATATCCTATAAATATCTGATAGTCATACAAATTAAAATACATCCAGTAAAGGAAAATGTTATCTGCCCAACACAAGAAAAGATATTTCACTTTTTGTGATTTACAACATGGGGTCTATGGGGAATCTCCCCGACCAAGAACATTCTCAAAATTCATTTCGTTCGTTGCGTACCTTCACTACCTCTCTGACGTTGTTTAAATAGTTCTAAAATTCCCGGGGCACGAGCTTAGAAAGCTTCAGAAATTAGTACTTTCTTTATTACGAAATCAACAACGCCAAAACTTTGATATTCCATTAATCATGACGTTTACAAATGATTTTACCATCGAAATTGGTAATCAATG